ATCCCTAATAAGAAAGTTATAAAATATTGCTGGCCCCTGTCCGGCCCTGGACGCCCGGATTAAATATTCTGATACTGAACATTTCTTCGTTTTGTCTTTCTGAATGACATACTGAAATACGTAAGTGGCAGGATCCCTAATAAGGAAGTTATAAAATATTGCTGGCCCCTGTCCGGCCCTGGACGCCCGGATTAAATATTCTGATACTGTACATTTCCTCGTTTTGTCTTTCTGAATGACATACTGAAATATGTAAGTGGCAGGATCCCTAATAAGGAAGTTATAAAATATTGCTGGCCCCTGTCCGGCCCTGGACGCCCGGATTAAATATTCTGATACTGTACATTTCTTCGTTTTGTCTTTCTGAATAACATACTGAAATATGTAAGTGGCAGGATCCCTAATAAGAAAGTTATAAAATATTGCTGGCCCCTGTCCGGCCCTGGACGCCCGGATTAAATATTCTGATACTGTACATTTCCTCGTTTTGTCTTTCTAAATGACATACTGAAATATGTAAGTGGCAGGATCCCTAATAAGAAAGTTATAAAATATTGCTGGCCCCTGTCCGGCCCTGGACGCCCGGATTAAATATTCTGATACTGTACATTTCTTCGTTTTATCTTTCTGAATAACATACTGAAATATGTAAGTGGCAGGATCCCTAATAAGAAAGTTATAAAATATTGCTGGCCCCTGTCCGGCCCTGGACGCCCGGATTAAATATTCTGATACTGTACATTTCCTCGTTTTGTCTTTCTGAATGACATACTGAAATATGTAAATGGCAGGATCCCTAATAAGAAAGTTATAAAATATTGCTGGCCCCTGTCCGGCCCTGGACGCCCGGATTAAATATTTTGATACTGTACATTTCTTCGTTTTATGTTTCTGAATAACATACTGAAATATGTAAGTGGCAGGATCCCTAATAAGAAAGTTATAAAATATTGCTGGCCCCTGTCTGGCCCTGGACGCCCGGATTAAATATTCTGATACTGTACATTTCTTCGTTTTGTCTTTCTGAATATTATACTGAAATATGTAAGTGGCAGGATCCCTAATAAGAAAGTTATAAAATATTGCTGGCCCCTGTCCGGCCCTGGACGCCCGGATTAAATATTCTGATACTGCACATTTCTTCGTTTTGTCTTTCTGAATAACATACTGAAATATGTAAGTGGCAGGATCCCTAATAAGAAAGTTATAAAATATTGCTGGCCCCTGTCCGGCCCTGGACGCCCGGATTAAATATTCTGATACTGTACATTTCCTCATTTTGTCTTTCTGAATGACATACTGAAATATGTAAGTGGCAGGATCCCTAATAAGAAAGTTATAAAATATTGCTGGCCCCTGTCCGGCCCTGGACGCCCGGATTAAATATTCTGATACTGTACATTTCTTCGTTTTATCTTTCTGAATAACATACTGAAATATGTAAGTGGCAGGATCCCTAATAAGAAAGTTATAAAATATTGCTGGCCCCTGTCCGGCCCTGGACGCCCGGATTGAATATTCTGATACTGTACATTTCCTCGTTCTGTCTTTCTGAATGACATACTGAAATATGTAAATGGCAGGATCCCTAATAAGAAAGTTATAAAATATTGCTGGCCCCTGTCCGGCCCTGGACGCCCGGATTAAATATTCTGATAATGTACATTTCTTCGTTTTGTCTTTCTGAATAACATACTGAAATATGTAAGCGGCAGGATCCCTAATAAGAAAGTTATAAAATATTGCTGGCCCCTGTCCGGCCCTGGACGCCCGGATTAAATATTCTGATACTGTACATTTCCTCGTTTTGTCTTTCTGAATGACATACTGAAATATGTAAGTGGCAGGATCCCTAATAAGAAAGTTATAAAATATTGCTGGCCCCTGTCCGGCCCTGGACGCCCGGATTAAATATTCTGATACTGTACATTTCTTCGTTTTATCTTTCTGAATAACATACTGAAATATGTAAGTGGCAGGATCCCTAATAAGAAAGTTATAAAATATTGCTGGCCCCTGTCCGGCCCTGGACGCCCGGATTAAATATTCTGATACTGTACATTTCCTCGTTTTGTCTTTCTGAATGACATACTGAAATATGTAAGTGGCAGGATCCCTAATAAGAAAGTTATAAAATATTGCTGGCCCCTGTCCGGCCCTGGACGCCCGGATTGAATATTCTGATACTGTACATTTCCTCGTTTTGTCTTTCTGAATAACATACTGAAATATGTAAGTGGCAGGATCCCTATTAAGGAAGTTATAAAATATTGCTGGCCCCTGTCTGGCCCTGGACGCCTGGATTAAATATTCTGATACTGTACATTTCCTCGTTTTGTCTTTCTGAATGACATACTGAAATATGTAAGTGGCAGGATCCCTAATAAGGAAGTTATAAAATATTGCTGGCCCCTGTCCGGCCCTGGACGCCCGGATTGAATATTCTGATACTGTACATTTCCTCGTTTTGTCTTTCTGAATGACATACTGAAATATGTAAGTGGCAGGATCCCTAATAAGAAAGTTATAAAATATTGCTGGCCCCTGTCCGGCCCTGGACGCCCGGATTGAATATTCTGATACTGTACATTTCCTCGTTTTGTCTTTCTGAATGACATACTGAAATATGTAAGTGGCAGGATCCCTAATAAGAAAGTTATAAAATATTGCTGGCCCCTGTCCGGCCCTGGACGCCCGGATTAAATATTCTGATACTGTACATTTCTTCGTTTTGTCTCTCTGAATAACATACTGAAATATGTAAGTGGCAGGATCACTAATAAGGAAGTTATAAAATATTGCTGGCCCCTGTCCGGCCCTGGACGCCCGGATCAAATATTCTGATACTGTACATTTCCTCGTTTTGTCTTTCTGAATGACATACTGAGATATGTTAGTTGCAGGATCCCTAATAAGAGAGTTATAAAATATTGCTGGCCCCTGTCCGGCCCTGGACGCCCGGATTAAATATTCTGATACTGTACATTTCTTCGTTTTGTCTTTCCGAATGACATACTGAAATATGTAAGTGGCAGGATCCCTAATAAGGAAGTTATAAAATATTGCTGGCCACTATCCGGCCCTGGACGCCCGGATTAAATATTCTGATACTGTACATTTCTTCGTTTTGTCTTTCTGAATAACATACTGAAATATGTAAGTGGCAGGATCCCTCATAAGGAAGTTATAAAATATTGCTGGCCCCTGTCCGGCCCTGGACGCCCGGATTAAATATTCTGATACTGTACATTTCTTCGTTTTGTCTCTCTGAATAACATACTGAAATATGTAAGTGGCAGGATCACTAATAAGGAAGTTATAAAATATTGCTGGCCCCTGTCCGGCCCTGGACGCTCGGATTAAATATTCTGATACTGTACATTTCCTCGTTTTGTCTTTCTGAATGACATACTGAAATATGTAAGTGGCAGGATCCCTAATAAGAAAGTTATAAAATATTGCTGGCTCCTGTCCGGCCCTGGACGCCCGGATTAAATATTCTGATACTGTACATTTCTTCGTTTTATCTTTCTGAATAACATACTGAAATATGTAAGTGGCAGGATCCCTAATAAGAAAGTTATAAAATATTGCTGGCCCCTGTCCGGCCCTGGACGCCTGGATTAAATATTCTGATACTGTACATTTCCTCGTTTTGTCTTTCTGAATGACATACTGAAATATGTAAATGGCAGGATCCCTAATAAGAAAGTTATAAAATATTGCTGGCCCCTGTCCGGCCCTGGACGCCCGGATTAAATATTCTGATACTGTACATTTCTTCGTTTTGTCTTTCTGAATAACATACTGATATATGTAAGTGGCAGGATCCCTAATAAGAAAGTTATAAAATATTGCTGGCCCCTGTCCGGCCCTGGACGCCCGGATTAAATATTCTGATACTGTACATTTCCTCGTTTCGTCTTTCTGAATGACATACTGAAATATGTGAGTGGCAGGATCCCTAATAAGAAAGTTATAAAATATTGCTGGCCCCTGTCCGGCCCTGGACGCCCGGATTAAATATTCTGATACTGCACATTTCTTCGTTTTGTCTTTCTGAATAACATACTGAAATATGTAAGTGGCAGGATCCCTAATAAAAAAGTTATAAAATATTGCTGGCCCCTGTCCGGCCCTGGACGCCCGGAATAAATATTCTGATACTGCACATTTCTTCGTTTTGTCTTTCTGAATAACATACTGAAATATGTAAGTGGCAGGATCCCTAATAAGAAAGTTATAAAATATTGCTGGCCCCTGTCCGGCCCTGGACGCCCGGATTAAATATTCTGATACTGCACATTTCTTCGTTTTGTCTTTCTGAATAACATACTGAAATATGTAAGTGGCAGGATCCCTAATAAGAAAGTTATAAAATATTGCTGGCCCCTGTCCGGCCCTGGACGCCCGGATTAAATATTCTGATACTGCACATTTCTTCGTTTTGTCTTTCTGAATAACATACTGAAATATGTAAGTGGCAGGATCCCTAATAAGAAAGTTATAAAATATTGCTGGCCCCTGTCCGGCCCTGGACATCCGGAAAATCTGTTTCGATTAGTACATTTCTTCCTTGAGTATCCTCAATAAACATACTGGAAAATTGCTATCGCAGAATGCGTAACGGAAAAAATAAAAAATATTGCTGAACTTTATTGCTAAAGTAACTAGGCTGATCTCTCGCTAATTCACTCCGTCAGAAATCATGTATCATTCACCTCTGTCTGGAATAGTCTTGTTTCAGTATTAGGGTTTTGACGTCACATCATCGCCTCGTTTTCAGAGGTCCGAAAAATCTGGGATTTCAATAATTATTTTTTATAAAACGTAGGAAGCTCACAGCAAGAAACGGTTTGCGGTGGTGAGCTAGTTTGGGTGAGTTCTATCGAATTATGAAATAATTTTTTTTTTATGATATAAGCCCATTGTACAAATTCATCGTTTATTGTGGGATATGCCTTCAAAAATTCCTTCAACAATTCAGAGTGGGAACTCACATGATCAGTTTATCATTGAGAGCTTGTTTTATATGCAGCTCCACTTGGTCGGCCGTATAGTCGCCCACATTCTGCAAGTGCTTAGTGATCCTTGGCACATCTGCAGCCACCCTAGCATGGGTGGAGGCCCTTATGGCGTTCCATATTCTCTTCACGTGGATCGGATCTGTATGTCTTCGGATAGGCATATCTAACAGAAAAAATCGAAAAAAAAACTAAAATACTGGGCGATTCATTAAGAGTGACGAGGTACTGTATCTCAAGAACTAATAATAGTCGTAGCAGTTCGTGAAGAAAAGAAATCGACCAAGAAAAATTGCTGGAAATATTTTCATCATTAATATTTTGATTTAATCAAAATGGGAACGACTTATCAAACTGTTTTTTTATTTGTCCATGGCATGCTTGAATAGTATATTTTCTACTCACATAACTAAAATGGCATTCAGTAATTTGAGACATGTCTGGTCTGTCAATTGTATTAACTGTCAAATGATAATTTCAAATTTTGTATCAGAATTATTCAAACAATTTTCGTTTGTATCAGAATTCTTCATAAAAAATATATGCGAAAAGTAGACGAAAACGAAATCGAAGAGAATGTTCTGGTACTTGCATATCTCCAAAAAGTATAAAAATGAAGCATCCATCTTTGAGAACAATTTATTCATTCTGCGCTAAGCATGACAATTAACGTGAAACAAAGGTGAGTAAGCAATGGACTGTATACATCTACAACCAATATCACTTATACGTGTCTCGCTGGTTGCATGCAGTTGCATGTCTTATGTTATGTTCTCAATTCCCATTCCTTTCGAATTATTTTGTAGGTTAGCAGGAATGGCAGGTATGTTAATGTAATTTTCGGAGTTCGTAGAAAAAGCATAGTATGTAACGCGTTTATAAACTCTTCTAGCGACACTCGTTTGTTAAACACTCGCTCCGCTCTGCTCCGCTCGTGCTAAAAATACTCGTTACTAAAAGGACGTTTATAACACTTGTTACAAAAATAAAATTAAAAACTCAATTCCCTATTTTGTTCAATAAATTCGTTAATTAAATATTCTTTGAGCTTAAGCCATAACTTTTAAAGGAATAAAGATATCGACATGCGGTTTCAACATATTATGTTGCAAATTTGATCTACTGGTTCCATCCAAGATTTCGGAGAAAAATTCAAAAAACGGCTAACTTTATAAAACACGCCCCCTTGCGAGGGCGGCAAGAACCAGGATGGCATGGATGATTTTTTATTATATTCACCAAACCTTCCTCTACTGAACCAGACCTTGTTAGCAAAATTCCGGTAAGTCAATCTCAAGTTATCGACATTTACAGTCCAAAAAGTTTAGGATCCTCTGCCGCCTTAATTCAACATCCTACAATAAAATAATGTTAATAAAAAAGAGGGACCATTATGGTGGCATTGACGCGAGAAGAATCATTTGAGATCGGATTTCGAAAATTGGTGAGTAGCAAGTACCTATAACAAATTGCTCATGTATTAACAAAACAATTTTTGTTTTGTCACTTCCGGTTTCACCGGAAACGACCCTTCTTTTGATTTTTAAATGAGACACCCTGTATTTTATTCCATAATCGGTTCGGCATTATCATGACTGATTCAACGATACCGGGTTTGATAGGGTTATCTCAACCGATAACGAAGATATTCCATATGCTCAATGAGTGTGACAGAGAAAGAAGTTTCGATATTGCAGTCACACCCATTGAGCATATGGAAACTCAAACGCAAATATCTTTGTAATCGTTTAAAATAACCCTATCAAACCCGGTATCGATGAATTCGTTATGACAATCCCTAACCGATTATGGAATAAAATACAGGGTGTCCCATTTAAAAATCAAAAATTGGGGTCGTTTCCGGTGAAACCGGAAGTGACTGTTTTGTCAATTAATGAGCAACTCAGTACACTTGTTACCCACCAATTTTTAAAATCCGATCTCTAATGATTCAAAAGATACACCACTGGCTGTTTTTTGCGCACGTCTCTGATAAAATGTATGATTATAGATTGGCGTTTCAACAGGGGTTACCTACGAATACTGCTACACAATTTCAGACTTTTCTATTGAAGTGATCATCAAAGGCACATCACTAAAAGAAGCTCAATTTTTCGATCCTGATAAAACAGCTAATTTCAAAACACCCTCTACATGTCTTGACACCCAAAACACCTTGCATATATTGACCTGTATTTATTCCCTATCTAGAACGGGAGTAAACTGATAATTTTACAGTTTTTAATTATCGTACCCACATTCAGTCACACTTCTACAGAGGATGAGGGTACCCCAGGACTGTTATACAAAACCACATCAAGTCAAGAAAAATCAGTGCCACAGTGAAGTTGAGCAGACTGAACTATGTACCAGACATACGCGGCTGTTGGGTCCGTTCTTTTGATATTGGGGGTAGTTTACACCTATCTTATCGCGAGGCTGTATCTGGGTGACAAGAAAGTTAGCCAGAAAATACTAGCTTTGTCTGAAGCCATAGTGACTGTATTCATCGGGGTTTTTTACGTATATTCTTCCATAGTTCTGAGTAGAATTAGTGAAAAAGGGGGCGAAAACACCGACTTCACCAACACCATAGACAGCATAGTTGTGAGAAATAACACAGATAGTACATATCAAATGGTGAACATGAATGATATTTTTGCAACACAAACAGAAGGTACTAGCAATATTGAAGAAACAACAAAGAAACATGTTGTTACTGAACTACCTGAAAATATTACAAATCAAATGGTGGCCACAAATAATATTATGGAAACACAAACGGAATCTAGGAGCAATGAAATAGAAATAGAGGGAAATGTTACTGATGAACTACCTGAAAATGTGAATGAGACTACTTCGCAACAACCTGTTCAAGAAAAAGTTGCAGAGCCAAACAAAGCTGATGAGTTCTTGCAAAAATACCAGAGTTTCATAAAAGAAATGATGAAGGACAAACTCAAGAATGGATCCTTTCACATTTCCAACCAGACCTACCCCAATCTGAAGAAGGAGCCATCAGCACCAAGAGCTAAAAGAGGCATACAGTTGGAGGAAGAGAAAAAACCAAATTGTTACTATGAATTTTTCATCCATAATGCTCTACTTATTTATTCATTTGTACACTGCTTAATCACAATGGTAAATAATACTCTACATTGCAAAAATTGCATAAAAAAATGTCAAGGTTCTGAAGAGAAGAAAAATTCCATTTCAAGCCAAAAAGATTGGACAAATGATAGCTCTACAGACAGCAATAGTGAGAAAAATGATATTTCATCCCCTGTTGGTCCCTTATTTGAAATAGAAACTGGTGAACCAAATGACATTCCAAATTTGAAGCTCTTTGAAGCAAGGACCAAAGAAACAAGCACAAGCAGTGAGGCAATCCAAGTTGAAGAAGAGGAAATGGTAATAAAAGCAGATATGATTCCCCCACACATCAAACTTGCTTTTCAAGTTTTACTGACCTACCTGTTGCCTGTACTGGGGATAGTTGTACTCTATTGTGTTACAAGCCAAGAATCTCTTGAAATTACTGATCTCAACTTGAGTTTGCTGAATGAACAAAACTTCACAACAATACAGACTGATGGTAATATTTTAAACAGAATTCAGGCCCCCACAAATATCACCAATACAGAGTCCTTAGAAGTAGATAGGGTGATAAAGAATGTGTATAACATTGTGAACCAAGTACGTGAGAATACCACCAAAAAAACAACCTATTTCAGCCCAATGATGGTAGAGACATTGTATTTCATAAAGCCAAGCCACAGAAATCCAAAGGTAAAAGTGGAAAAGTGCCCAACAATTGATCAATCCATCAAAACATATTATTTCTTCATATTCATAGCAGCTTATTTTGCTGCCATACTCTATGCCAGTGTTATTCACATTGATGCAAAATCTAAGAAGGTGGATAGTGCCAAGGAACAAAATATGTCTCTTTTAACGTTCTCAGCACTTTGGTTGCCCAGTGTCTTGGACATTTTCTTCAGGATGTTTGTGACCCAGGAAAAAGCTACAGTATTTTCAGACTTATTTCTAGCCCTCGGAAACTCCAACAGGATCTATACGATGGCGTCGAATCACATCCAATGCAAAAAGTCTGTTTCCAAGCCCAACTTCATACAACCAGAACCATTATGATTTTGTTTGTAATGTAGATTATTATATTGATAAAAACAGTGTGTATATTTGATGCATTTACCTAGATCCTAATGGAAACTGTTTTACGAATCAATCGGTTTTCATCAATATCGTCAATAATCAAAACAACTCTGAATCTGAAATACAATACAACACACACAAAAATTAAATTATCACGAATATGATCGATTTTTCCATACTACCTAACCACAGAATACCAATCAGAGAATACTCAACACCTAACTTTGGAAAATAAAATATATTTCTACGCCCCTGGTTTGACATTTTATGTCAGAATCTACTTCTTTTTCTATGAAACCACTTTGGCGGCACGATCTGTTCTGCGGGCACAAATGGCATGATAGATAATAAATAATCTGAAGCAAACTTCGTTCCGGAAGAGAAATAGTAATATGAAAATGAAATGAAAAAAAAAATGTTTTATTAGCATAGAGATGAAAAATTATAATAAGACCAGTTATTTTTAAATACTCCTAGATCAGTCTACATCTATTTCTTCTTTTCCTCCTTTTTCTCCACTTTCTCCTTTTCCTTGTCCTTATCCTTCTCTTTATTTTCTTTCTCCTTCTTTGCCTCTTCTTTTTTACCCTCCTCAGCATCTTTGTTTGTGAGTTTGTTGTTGATTAGATTATGCAAAGCAACAATGGATCTTACAAGTGCTGCCAAATAAACAACAAGCATCTGATCATTGTTTTTGATATAAAATGAAGTGTTGAAATTCATTTGGTTAATATCAGGCAACAAATTGAAGATATCCTGCAGCTGGTATATGATCTGGTGATTCAAAGGTAGTTTCTCATCACACACTTGGATCAGGTAATCACGAATCTCTCTCAGCTGCAAATGCAATCCTTTGAGACCTAATAGCTGGTTGGTGATCCTTTGAGACAAAGTCCCTACAGTAGTATCTTTAATGTCCCTCAAAAGATGTTCTACTCCAACTTCTTCTGCTTCTTCTGCACCAATTTCACTTGGGACATGCTCAAAAGTCTTTGAGGTAGGAGACCCATCATCATGCACCTCTTCTACAGCCTGATAAGCTTCTGTGGGGAGCCCAAGATCCTTTGGTTTGGCATCTATTATAACCAGAACAGAGTTGGGGCAGTATCTACGGATCAACTCATTGATAGCAATGTCATTTTGATCCAATTTGGGGCCTGTGTGGTACCAACCCACCACTCGTTCACGAGCATTTACTTTTTTGAACATTCCATACATGTTTTCTAGGTAGTCATGATCCAAAAACCATACAGATTTGTCCTTGTCATCTTCATCAAATGGAACTACAAAATATTCTTTCAAATATATATCCAATATGATTTCTGTGTGATTCTTACCTGCGAAACTATTTGATACATCTAGGACGCCTTTGGCACGCCAGCAACCCAATAGGACACCAACGACACGTTTTTGGTTGCCGATTTTTCCCATTCGATTAAAGTGGTCCACAACACTGAGTAATACTAGTGGATGGACTATTACTTTGGTTGTAGTTACCTCCTGACTTGGCATTTTGTATTTTTCAAGAAATGAATGATTATCAATTGGCCGAGAAACCGAGAAAGGAGAATGACATTCAAAAATATCAAGACGTCAACATTCTGACTCTGACGTCACTGAGCAGAAATTATCTTCTTTCTTTTTCTGCTCTTTTTCTTAGTTTCTTGGCCTCTCATCCAGAGTTGGACATCCAGCTATTTATTCTGTTAATGATGGAAGTAAGATACTTATTTCCATCATCATTTTTCCATCATTATTCTGTTCAAATCAATTGCTGCTCACAGGTCCACTACCACTTATGATATAAAAATGATAATGATAGCACAGAACGTTTATATGTAATTAAAAATCTTAGAAAAAAAAGAAGCACTAGGCCATTAGATTGTAAGAAACATAGAAGAAGCAGAAAAATACCATTTTGTATTTTGTCAACGTCAACAAAAAATTGATATGTCATCAATGTCATCTTTTTCATTTTCAAAAAGAAATTCGCAAGAAACCTAGCGTCAATTCATATTCAATTGAATTCAATAAAAAATATAAAAAATTAATGATAAACTGTATATCATAGACAATATTTACCTTTGGGGGGTAGTTTTTTTATTGAATAAGGAATATAAAATAATTTGAATGTTTTTTCCACCGTTATGAAATCTGGCCACAATTCACCTTAAACTTTTATATTTTGTTATAATTTATTATTAATCTAGAATATTAATTTACTAGAATGGCCTATGTTAGTAACTTACGTATAGCAGTAATATGTTCCAGTAACATGAACAGAAGTATGGAAGCTCATGCCTTTCTTTCAAAAAAGGGCTTTCATGTTCAATCATTTGGAACAGGTGACAAGGTTAAAATTCCCGGGTCAGCAGCTGACAAACCGAACATTTATGAATTTGGCACGTCCTATGAAGAGATTTACTTAGATTTATTACAAAAAGATAAATCTCTGTATCCTTATTCCTGAATCAAACCCATTTTATCATCATTATAAAATCAAAATTTCCTTAACTAATCTACAGGTATACACAAAATGGTCTTCTGCATACCTTGGACAGAAATCGAAGGATAAAATCCCATCCTGAAAAATTCCAAGAAGCACTGGACAAATTTGATATCCTCATAACATGTGAAGAAAGAGTGTATGATCAAGTGTTGGAGTATATGGAGAGTAAAACTCCTACAGATAACTCCATAGTACATGTAATCAATATTGATATCCAGGATAACCTGGAAGAAGCTACAATAGGCGCATTTTTGATCAGTGATATGTGTTTAATGGTATAGTATTCACTGTGGAGGATTTTATTGATTGTAGAATTGATGAATTTTTTTCAGATGGCTAAGGCTGAAGATCTGGACAATGACATAGAGGAACTACTCCATAACTTTGAGGAAAAATGTCAGAGATCTATTTTGCATTGTATTGTTTTCAATTGATTCACATTATTTCTTATTGAGCTCCAGCTGACCATTACTATTGATTTCCTGTGAGTTTGGACAAAAAATATAATTATTTTTGCAAAGAATTTCCTTGAAAAATGAAGATTCTCTGATATCCTGTCTCAAAATATTGTCCAGAATCAATTGAATTTATGTACTCAAGTATATCTATTTCTGTAAAATATGGAACACTTGCATATTAATGAACCTTTGGAATGGTTTGTCACATTGTGGTCATTTACATAATGTAGGTACTGAAAGGGCTGTTCCTAAATAAAAATATATTTTGTAAGGTAATAAAAATATTTATTAACAATAATTACAACTGTTTCTATTCATAAAAAAATCACATTGCATTTGTATGTGTCTCCATTCAGCACTTTCTTCCATACCATGTTTGAAAATTTCTTATTTTTAGTGCTGATCTAAATGAGCATAAACCCTTCTCAATTTCTCCTTTTTTGCTTTGTTCTTGTGTTTGTTGTGCTGTTTCCATGGCTTTTCCACTAAGCTACTTGAATTAGGCTGAGAAACTTTACTGAAAAAATAATTCAAATATAGAAATATAATAAAGAAAAGTGAAAAATATGTTACCTATCAGGTATTCCCACTTTACTTATGCCTTTAGCATGAACACCCTGTGCATCAGATTTGAAAAAAACCTTATCCAAATCTTCTGTGGTCATATGATAAGGCTGAAAATCCAGTAAACATATTTTCAATAATACATTTTGATAAAAAAATCTCATTGTTTACAGGCAAAGAAAAGTTGTTAATTCGAATATAAAAATTGTGTACCTTGACAGCTCTGACTGCCCTAGGAGGTAAAACTTTGTCTTCAGAGACTGTCTTTTGCCTTTCAGGCCAAGAATGGTATAATTTTTGGTCCACACTAGGTGGAGCATAGCAGTAGAGCAGTTTGCCATTCATGTAGTCTTTCAAAATGTACCTAGCAGCCCTAGAGTTGTCTGGTTGGCCATTGGCAGTCATAAATCCTCTGTTATCTGTAAACAATTGCAAAATGGTTGTTCTTTTCAACTAGGCATTGAAGTAGATGAGAAAGTAAAGTGTTACTTTACTGCCTTACAAGCATTAAAATAGCTGATATCATAACAATCAAAGGATAAGGCATTGAAATGTTGATTCAAATTGTACTTTACTGTGGAGTTGAACACCTATTTTTCCCAAACTAACAGTAAAACAGCTATATACTGACAATCAGAGGACTAATTTTTCATCCAAAAACTCCAAATATCCAATCACATTCATCAAACCATTAACGGTCAAAAATTCTCAAATCTGTCATTTAGGACATGTGATGGTTATTGGTTTATATTCATACAATACACACAATAGCAAGAAGTTAATCTTACCCAATGCATCTATGGAAGCCTATAAAAAATCCATTTGCTTTAAAGGTGTTCAAATATACAGGGTGATTCACATAAGAACCGACATAGAGCAGGGGCATGTAGGAGGTCCCAAAATATGGCAATTTAACGCAACTTACCTAAGTATATACCAAGTTGCTTCCCTAAGGAGTTATAGGCTTTGCAAGTGAAGTTATAAATTTTAAAAAAAATCAATATCCCCGTTATTCTTGAACTTAAAGCAACCAAAGTTCGTACACTTTGTGGATGTATTTAGGGCGTTACTTGACAGTGACTAGAGCTTAATTGAAATTTGTAAAGGGGGCGCACCATTAATATTCAACAGAATTTTGTTAACCCTCGATGGATTTCAAAAATATTCGCTTTGTTGTGTGGTCAATTCAATTCTAAAACTTTTCTTAGTCCAGTAATTTTTCGAAAAACCTCATCATTTTCATCAAAAACTCGAATAACTGAAAACGCGCGCTCTAGGTGTGTTATTTAAAATCATCGAAAATTCCAAATTTGGTTATGAAAATGAACGTACAACAAGAAAAAAGGTCATTAATTGTGATCAGTAGAAATTGGCTAAAAAATTAAATTATTATTTAGATACCTAACAAAATACGTAAAGTAAGGACAGATACTGAAATGTGAAAAACTTTGATTCAACAACTAACCAAAATAAACACAAAAAACTTAAACAACAACCAGAACAAAAAACTTACTTGCTTCTTGTCAAGTTTGACGTTTATTTTCATAGCCAACTTTTGAATTTTCGATGATTTTAAATAACACACTTAGAGCACGCGTTTTCAGTTATTCGAGTTTTTGATGAAAATGATGAGGTTTTTCGAGAAATTACTGGACTAAGAAAAGTTTTAGAATTGAATTGCCCACAAAGCAAAGATTTTTAAAATCCATTAAGGTTAACAAAATTCTGTTGAATATTAATGGTGCGCCACCCGGTATACCCCCTTTACAAATTTCAATTAAGCTCTAGTTACTGTCAAGTAACGCCCTAAATACATCCACAAAAGTGTACCAAATTTGGTTGCTTTGGGTTCAAGAATAACGGAGATATTGATTTTTTTCGAAATTTATAACTTCACTTTCAAAGCCTATATCTCCTTAGGGAAGCAACTTGGTATAGAGGTAAGTTGCGTTAAATTGCCATATTTTGGGACCACATGCCCCTGCTCTATGTCGGTCCTTATGTGAATCACCCTGTATAATCAACTGTCTGTTGAAATTAAAGAATGTATCAGCAAATTATTTAATAAAAAACTGAAAGAATACCTTATATGAGTAAATAGAGCTTTGAATTGACTGATCTGGCTACATTTGTAATCTTTTCAAGAATTTTTGTAAAAACGCAAAGTAATAATAAGTAGTGACAAATTCTGTGATATAATTATTCTTTTTTTTATGACATGTTTTTTTTAGAGTAAGGACCTCTATGGAAATGTAATTTTCCATGGTTCAATAAAGACTTGTTTCAGCACAATTTAACTTCTGTTAATTTCAGATATTAACTTCAGAACAAGAATTACTTATTTTTTTCAAAATCTTCCAATAAAATAACCCTTCCTGAATGTTGTGTTACAATACAGATGATTCAAATATGCAGAAAATGAAATGCTCACAGAAGGATTCAAAATGTCAATTGAAATAAACCTTCACCTGTTTACAAAAAAAAAACCATCAACTCTCCAATTGTATTCAAATTTTCAACAAGTCAATTTTGATAATTTTAATCACCACCAGAAATAAAATAATGATATTATCAATGCTTCCAATCTATCCTGTTGAATACTAATAGAAAGTATGATACAATAACATCAACCAAATTTCTAAGTGTTGTTATAGACGAAAATTTGAAATGGAATTATCATATTGAGAAACTATGTAATAAACTGAATAGTGTGACCTATAGTTTGAGAATTATGACAAAATATCTGAACAACCCAACATTGAAGATTGTGTATCATGCACATTTTGAAGCAGTGTTAAGATATGGGATTATTTTTAGCAGTGGTGAATTCAAAAAGTTATTCACAATACAGAAACGAGATTTCTTAGAAACGTGTAGAAGTGTAGAGGAAAATTTGAACAAAATAGAATTCTAACAGCTAGTGCAATATTTATACAAGAGTGTTTACTATTCTTCTTTAAAAATCAACATTTTTTCAATGATTGTCTTTCACAACATACATATATTATGGTACTAGATAATTTATAACTATCCAGCACACAGACTAACACTCACAGAAAAAAGTACAAAATACTGCTGCTTAAGATTTTTTATGAAGCTGCCTCGTGAGGTTCAAGAAAACAATTTTTAATTTATTAATGAAAATAGAGTCTTATACTGTAGATGATTTTATATCAGCACAACTATAATAGTATAATGTCATAATTATGTTATTCTATCTGTATTCCATACATTTTTATAAAATCTATGTTATTTAAATGTTGTACATGTGAAATAAACAATTTTGTATAATGTAAATATTAGGTACACGTCCTGTCAAATGTACCATTTTGTGATGTTTTTTCATTTAATGTTTTGTGTTAAATTGTATTTATTGCATAACATTCCTTGAAATAAAGATTATTATTATTATTTTTATTACTCACAAGCATATGCATTGAGCAATTCTTCAGCTGTAGGATCCCTATCAGGATCTTCACCTTCCATTGGTTTCGGCAACATTATCCCATATTTTTCCTCAATCACATACCTGGGAATCAAACTAGTCAACAAATTGGTCGGAGGCACATGATCCCTGGAAAAAAAAATTAAAAAGATGTCAAAGAATCAATAATCAAAAGAATTCTTTTTACCTCATTTGATCTATGGGAAGGATTCCATTCAAAATCATCTCAGATTTGGAGAAGACAAAGCTGGGCATCACTAGACCGGGACAGTCACAAAGGAGGATGTCTTTATCCAAGTAGAGGGTTTGGAAGTGCTTGGTCTTGCCAGGGGTTGCAGAAACAGACACTTTTTTGGCCGACAAAAGGGCGTTTATGGTGGAACTTTTGCCGACGTTCGGATAACCTACCAGGCCAATGGTTGTCAGACCTTTTGTCACCTAAAAAAATGGAGAAATTCAAGTCAGAATCTTATCTTGTGAATAGGACAATCAGCACTAAATGTAATATGTCAGAGTCTAATGAATTTCCAATAAGTAAAGGTGTTCCACAGGGATCTGTTCTCGGACCCATCTTGTATTTATTATATATTCAAAATATTTCTAAAATTGGATTGTCAGGTAATTATACTATATATGCAGATGATACTGTACTTTTATGGGAAGACAAAAACCCCATCATTCTAGAAAATATTATTAAGGAAGATTTGAAAAAATTTGAAAAATGGCTTTATTCAAACATTTTATCAATTGATACCAATAAAACTGAATATATAATATTCCATCAAAAAAATAAACAGAATATTAGTCTCAATCTCCAAATTAAAAATAAAGTATTGAAAAGAACTACACAAATAAAGTATCTTGGTATGTGGATTGATGAAAAATTGAAATGGGACAAGCATATAGAGGTTCTGATACAAAAAATATCTCCGATCATTGGAGCTTTGCAAAGATGTCATAAACTTGACAAAAAAGTCATAAACATAGTACTTTATTCTCATATATTCAGTGGTATTACCTATATGATAAACATTTGGGGATCTTGTTCAAAAAATTATTTCAGTAAAATATCTGCACTTTATAAGAAAACACTGAAAGTATTGTATTGCCTCTCATTTGATATCCCAACAAATGATCTGTATGCCATAAAAGAAAAATTTTCATTAGATGAATTATATAAAATAGAGTCTCTTAAAGTTTCATTTAATATCATAAACAATAATCTGAAATCCAATTTTATTTTGATAATAAACTCAGAAATTCATGGTCATCACACTAGACAATCAAACTTATTTCATCTTGATTCTGCTACTTCTATAATTGGCCAAAAAAAAATTACTCACACTGCTCTAGCTGAATTTAATAAATTACCACATAATATAAAAAATTGCAGACATATTTCAAAATATAAAATTGAATTTAAAAAACACATGATTTCATTACCAAATGGATAAAATTGATACTTTGTCATCTACTGATTAGTCCCTATGACTATTTTTATGACTTGATTGATTCAGCATTTTTAGATTTTTTAGATTTTTATTGTTGTTGTTGTCAACTAAAATTATTTTATTATTGTTGTTTGTAATCAACTTCCTCCTATCAGAATTTTATTTTTGACTGGAAGCTAGTTTTTTCAATAAACAATAATTGAAAATTGATAGTGCTAGTATCTACTAACCTTGGGTCCTTCATGAATAGTCCTCAACAATTCAATAAGCTCTTCTTTATCATAAAGATGACATGAATTTTCTCCTGGCCCTACACACTTTCCTGCCAAACTAGTTTTACCAATGATTTCTTCAATCTTATCCATGATAGTACTCAAAGTTTTAGCATTTTTCTCAACTGCAGTTTCCAATTGGGTAACATTTTCTTTAACACTGTCTAAATCAACTGTTTCATCAGCCTCTTCTTGGCTAGCAACTGCTTCTTCTTCAGCTTCCTCATTTTCTTCTACTACAGGTTCCATTGCAGCTAGATGAGCTGAAAAAAATACTACCCTGACACTGATGGAAGTGAAGTAATCTGCCCACGCTTGCCTCTGTGCTTCAGTCATGAAATCTGCTTTGTTTATTAACACCATGTTCATTTTGTCAGGAGATATTTCCTTGACATACTTTTCCAAGTCCTCACATCTGAATAAAAGTGGATTTCTTGCATCAACAATTTGGGTAACTACATCACTACGTTCTACAACACGCCACAGTTGTCTCCAGAATTCCAAGTTTTTTTCATAGGGTGTCAATAGGATGCCTTGATCTTCTTGAAGCTGTGCCAGAGACCGACGCCATTCTAGGAAGTGTTCTCTTTCATTTTGGTCCAGTTGCTCTGCAGTTGTGCTTGCATCCCAGTCTGGCCTGAAAAAAATTGCAATTTCATCAAATTGGACTTTATTAGTTCTGATATGATACCTTCTGGGGATTTTCAGGGCTGTTCTATATTTGTTATGGGCATCTTTGGCGCTTTTCAGTTCATCAGCAGTTAACAATCCTACATTAGATCTTGGATTGACAAATTTGATATTCAGTTTCTCTGCTTGAAAATCTGTGCCAGCTAGCTCAGCAGTAGAGAGGAATTCTTGAAAAGACGATTCTTCAGTTACTGATTGTAAGTTCAGACGGCCCCAATCGTATCCGTCCTGTATTTCTGTAGTGTGCAGCTGCAAATTGAGGTTACTTTATGGGAAAAAGTATTTATTTTGTTGATGTTACCATCGAGTTATTAGCAACCATTTTTTTGCCTTTGGTGCTACCGAATCGGTCCTTTATAAGGCTTCTGCCTATGCTATTACCATGACCACCAGATTTATCTTTCTTTCCCATTTTTCAAAATTTAATTTTCGAAATTCACCATACATGAATATTCATAACACTCATGACATTGACATGATGACATGTCTCCTCTCCTGTCTCGCTAAACTTGCTAAAGTTAATTTTTCTTCCATAGTTGTAGTTGTCTTTGTTCATGGCATGATGAAAACAGAGAGAGTCATAGAAAAAAATCAAGTTCAACAGGTAGAGCAAGAACAAACGAACAGGCCTATAAAAATGGACAAACTGGAAAGAGCAGTAGAGCCACACTGATCACTGATATGTCACTGGATTTTCGTACAAGTTCATTGGTTGAACAGTTTGTGAGTATTTTGAATAAACCAATTAAATCAAATGTTATGACACTTTTATAGAATGATTAGCACACGATTAGCTTGACCTGTATTTGGATTAAATATTCAAGACCTCTTCAATTCAATGATTTCTTGATTTTTCTATTTCCTGCTGAAATTCTGGATATCATTCATCTGGAATATTACAAAGACTTGCAAAAAGAATTAAATTTTCCATAAATTTTATTTACGACATGACTCTGCGCATGCTCAATAATTCGTTATCATGCGCATTCGAATTCGAGTGCGCATTGTTTCAAAAACGGTTCTCGAGCTTTCCGCGCATGCCCAAAATAATCCATTATAGAACGAAACGGACCGTTCTAAAAATGTCACTTCTCGTATTACAAATCGCCATTTTGCTCTTGTAGTTTCCAATTTCAAATCCGTTCACATCCCAAGATTGGCCAAACTTCCACTCGAAAATTCCCAGTTTCGTTCCTAGTTCTTCACCAACCAGAAAATTCGTGCAATATTTTTCTGTTAGCAACCGAGAACAAGTGAAGTGACAGTTTTGTTTTGATCTGTTGGCGACCAAACTAAAATGGCGTGTGCAACTTTGAAGAGATCGTTAGACTGGGAGCCCGTTTTGGGAGGCCGTCCTGCCAAGAGAAGACGATGTGTTCCGTTCTGCTCGAGCCCCACGCACGGAGGGCTAGGCTCCCCAGGGCCTTCGACTTCCAGCAGCCCTTCTGGGTCTACATCACCCAAAAGTTCCGTATTCCCAGACGTGTTGAACAAGAAGTTGACCCCAGGTGAGCGCAATAATTAATTAGCGAGGAAATTTCCGGTAGTAATGTAAATTCAGGTTTGATTGGGCAATAAATTATTGTTTTTGAAGCTTCTGACAGTTCATTTGTCATCAGCTGATTAATGACATGTTGATGTTTACAGTTCTATATACATACATTCATACCTTTTATGTTTGGGTCTTTGTTGTATTCAAATGCTGATTAGGAGTTAATCAAATACAACACAGAACAGCTTTGATAAATTAATTATTGCAGAGAACTTGATTGACAACTTGAAGGCTGAAATCAAAAGACTGCAGAAACGTAAGCAGTTGCAGTATAGCAATATGGAAATGTCAGATGGTGGGAGCTCAGGTGGAGAATTTTGTGACTCTCCTTCACGTTCTGATAAACCACTGTTTACCTTCAAACAGGTACCTACCTACTGTTGGCCCTTTGATTGGATAGGTGACATAATGTTTTATTATTTTTTAGGTAAGTTTAATTTGTGACAGAATGCTGAGAGAGCGTGAGATAGAGATTAGAGAAGAATATGACAGTGTGCTGACAGCTAAACTTGCTGAACAATATGATGCCTTTGTTAAATTCACCTATGATCAAATCCACAGAAATTACAACAATACTGCAACAACACCAAGTTGTAAGTGCCATCCAATTTTCATTACTTTCCCTTCTGTTCATTTCAGTTTTTCTAACCATTGACCTGATAATGTATTGCATATTCTTCAGTTGATTTTTTTTATTTCAGATTTATCATAAGTTGTGACCTACCTAATCCAAGTACTTGTAGCTCGATGCTATAGCCACTTTTTACAGTTGTTTACTGTCGTTCATATACACAAAACATACAAATATTGACAAGAAGTAATGAGGATAGTGTATCTGCAGCAAGACGCCTTAGATCATAACCATTCTTGCTAGCATAATAATTGTATATATATTGAATACTTGAATATACCACATTCTTTTGTAATATCCTAGACAGTACATATTAATAATTATTCCTGCTTGTCATTTTTTCTTTCTGTACATATTATTTCTGAGCAGATAGAAGAAATATTTGCATTATGATGGTTCTTCTTGAACATTGTATGAATGATGATGGTTCATATAAACTTAGTGTGATAGGCAAATTTGCAGAATGATAACTTTAAAATTGGATGTCTAGAAGATACCAGAACACCAAAACAATTTATATAGAAATGAGGTTACTTTGAAATTTGTTTGCAGGGTGTTTTATTTGAACTGATGGTGACAGGAATTCATATTGAAACATTCACCCTGTATGTCTTGACTGTTTGAATTTTGATGTGACATTTATTTTATTCTGGGTGTGTGATAAAATATGAAAATCTAAATCTTACATTCCTCAAACTATATTTTTTGGCATGCTTAAAAGAACTGAGGAAGTTTATCATTGTTTCTTTGTTTTTTTTTTCAAAAAGGTCAAAGTCGGCTTTTGAAGATTGATGAAATCAACTTTAAATATATGTTTTAATAGATTTTTGATGATACCTATGTGAAGAACTGTATTAGGAGTTAGCTTGTTGAAAAATAACTTGATGTTGGAATTCTAATTGAAATTTATGATAATTATGATATACAAAAGTAATGTATAAATTCTCTCATAACACTGTCAGGATTTTTTAATGGAAATGTCCAAAACATGTCTAATTTTGAAAAAGTTAGTATTTTGTAGACTTTAGCTAAGTATGAAAGAGGTTTCTATTTTTGTCGTTATAGTCCCTATTTTTAGCATAACTTAGGATTAAATGAAGTTTTTCTCAATTTTAGGTTAGCAGTTTAAACGTAATTCTGATTTTTTTTGCTTATGTGTACACCACTACAGCTTTTTATTTATTTAAGCTTTTTCTATTCAATAAATTGTCTATTATAGTTGTTAATAATTTTTTTGTTTACCTAGTACTGCAAACTACAATTAACATTAAGAATAAGGTTGATTTGTTTTAGTTTGAATGACATTTAATAAAAAAAATGGGCCTTCAATTTGTATTTTATTTCTAGAAGGATGATGATACATCAAAAGACAGCATCATTAACAAATAATTGTTTTATTTGATACCAATATGCCATTAAAACATTTGAATTTCAACATAAAATAGACTATACATCTTAAAAATTCAATTTTTCTCCTATATCATTATTTGGCATGTATTAGAATAATTTCCTAACTTGAAATAGTAACATCAGTAAAACAAAATATCAAAAAAATGCATTGATAACGTCCTAAAATAATGTGGAAAAGTTTTGGCTAGAGATTCCATCATTGCAAAATATCTTTACTTCCAATTCAAAACATAAAGAACCTTGAACCTCACACTTTGATTCCTCTATCATAAATATACAGATTTTTTTAATATTCTGTTGAGTGGAAGCAAGTAAAACCCCATTATTCAGCATATACCAGGTTTGTTTCTATAGGAAAACAAGATTAAAATTGAAAATAGGTTTTCTGTAACTTTATAACAATCTATTTGGAAAAATATTTTGAAGCTTCATATTGAATTGAAAAGAAAAAGTTCTGAAAAACCTCTATTGTCTAATTTCAATATAAATCAAAATACAGAACTCTCCCCTCAAAAATATCTCCAATTGTTATTCCAATGATTTCACTATTAATGACAACAAATATTTGGCAGGAAAAATAGAGATACTTATATCAATTTTTTTCAAAAACTTGCAATTGAACAGAATTTGTAGAATATTGAATAAACCATTATTAATTATCAAATCACAGCATTTCAAGACCATGAATATAGATATACGATTATACCCCTTACCCTAATAGTACGCTCATCAATATCAAAAAAAAAGTTTGCTATAAGCTTACTCGAAAATTTGACTAGCCGCGTTTCTGATACTGTCAAAACACACATACACACAGTTCAATAATCCCCTTTCACACATCCATATTTCTACCTATACCTATTCCATCCCAACAACGCTCCAAAATCACCGATAAAAAATTATTCAATCACACCTGAAAATTCAACAGATAATCCTTGAGTTGCGTCGGCAGACTCAACTTGTTGAGGTACAAACCAGGTCTTCGGCCTAAACAGTTGTGTATCCGAACCCGGCACATCTGCTTGAGACTCCTGGGGCGCTTGTACAAGTCCCTAAAGAAGAAAGAAAGACTTTGAATGTACCTTCATCCCAGTAATTGACCATTTATCACATGAAAATTAAAATGCTCCTTGAATCTTGTGCCTATTATTTGGCGAGTTTGCCCAATATTTGTTTTCAGCCTTCACCAACATTATACACCATTCACATTTTTTGTGACTCAAAAGGAAAGTTCAAAATATTTTGATAGATTGATCGATTGATTTATTACCTGATGATGAACGTCCTCGGCTCTAAAAATAATTGCAGTAGGTTATGAAATAATGAACACAATACTCCAAAAGGGCCTTCAAAAGTATTGTTTGTTACATGTTTAAGAAGGCTTGAATCTATAGTGATAGGGTTAACAATATGCTCCTTGAATCTTGTGCCTATTATTTGGCGAGTTTGCCCAATATTTGTTTTCAGCCTTCACCAACATTATACACCATTCACATTTTTTGGGACTCAAAAGGAAACTTCAAAATATTTTGATAGATTGATTGATTGATTTGTGGCAGACTCAACTTGTTGAGGTACAAACCAGGCCTTCGGCCTAAACAGTTGTGTATTCGCACCCGGCACATCTGCTTGAGACTCCTGGGGCGCTTGTACAAGTCCCTAAAGAAGAAAGAAATACTTTGAAAAAGGTATTTGTTTGCAGTCAAGTTGGGTGTCATTATTTTCAATACTTCAAAACGGCCTTCAGAAGTGTTTTTTGTTACATAGGAAGGCTTGAATTAAATCTATGATGATAGGAATATCAAAATGCTCCTTGATTCTTGTGCCTATTATTTGGCGAGTTTGCCCAATATTTGGCGAGTTTGTCCAATATTTGTTTTCAGCCATCACCAACATTATACACCATTCACATTTTTTGGGACTCAAAAGGAAACTTCAAAATATTTTGATAGATTGATCGATTGATTTATGGCAGACTCAACTTGTTGAGGTACAATTAACCAGGCCTTCGGCCTAAACAGTTGTGTATTCGCACCCGGCACATCTGCTTGAGACTCCTGGGGCGTTTGTACAAGTCCCTAAAGAAAAAAGAAATACTTTGAATGTACCTTTATCCCAGTAATTGACCATTTATCACATGAAAATAGTTAGTCATTTTTTGCCATTTGTTTGCAGTCAAGTTGGGTGTAATTTTTTGGATTCAATACTTCAAAACGGACTTTAAAAGTGTTTTTTGTCACATCTTAGGAAGGCTTGAATTAAATCTATAGTAATAGGAATATTGAAATGCTCCTTGAATCTTGTGCCTATTATTTGGCGAGTTTGCCCAATATTTGTTTTCAGCCTCAACCAACATAATACACCATTTACTTTTTTTGTGACTCAAAAGGAAAGTTCAAAATATTTTGATAGATTGATCGATTGATTTATTACCTGATGATGAACGTCCTCGGCTCTAAAAAGAATTGCAGTAGGTTATGAAATAATGAACAAAATACTCCAAAAGGGTCTTCAAAAGTATTGTCTTACATGTTTAAGAAGGCTTGAATCTATAGTGATAGGGTTAACAATATGCTCCTTGAATCTTGTGCCTATTATTTGGCGAGTTTGGCCAATATATGTTTACGGCCCTCACTACCCGAATATAGCATCAAAATATTTTGATATATTGATCAATTGATTGCGAGATTGATTGATTACCTGATGATGAACGTCATCGGTTCGAATATCCTCCCCAGCACAAGAGAATGTGAACAAATTTGAAATATTCAGATTTTCAAGGCCTACTTTTGTTTGGTGAAGGGGACAAAAATTTCAGAAACGACTATTAGGGATAGCAGTATGTTCTTTAAATTGTGTACCTATTATTTGACGAGTTTGCCCAATATATTTTATATAAATACCTGACTTTCTGAGAACAAACAATATTTTTTATTGATGATGATGATGAACGTCATAGGCTCTGTCATCTTTTCCGGCAACTGATATTTCACATTTCAAATCGAAAGAATTGCAGTACACTATAAAATGTTCAATTTAATACTTCAAAAAGGCCTTCAACAGTATTGTTCGTTAGGTTGAGAAGTCTTGAATTGAATTTATAGCGATAGGGATAGCAGGATGTTCTTTAAATCGTGTACATATTATTTGGCGAGTTTGTCCAATATATTTTATGTAAATACCTGACTTTTTGGGAACAAACGATATTTATTATCGGTGATGATGATGATGAACGTCATAGGCTCTGTCATCTTTCCCAGCAACTGATATTTCACATTTCAAATCGAAAGAATTGCAGTACACTACAAAATGTCCGATTCAATACTTCAAAAAGGTATTCAACAGTATTGGTCTCTGCGTTGAGAAGTCTTGAATTGAATTTATAGCGATAGGGATAGCAGGATGTTCTTTAAATCGTGTACATATTATTCGGCGTGTTTGCCCAATATATTTTATGTAAATACCTGACTTTTTGAGGACAACAAACGATATTTTTGATTGATGATAATGATGAACGTCGGCTCTGTCATCTTTCCCGGCAACTGATATTTCACATTTTAAATCGAAAGAATTGCAGTAGACTAAAATGTCCGATTCTTTACTTCAAAAAGGCCTTCAACAGTATTGTTCGTTGCGTTGAGAAGTATTGATTTGAATTTATAGAGATAGCAGGATGTTCTTTAAATCGTGTACATATTATTCGTTGAGTTTGCCCAATATATTTTATGTAAATACCTGACTTTTTGAGGACAACAAACACTATTTTTGATTGATTATCTAGTGATGAACGTCATAGGCTCTGTCATCTTTCCCGGTACCAAACTCAACTGTTGAGTGTGCAGAATCTTCAAGCACTCAAAAAGCGGCCGCTGCTCCATTACGCAATAAAAGAGCACGATGATCTTATATATTTTTCAGCCTTCGATTTCCACTCAAAATAATCTACCGAGCAATGCATTTCACATTTTAAATCGAAAGAATTGCAGTAGACTATACAATTTCCGATTCAATACTTCAAAAAGGCCTTCAACAGTATTGTTCGTTGCGTTGAGAGGTCTGGAATTGAATTTATAGCGATAGGGATAGCACTATGTTCCTTAAATCGTGTACATATTAATCGACGAGTTTGCCCAATATATTTTATGTAAATGCCTGACTCCTGAGGACAACGAACAATATTTTTGATTATCTGATGATGAACGTCATAGGCTCTGTCATATTTCCCGTTCAATATGTTCTTTAAATCGTGTACCTATTATTTGACCAGCTTACCCAATATATTTCATGTAAATACCTGTTTTTTTGAGGAAAACAAACAATATTTTCGATTGATTACCTGATGATGAACGTCATTGGCTCTGTCATCTTTCCCGGCACCAAACTCAACTGTTGAGTGTGCAGAATCTTCAAGCACTCAAAAAGCGGCCGATGCTCCATCACGCAGTAAAACAGCACGATGATCTTATATATTTTTCAGCCTTCCACTCAAAATAATCCTCCCAGCGGTGTATTTTACATTTTAAATCGAAAGAATTGCAGTAACTATAAAATTTCCTATTCAATACTTCAAAAAGCCCTTCAACAGTATTGTTCGTTACGTTAAGAAGTCTTGAATTGAATTTATGGCGATAGGGATACCAGAATGTTCTTTAAATCGTGTACATATTATTCGGCGAGTTTGCCCAATATATTGTCACAAATAGGGTTATTTTTCATTCATTCATTCAAATTCATACAAGGTTCGAAGTCATTGAACGGTCGCGTCTTTGTTTATGAATTCCAAAATTTTCGAATCGTGAACGAACTCTTTTTTCCATAGTTGAACATAAACACAGGCGTGACATTGACTTCAACGAACCTGGACTATCGACCTGATTTCCTTACTGTCACGTTTCCGAAAATAAAGACAACTATTTAAAAGACGTAAGGAAGCGGGTTCGACAATTCGACTACCGGTTCGACTGCGAGTTCAACTGACATTTCGAGTTCTACCGATTGTAAGTTTGTAAAGTTGCCACTGTGCCCGAATCTTCGGAGTTCGGGCAGAACAGAAGATGCCCTTCCTCAGGCTCCCAGAAATACCAGTTAATTTTGTACATATAGGGTAAGTTAAGGTTTCATTAATTGTTATTCATTTATGTCAAGAATAAATGTGTGTGTATGTTTCGTTTGAAAACCTTTTGAGTATCATTTATTATCACTTTTAATGTTCATTCTCTAATGGATCTAGAACACAACTTAGGCAACCCCCGCCTACAGTTTGTGACAATATTTTATGTAAATACCTGACTTTTTGAGGACAACAAACGATATTTTTGATCGATGATGATGATGATGAACGTCATAGGCTTTGTCATCTTTCCCAGCAACTGATATTTCACATTTCAAATCGAAAGAATTGCAGTACACTATAAAATGTCCGATTCAATACTTCAAAAAGGCCTTCAACAGTATTGTTCGTTACGTTGAGAAGTCTTGAAATCAATTAATAGCGATAGGGATAGCAGGATGTTCTTTAAATCGTGTACATATTATTCGACGAGTTTGCCCAATATATTTTATGTAAATACCTGACTTTTTGAGAACAAACGATATTTTTGATCGATGATGATGATGATGAACGTCATAGGCTTTGTCATCTTTCCCAGCAACTGATATTTCACATTTCAAATCGAAAGAATTGCAGTACACTATGAAATGTGCGATTCAATACTTCAAAAAGGCCTTCAACAGTATTGTTCGTCACGTTGAGAAGTCTTGAATTTGAATTTATAGCGATAGGGATAGCAGGATGTTCTTTTAATCGTGTACATATTATTCGGCGAGTTTGCCCAATATATTTTATGTAAATACCTGACTTTTTGAGGACAACAAACAATATTTTTGATTGATGATGATTATGATGAACGTCATAGGCTCTGTCATCTTTCCTGGTACCAAACTCAGCTGTTGAGTGTGCAGAATCTTCAAGCACTCAGAAAGCAACCGGTGCTTCATCACGCTTCAAAACAGCACAATGATTTTATATATTTTTCAGCCTTCGGTTTTCACTCAAAAGTTATCTTCCCAGCGATGTATTTCACATTTTAAATCGAAAGAATTGCAGTCGACTATAAAATTTCTGATTCAATACTTCAATAATGCCTTCAAATGTATTATCCTTTACGCTGAGAAGTCTTGAACTGAATTTATAGCGATAGGGATAGCAGTATGTTCTTCAAATCGTGTATATACTATTCGGCGAGTTTGCCCAATATATTTTATGTAGATGCCTGATTTTTTTGAGAACAAACAATATTTTTGATTGATTTCCTGATGATGAACGTCATATTTCCCGGCACCAAATTCAACTGTTGAGTGTGTAGAATCTTCAAGCACTCAGAAAGCGGCCGGTACTCCATCACGCAGTAAAACAGCACGATGATCTTAAATATTTTTCAGCCTTCGGTTTTCACTCAAAATAATCTACCAAACGATGTATTTCACATTTCAAATCGAAATAATTGCAGTAGACTATAAAATTTCTGATTCAATAATTCAAAAAGGCCATCAAATTGTCCTTTACGTTGTGAAGTCTTGAATTGATTAAATATTATTATTATTATTATTATCATTTATAGCGATAGGGATAGCAATATGTTCTGTAAATCGTGTACCTTTTATTCGACGAGTTTGCCCAATATATTTTATGTAAATGCCTGCCTTTTTGAGGAAACTTAACAATATTTTTGATTGATTACCTGATGATGAACGTCATAGGCTCTGTCATCTTTCCCGGCACCAAACTCAACTGTTGAGTGTGCAGAATCTTCAAGCACTCGAAAAGCGGCCGGTGCTCCATCACGCAGTAAAACAGCACGATGATCTTGGAAAAGCTGAGATTGGGATCGGTGATCAAATTTTCTTTGCGCGATATCAGCATGATGTAATAGTAGAGCACGTAGTTCTTGGTCTTCCAGATGCTCTGCGACTGCAACGGGTGGTTCTTCATGGCCTCGGACATGTTGAGGCTGAGGTCAGGGTTGGCGCCGTACTGGATGAGGGTGAGAGTGAGGTCGTAGACGTAGTGGATGTCGTTGCAGTCCCTCACGTTCTGAATCATACGAGAAGAGACCATTTTATTTACAATCATCGGCAAAAAAAAACTGGTCCGAAAACAAATTAGCCAAATTGATCGCCCTGTAATTTTTCAATTCTTGGCCGATTTTGGACGGCCGAAAGTGCCAGAAAACGGCGAATTATCGCTTTTCCAGTAGAAAATGACACGCTGAATCGAATGAGACTATAATCAGCCCCATAGGACTGATACTTTTCGAGATATTGGCGCTCAAAGTCAGTTTTTCGCTTTTATTGCCAATAGGAGCACTCCGGTAGGCTACTACGTCTCCATTTTCGGAAATTTCCCGATTTCCACCACAGATTCGTTCATTTCGACATTGAATTAGTCTATGTGAATTTTTTCAGATTTTTAATTGGCCAAATAAAAATTTTCATTTTCCCACCTAAGACTTCAGTACGATATAGTCACCGAGCCATCTTCGGACGGCCGAAGGTGCTAGAAAACGGCGAAAATCCACGCGAATTATCGCTTTTCCAGTAGAAAATGACACGCTGAATCGAATGAGACTATAATCAGCCCCATAGGACAGATACTTTTCGAGATATTGGCGCTCAAAGTCAGTTTTTCGCTTTTATTGCCAATAGGAGCACTCCGGTAGGCTACTACGTCTCCATTTTCCAGAATTTCCCGATTTCCACCACAGATTCGTTCATTTCGACATTGAATTAGTCTATGTGAATTTTTTCAGATTTTTAATAGGCCAAATAAAAATTTTCATTTTCCCACCTAAGACTTCAGTACGATATAGTCACCGAGCCATCTTCGGACGGCCGAAAGTGCTAGAAAACGGCGAAAATCCACGCGAATTATCGCTTTTCCAGTAGAAAATGACACGCTGAATCGAATGAGACCATAATCAGCCCCATAGGACAGATACTTTTCGAGATATTGGCGCTCAAAGTTAGTTTTTCGCTTTTATTGCCAATAGGAGCACTCCGGTAGGCTACTACGTCTCCATTTTCCAGAATTTCCCGATTTCCACCACAGATTCGTTCATTTCGACATTGAATCAGACTATGTGAATTTTTTCAGATTTTTAATAGGCCAAATAAAAATTTTCATTTTCCCACCTAAGACTTCAGTACGATATAGTCACCGAGCCATCTTCAGACGGCCAAAAGTGGCAGAGAACGACGGAAATCCACGCGAATTATCACTTTCCCAGTAGAAAACGACACGCTGAATCGAATGAGACTATAATCAGCACCATAGGACAAATACTTTTCGAGATATTAGCGCTCAAAGTCAGTTTTTCGCTTTCATTGCCAATAGGAGCTCTCCGGTAGGCTACTACGTCTCTATTTTCCAAAATTTCCCGATTTCCACCACAGATTCGTTCATTACGACATCGAATCAGTCTATGTGAATTTTTTTAGATTTTTAATAGGTCAAATAAAAATTTTCATTTTCCCACCTAAGACTTCAGTACGATATAGTCACCGAGCCATCTTCGGACGGCCGAAAGTGCCAGAAAACGGCAGAAATCCTCGCGAATTATCGCTTTCCCAGTAGAAAACGACACGCTGAATCGAATGAGACTATAATCAGCCCGATATGACAGATAGTTTTTGAGATATCGACGCTCAAAGTCAACTTTTCGCTTTTATTGCCAATCGGAGCACTCCGGTAGTCTACTACGTCTCCATTTTCCAAAATTTCCCGATTTCCACCACAGATTCGTTCATTTCGACATTGAATTAGTCTATGTGAATTTTTTCAGATTTTTAATAGGCCAAATAAAAATTTTCATTTTCCCACCTAAGACTTCAGTACGATATAGCAATAGGATCAGTAAATTCTTGATGAACTCAAAGTTCTGCTCTTCCTGGACGACGCAGTACAGGTAATTGATGTCTGTTGGCAATAACATGACTGGATCTTTATGTATTATGTACATGTATCAGATTGAAAAGAGTTAAATTGATGCCTCAACGAGGAAGTTGCACTATGATATGAAGCAGTGTATCATAGTCCCTAGCTTTTATGGTACATTTTTCATTTTGGGTGAATGAAAAATTCAGTAAAAAAATGGAAAATCTGCAAGAAAACAACAAAAAGTGTTGTTCGTTGCGTTCGATAGCAGGATGTTCTTTAAATCGTGTACATATTATTCGGCGAGTTTGCCCAATATATTTTATATGTAAATACCTGACTTTTTGAGGATAACAAAATATATTTTTGGTTAATGATGAACGTCATAGGCTCTGTTATTTTTCCCAGCAACTGATATTTCACATTTTGAATCGAAAGAATTGTAGTAGACTAAAATGTCCGATTCAATACATCAAAAAGGCCTTCAACAGTATTGTTCGTTGCGTTGAGAAGTCTTGAATTGAATTAATAGCGATAGGGATAGCAGGATGTTCTTTAAATCGTGTACACATTATTCGGCGAGTTTGTCCAATACATTTTATGTAAAAACAACAAAAAGTGTATTTCTTGCCTGTATCATGTCCATGCAGGATTGCAAAATATGCTCGGTGCGCCTGCTGACTCGCACGTTCGGGTCCAGCCCGTGGGTCAGCAGCAGGATCAGCAAATTCTTGATGAACTCGAAGTTGAGCTCCTTCTGAACCACGCAGTTCAGGGTGATGTTTTCGGATACGGTGAAGACGAGCACGTGCAAGGGAGTGAGGTTGGCGCGGTAGCTGCAATTCGGGTTGGCGCCGTTTTTCAACAGGATGCGGATGCAGTTCAGATAGCAGACCTACAAACGAGATCGGTGATTTTTCTTGTAGAAATTCCAACCCAGTATGACTTAGTTACAAATAACCTTTTTTTCTCTTACAGATGATATGTCGCAGTAATAGTTTTGTGTTGATAACAACGGAGTTATCGTTACAAAAACAAAAACTTATTTGAAAGCCGCCATATTGATTTTATAAATTTTAACAAAAAAATCATGATCTCCGACCTCAAAAACCCCCACTTACCAATTTTGAATGGAATCGGACCAAATCTTGTCCGCCATCTTGGAGCAGCCATTTTTTTTAATTTCAACAAAAATTCCATAACTCCGATTAACTTGAAATTTGGCAGGTGTTCATAATTTCTGTGACAATACATTATGGAATTTTTGTTGAAATTAAAAAAAAATGGATGCTCAACTCAGCTCAAGTGGGGGTTTTTGAGGTCGGAGATCATGATTTTTTTGTTAAAATTCATAAAATCAAGATGCCGGCTTCCAAATAATTTCATGTTTTCGTATAAATGACGATAACTCCGTTGTTATCAACACAAAACAATTACTGCGACATATCATCTGTAAGAGAAAAAAAAGTTATTTGTAACTAAGTCATAGTGAGCTATGACCTACATTTGAAAAACTAAAGTTGGTGCTGATACCTCAAATTCTAGAAGAGTTGGTATAAATTTCATATTTTTTTCGAAATCACTTTGAAAAACTGCCATGAGAATGTGAAATTCCTATTTGAATATTTTCATAAATAAAGAAGTTATGGAGGAGACATGAAAATGATCAAAATCTGTTTTTTGCGTATAAAACAAAAACGAATAGATTTTATCAAAATATTTTTTCACATTATAGTTGGCCTTGACAAACTCCACATTTGGTGTCATTTAACCGACCTCGTATCTCTCACCGTTAAAAAGATACCCATGGTGAGCATGGTAAGTGAGACACACTGTATACCATACGTACATATTGTGTGTATCAAAAAATTGAAATATTTAATAATGATAAGCCCAGATTGATTCTTTATTCATATTTGGCAACAACGCACGCACGCGTTTTATTCTTCATCTTGGACATATTCATGATCTCGAAAATTTTTCCGGAAACAATGTAACCTCTAGTGGTATTACAAGTGAAAATTCAATTCATGTATGGAAAATCCTATAAGCCCCTATGATTTTGTCAGCAAGACAGCAAAACAAGTTTGCCCCTGGTTTGCCATTACTTTGACAGCTACAAAACATAGCAACATTTGAAAGCATGACAACCAAAATTCTAAACAAATCTTTGGAAGCGTTATTGTGAATTTTTCTCAAACTTGTTGTCAAAGAAGTATCTAATCTGTGGAAATGTCGCGATTTGGAGAGTCTTGTTTGAATGGAGAAAAACGGACCCGTGAGGCAATTTATTTCGTTTAATTTCCAGGGCAACAAGTCCGAAAATTTTCATCTGATATCCAAAAATATTTCTGGATATGGAACCGGATGCTTTTAATGATTTTTTTATTTGACACAGGTAAAAATATATATCAACCTGTGAGAACCAACCTCCGTTTTGATTTGATTCGACCAACCTGAGCAAGTTTTTGGCACTAAGCCAGATGCGATTTTTATTTATGTTGACAAAGTTATCATGAACTACTATTTCAAAGATCTCAACAGAACATCCTGGACCAAATTTGACGACGTCCTCTTTTTTTCGGGCCAAAAATTAGCAGCAGTGAATTTTTCTTCTTTTCAATTCTTAGGACACTTGGGAAAACATTTTCGACTTCACACGAAAACGTCAAAAGGGGGATGCAAAGTCGAACTTTTCTAAATTCTCAAGTATTAATAACCAGGTTGAAATATTGAGAGTACCTATTTAATAATTTTTCTCTTACCTTCATACTATGGGTGAAGTGGTGTAAAGGGTCTTTGTTGATCAGAGGTACTAGACAAACCATCAGTGGTACTGACCCATCTCTTCCAACCATATTTGGGTCTCCTATAGAGAAAAAAACTGACAATTTGAAGGATGAATGTCAACAGTGAACTTTTTATCATTGAAAATTGAATATTATACATAGTATAATATTTTTAACAAGAGGAAAACAAACTCAAAGTCGGTCGACCACAATATTTAATATCAAAATTATATATGTACAGTGTGACCCATTTAAGATGGAAGCACCCTTATAAAACTTACATTTTTCAACCGATTGGAATGATTTTTTTTTTGTTAGGTAGATATTCAAAAAGTCTATTAGGACACCAAATATCATGAATAAATCTCCATTTCCAGGGCCAACTAATCTGATTTTTCAAGGTCAAAAATCTAAAAAAATTACTAGCGATTTTTTTAGAAAAAATCTGACTACACCACTGGATTTGTGACATTTTCAAATGGGTAACATGTAAATTACGTTGAAATGCGTCAATCAATAAAAAAGTTATAAAGGAATGAAATTTGAAAAATATGCCGTTTAATCAACCCATCAATTTTTATTACTGAACAGATTTCGATGAAACTGTGATCAGTAATATTTCAAGACATCCTGAATCCAGTGGAGTATACAGAATTTTCATAAAATTCCTGAACATGAATTGGTGGGTTGATTAAACGGCAATTTTTTCAAATTTCATTCCTTTATAACTTTTTTATTGATTGACGCATTTCAACGTAATTTACATGTTACCCATTTGAAAATGTCACAAATCCAGTGGTGTAGTCAGATTATTTCTAAAAAAATCGCTAGTAATTTTTTTAGATTTTTGACCTTGAAAAATCAGATTAGTTGGCCCTGGAAATGGAGATTTATTCATGATATTTGGTGTCCTAATAGACTTTTTGAATATCTACCTAACAAAAAAAAATCATTCCAATCGGTTGAAAAATGTAAGTTTTATAACACACTGGGTCACACTGTATAAGCCGTGTGACTATAGTTTCGGCTCTACGGCCATCTTCAGACACAATTAAAAAGTACCTAGAAAGTAATAAGTACAGGTGTTGAACAAAATGGTAGCTGAGAAAGAGATGACATACCTGTTATGTGGAAAAACATCTTGACAATAAAAAAAAATTATCAGTAAAAATCGGATCGTTATAATAGTAATCAGTCCAGCCTCACAATCAACAAGATTTGTAACGGCTGAAAAGCAAGTATGATTGTGAGGCTGGACTGATTACTATTATATAACGATCCGATTTTTACTGATATTTTTTTTATTTTTATTGTTAAGATGTTTTTCCATATAACAGGTATGTTATCTCTTTCTCAGCTGCCATTTTGTTCAACACCTGTACTTTTTAATTGTGTCTGAAGATGGCCGTAGAGCCGAAACTATAGTCACACTGCTTTTATATAATTTTGATATTAAATATTGTGGTCGACCGACTTTCACTTCGTTTTACTCTTGTTAAAAAAATACCGGACCACTTTGAGAATGGATGGTTTCCATGACTTGTTCATAGTATAATACTTTATCTAATATGGAAACTAAATATTTTACAGAGCTTGTGAGTTATTTTTTTAAAGGGCCAATTTATTGGGTATTTTATAATTGTGTATAAGTTCGAGTGACTTCAATCATTGAGTACTAAAATTTCCCTTTTGAGACATTTGCTCTCCGCATTTGCTGATATTCCAATGAGATTTTCAGCAGAGTTGTTTCTTATGGTAAGAGCCTACTAAACACATCCTCAAATATTTGACTTGCCTCCTTCATTGAGCAACATATTGAGCAACTCATAGCACACATCCCAGTCTCTGACGTGCCTCAAAACACAAGCGACCGCCGAATTTCCGGTGTGGTTGATGGACTGCCTGGCCCCATTTTGTATCAAATATCGCACCAGATGCAACACGTCCCATTTATTCCATTTGTCGTAACCGTATTGGGCCTCTTCTAGGGCATATCTTAATTGAAAAAAAAAAAAAAAAAAATAGGAATCAGAGAGGGCAGCAGATTGAAATCGAAATATATCCTTTGTTGTCCGACAATAGGCCTTTTCATCTAGATATATTTTTAAGACGCATGCGCTCGTTTTTAGATCCAACAATTTATTGGGTAATGCGAAGGTGAAGTCTCATTGGCTATTCCAACACAAAATGCTGACTGACTATTTCGAATATGGCGGGTATTATTGACGTTCTGTCAAATGTCAACAGTGTCAACCACCATGGGCATTCGTCATTGAGAAACATCAATAACAACATAGTATTCTTAGTTTTATATTGCTGGTGTTTATTAATTGTATTATAATAATTTAATTCCAAAAAACGTTACTTGTTCGTTACTGAGTGGCAGTGTGGTGTAAGTGTTTCGGTGAAAATGGCCGCCACTGTCGTTGGATGCGAGATGTAAACAGAGATAGTCATTTGTCATCTAAATGAAAAGACCTATGGATTTCTTAATACTTCAAACTCAAAATTAGAAAGCCTGTATGGGCTGTATGTCATGAAAAAATACTTGTTATCACACATGTATCTTGATATGGATGTGAATCAAGAACCATTGTGTTAATAAGGGATCACACTTCAATTCAAAACATGATGAAACGAAGTTTAGTCATCCACTTTTGCCAGAGGGAGTTGAGAAGCTAAGCGTGAAATAGTAACTTTTATTTTTCCCTGTATAATGATCAACATTCCGAAACATGAATCTATGATTTGGTCGGAATTTTACCAAAATCGGAGGCCGGTTTTTTTTGCCGGCGAGTGAATAATATTTATATTCATTCCTTTTTAGACCATTTGTGTAAAAGCTTTGTCTTTGCTTGTAATTGTAGAAACGAGTGTAAAAATATCCGATAACAAAAGCCCCCCCATACCAATTATGAATATAATCGTACCATAATCACAAACCTCATCCGCCATCTTGAATTTCTCAATTTTGATGAAAGAATCATAGTTTCCGACCCAGAAAACCACCAGAAACGGATCATGATTACAAAACTCGTCCGCCATATTGGATACGCCATCTTGAATTTCCCAATTTTGACAGAAAAGTCATTAAAAGCCCTCAGATACCTATATTCAAATGACACAAAGGCACCAGACCAGACATCCTGATGACAGGTGAAAGTACATAACATCTTGTAACAAAAAAACGACCGTAACTTCTGAATCATTCTAGATCGGGTATTAAAATTAGTAAATATACCAAATAGTTCATTGGTTGACAGATCAATTATTGTTGTTTTATCACTTCCGGTTCAACTGAAAGAAATCTCAATTTTTTGTTTTTGAATAGGACTTTCTGTTTGGACTCAAGAGACTGTCAAAAGTCAAAAGCTGGGTTTGCTTCCAGTTGAAGCAGCAGTGATAAAATGAAAAATATTTGCCAATATTTTCATCAAACAAAGTTTCTAGCATGTGTAATAATATGATCCCCAGAATCCATGAGAAAATATACAGGGTGTTCTATTCAAACATCAAAAGTTTGGCTTGGGCAATTTAATAAGAAATTGTTTTTTGTCCTCTACCCTAAGAAGCTTTAAATAATCTTTTGTCATTATATAAAATCTTGATTGAAGAATTATGGAAGAAAATCTGGGTTTTCCAATTTGACAAGAATATAAAGAAAACTAACATTACCTAACTGATAACATCTCAAAAATGTTTGTAAAAACATTTCTTTGTTGATTTTTTTTTCAAGTCTACTGCACTACATACATTAAGAATGTGAATGCTAGCAACAATAAAACTCTCGAGTTGGGATAAACTAGGATAAACTGATAACATTCACATGAACTACCACCTGTAAATTCAATTACCTGACTATCAAAGCATGTAAGGGTGTATTCCCTAAACTGTCAGGGGTATTTATCAATTCTTTGCACCCATGGTCCAGCAACAATCTGATGGTAGCTATAGTGTCTTCTGCAGATTTATGTGCTACCAGAAGAACCACATGCAACAAGGTCATTTGCTGAGTGCAAGTTCTTACTGTTGTATCAGCACCCTAAAGAAAAAATAAGCATTTCATCTTTTCAATTGAGAAGTCTTTTGTTTGGTAAAGTTGGAAATCTATTTCTACAAAAAAAGATAATGAAAATTATTCTATGTATATGAGCACAATTAATAATTATGGGTTCTTTTGATAGTGATCTAAAGGGTGGAATACATTTATAAATATTTTCTCTTTTCAACTCAGTCTTGAGATAAATTTTTTTCATTTTCATAAATGAAATAAATCAACAATCAAACTGAAGTGTAATTTACCTGGTCAATAAGTAATTCCAAGAATTTGCTATCATGCAATACAGCATAATGAATTGGATAGTATTCATCTTTGAGCACATGAATTTCATCTGAACGTTCCTTTATAAGAAATTCTGTACATTTCCAAGCCCCCCTTTCACAGGCAGCATGTAAAAGTGGCTTTCTAGCACGAAAAATTCCATTCTACAAAACCCACATACAGCACAGACAACTCAAGTATAAAACACCCCCAAAACACTTACCCAAGGATCCTCCCCTCTCTGAGCCAACAAGCTCAAAATATTCACCTGATCCCCATCTAATGCATAATAAATAGCAGACTGCAATTTGCTGCTAGGCACTCTCTCCCTGCTATCTCTCTCTATGCAGGTCTCTTCCTGCTGATTTGCAGAGGAATACTTCCCCCTTTCTTCACAATTACTGCTGTGGGGCCCTGGCCAACACATCCTGGCCTCCACATCAGATTTAGCTCCATGCTTTGTCAACAGCTCCACACACTCATCATGGCCTTTGAGGCAAGCAATGTGGAGGGGCAGACTGCAAGGGAATCTGTTCACATCAGCAGCAGTGTGCCTTGCCAACAGCCAGCGTACCAGCTCCACATTGTTGGCCCCTACGCATTTTTGCAGTAGGTTATATCCTGCTTCATCATGTATAGATAGTATATTCTCGTTCTTTGGAATTTGTTGGAGTAATCCTTCTAAACGTTGCACTCCTATCCTAGGATTGGCCCTCAATGCATCGAATATAGTCTGTACTTTCTGCCTGGTAGACTCTGTTACTTTGTGACCGTGGCCGTTAGTAAGCAGTGCACTACCTGATTGAAAGACTTGGCTTACCTGCCCACCCATATTAAAAAATAGCCTAAAACGGAGGTGTCATATGAATTTTTCCCTGGCATAATAGGAGTGTAATACTTTCTGTTATTTTTACTGCATGATGAAGATTGGGCCCTTCTGGAATCGGTTGAAACGTAAGGAAGAGGAACAGGGGGACATTTTTGGATTTGAGTAGTAGGGCTTCGCGTTATGATTTGAAGAGGATATTGCGTGGTGGACTGAAAGTTTACTGAGTTTCACATTTACACCATTATAGAATCGTATGAATTGATTGCATTCCTACATTGTATTTATTACAAAAAAACTTTTTATTTTATTTGCGCACAATGAATAAATCAATGATATAGTCGTGTCCTCTAACGGAATTTTGTTGGTACTATTACCAATTTGGGCTTGCCCCCAGTTGGTATGCAACACAAAATACATATCATTCTTCTTGACTTCTGTTCGTACATAGCAAGAAAGGAAGCAACTATTAGTAGAATTCAATCCCAAATCTTAAGTGCTTCCATAGAACACAACTAATCTAAATCTTCTTTTATTGGAGGATTTAAGATTTATTTCATACTTTGTATTCATGATTTGTTTCAGGTTAAGCAAGGCAATGAACGGTAAAAACTAAAAACTAACGGAAGATTTCACCACTTAACTGTTTCTATGAACCTCAAAATCATCAAATTTTTCCAAATCGTGATGTCGTCATTTCAAGTTTAATTTTGACACGTTGTGCCAAGTAGAAGCTCTCAAAAATAATTTAAAAACGTAAATTTTATGATATGGGCCAAAAATTCCAATACGATGAGAGCGGTGGAACCTTTTTCTACTTCCTGTTATCATTTCTAGCCCTAATCTTGATTCCGGCTACAATCTACTACTGGCCCAGGAAAAAAAAGCGAGGTGAAATAAATGTTTTCTCATTTTTTCCTACATTTAAATTATCAATAGTCATTGCACTTACTAAGGTTCTTTTACATTTTGCTATGTAATTCCAGCTGACTTGCTCCTGTCTTCCAGGATATTTTCAATTAGATTTCATTTCATTCATTAATTCAGCATATTGCTTGATTTCACTGTTTTTTTCTAGATCTAAATGCCGAAAACAGAGAATGCAAATGCCCAGGGTGTGTCTCAAAAAGAGAGCACCTAAAGAAAGCAGAGCCCTGGAAAGGGCCCAGAAACTTCTTCATAAAACTAGTCATAATAGCTGGGTGGATCATTTTGATCTTATTGGCCTACAAAGTATCTCAGTTTGACTATGAAATGGCCAATTTTGATCCCCATGAAATACTTGGCATACCCCTTGGAGCTGGTCAAACTGAAATCAAAAAGGCTTACAGGAAGCTGTCTGTCATTCTCCATCCTGATAAGAAAGATACAGGGAATGAGAAAGAGTTCATGAAATTAACCAAAGCATACCAGGTACCCTCATTATTCTCATTTTCTTTCAAGCTCAGAAATTCAGGTGATTGTTTTAGGCGCTCACAGATGAGGAGGCTAGAAGAAATTGGGAGAAATATGGTAACCCAGATGGACCAGGTGCTATGAGCTTTGGGATAGCTTTACCCTCATGGATAGTTGAAAAAGAAAACAGTTTCTGGGTGCTTGGACTGTATGCCCTTGTCTTCATGGTTGCAATGCCAATTGTGGTGGGTAAAATTCAAATTGAAGATAGGAACTCAGATTTTTTGAACTTATATATTGAGTAAACATCATTTTAGGTTGGTACATGGTGGTACCGTCAAATAAAATTCACAGGTGATCAAGTGCTGCTAGACACCACACAATTGTATTATTACTTTTTCAATAAAACTCCCAACATGGTTTTGAAAAGAGTCATTATGATTTTGGCAGCCAGTTTGGAATTTGATAAGAAAAAGAATCCAGAGATTGTTGAACGTGAAACTGATAATGAAGAAGTTCCTCAGGTAAAAATTCAATAAACTGTCCATACCATAACATACAACATTGCATTTTCAGCTAATTAAAAAACTGCAAAATTTGAGTGAAAAGAATAAAGAGATACCACTTTGCTATTTGTGGAGCATCAAAGCACGTGCTATAATACATGCTCATTTAAGCAGGATACCCTTGAACCCCAATACTTTGGAGCAAGATAGGAAGTATATAATTGGAAAATGTCCTTATTTAATTAATGAACAGGTCAATTGTGTCAATCAACTGATTATGTTGGCATATGCTGGAAGAAGTAAGTGAAACATGGACAAATAATGTTATAATTTTGATTCAACTGTTTATTATTTGTATTTGAAACTTTTTAAGTGTAAAAAGTTGAATTGACCTTTTTTGGCTGAAAATTAAAATATCTCAATCATTTGGCCAACAGTTTGGTGACTTGAATTAGTCCAGGAATTAGTACTTTTTTTAAACATATTTGTCTTGGCTATGAACTTTTTTTGATTTCCAAAGAATTCTATTAGTACATTGCAAAATTTGAAATTATAAGACTAATCAATCACTTTCACTAATAAAGATATCACAAAAAACTGTGGAATGAATGAGAAATTATGTTATTCAATGAGCATGTTTTGAATAACTTGGATAGGAACTGACTCAAGATTAAAAAACAATTGCATTTGATTGAAAATATGAGAATTTACAGCAGAGAATTTCTTTAAAAACATGTGAATTTATTCAATTTTCTACACTTACATGCAAAAAACCGACTAGAAAAAATTTTCGCCAGATTGATCACACTGTAACTTTTTTATTTTTTCTCCAATTTTGATAAAATTTCAACTAAATCGTATATTTTTCTTTAGAAATGTTATGATGAATCTTGGTTTCTAAGAAAACCTGATAGCTTGATCATTATACCAGAAAAACTCTTTCACCCTCAATTTCTCAATACCCTGTAGTGGAAGTGAGTGTTAAACTCACCTTCATTGTTTTGAATTGAAATGTGATCCCTACTCAACACAAAGGTTCTTGATTCTGATCAATATCCTATTTTTGAGAAAAGTGTTTTGATTGAAATTCCACAAACATTTCACATTCAAAACCACTAAGGAAATAACAAAACAAATCTATTAAGTGCATTTTTCATCTAAATTTTCTTGTACCAACACTAAATGTATACAAACTTGAGACAATTTCTAAATCTGATTTCATTATATAAACTCAAAATATGTTGTTTTATTCATTTTGTCAGGAATAAATTTAGAATATCAAACTCAGCTTTTAAGGAAGTCAAAACAGTCCATAGTTATGGGACTAGACAATTGAATTACATGATAGCAATTACATTCAAGTCAAACATTGGCAAACAATCTGTATTCATTACCAAATGAATTGAAAAATATACATGATGTAAGAAGATTCAAAGGAAATCTTAAAACAATACCTTGTCAGAATAATTTGATTGAAAAATATTTGGCAGGATTTGATTACTCAGAATTGAAATGTTTTAACATTCTTCATAAGAAAAAGTATGAATTTGTTTCCACTGAGTGAAATTTATTTGTTAACCTTTTATTATTATTCATATTTTTTTTATATGTGTTCATGTATCCCTATTCACCATAGAAAATAACACGTTGCCCTACCTAACGGCAACAACTTGAACCCTTTCTATGGCAAATTATGAAAGATATGTTTCTTGGGGTAATACAGACAATCAATCAATCAAATCTGACAAAATCTGAAGAAATTGATGGGCGAACGGGGTAAATTTTTTTGTGGCCGTTTTTGCGAGTGCACAAAAAACGGCCATTAACTTTTGAATTATTCTAGTAAGGGTTTTGAAAATTGGTGGGTAGCAAGTATACCAAATTGCTCATCAATTGATGAAACAATTTTTCTTCTATCACTTCGAGTTTCACTGGAAACGACCCCAACTTTTGATTTTTAAATGGGACACCGTGTATTGTATTTTATAATTGGTTAGGGATTATCATGACGAATTCAACGATACCGGGTTTGATAGGGTTATTTCAAACGATTACAAAGATATTCGCGTTCAAATTTTCCATATGCTCAATGGGTGTGACTTCGCAATATCAAAACTTCTTTCTCCGTCACACTCATTGAGCATATGGAAACTTAGAACGTGAATATCTGCGTAATTATTTGAAATAACCCTATCAAACCCGGTATCGATGAATTCGTTATGACAATTCCTAACCGTTTATGGAATACAATACAGGGTGTCCCATTTAAAAATCAGAAGTTGGGGTCGTTTCCAGTGAATCCGGAAGTGATAGAACAAAAATTGTTTCGTCAATTAATGAGCAATTTGTTATACCAGCTGCCCACCAATTTTCAAAACCCTATCTCGAATAATTCAAAAGTTACAGTCTTTGCCGTTTTTGTGCACTTTGTATATGTATAAAGATTTTTTTCTTCAAATGACAATGGAAGTGGCTTTTTAGTGACACTTAACAGGCATAAAAGGTGTACTTTTACTGCCTAGACAGAAAAAGTACTGCCTGCGTTTCATAGCCAAGGCGTGTGATTTCTCCAAAGCTTTTGACTGCGTGAATCACGAAATATTGCCGCGGAAGCTGCAGCGATATGGTTTTATGAATAAAAGTCTGCACTGGTTCGAGACTTATCTCATCAATCGACAACAATCGGTTAAAACTAGCAGCGTCTCAAAGGCCTCAGACATAAAGCACGGAGTGCCACAAGGCTCAGTCCTTGGACCAATCCTTTTCCTTCTCTACGTAAACGATATGGCTTCTCCAAATTATTTGCTGATGGCACAACCATCCTTTGGCAAGAAGAGAATAGCTCTATATTAGAATCAAATATAATGCATGATATAAAGATTATCAAAGATTGGTGTGAATCAAACCTCCTTTCTCTAAATATTAAGAAAACCAACATCCTGACTTTTCATTGCAATATTATTGGATGTGAGGTGATAGAAAATAAATTGTCTACTAGGTTTCTAGGCTTATTCATAGATAATAAGTTGTTGTTTACAGAACATGTGACAGGTTTGTGTAAAAAACTGGCTTCTGGATGCTATGTTGTAAGAAACATTGTCACGGAATTAGGATCTTCATCTGCTAGAACAGCATATTTTGCCTTAATTGAGTCTCACTTGAGATATGGAATAGCATTTTTAACTATTTCTTCAGAGTTAAATATTCATCATTGAATCTTGGAAAGTAATAATTGCAAAAAGAAATTATTTTCACGATAGGATAACTAAAAGCGATAACACAATTAAAGAAACGTGGCACATTGTGAATGAGTTTCGTGGGAAAAATATCAATAATTCAAGTGCAAAACTCAATCCCAACATTTTAAATGAATTTTATTGTTCCATTTCAGAGAAACTTACCGAAAATATGGAACATGCCCTGGATCCATTATCTTACCTAAATGTATTTTATACAGCTGACACGTTTGTTATACATGAAACCAATTTGAATGAGCTTATGGACACAATCAAATTAATTAAAAACAAAAGCTCCAGTGGAATTGATAATATTTCTATAAAAATTTTTGAAAATTTGCCAGTTTTCGTTCTGGAATTGCTGGTCCACCTCATCAATGATTCTTTTGTCAGAGGCATCTTCCCAGATTTCTTGAAAACCAGCATCGTTATTCCTCTCTTTAAAGGTGGTGATCCCTCCGACCCATCAAATTTCCGCCCAATTTCACTCACTCCAACACTTGGGAAAATTATAGAAAAATTGGTTAAAATTCGATTGTTAGACTTTTTAACCCTGCACAAAATTCTGCATCCCAATCAGTTCGGGTTTCAATCAAAGAAAAGTACAACGGATGCAATTTTCAACTTCCTCAGGGACCTTTTCTCCAAACTAAACCTAAAAGAAGCAAGCGCTGCAGTATTTTGTGATCTGTCAAAAGCGTTCGACTGTGTTAATCATGAAATACTGCTGCGCAAGCTCCAACACTACGGCTTTAGAGACCAAACTCCAAATTGGTTTAAATCGTATTTAAATCACAGATCTCAAATTGTGAAAACCGACAGTCTCTCAGGTATTGGGCACATTAAGCATGGTGTACCACAGGGTTCTATTCTTGGACCTATCCTATTCTTGCTATATTTTAACGATGTCGTAAATATCAATATTGAGGGATCTTTCACTATTTTCGCAGATGACACCACTATCTTATGGCATGATAAGGATGTAAATAATCTTCATGATAAAATGTCTAGGGATATTTCCATAGTACGAGATTGGTGTAACTCGAACTTGCTCTCATTCAATATAAAAAAATCTTTTCTATTATCTTTTCAGTGCAATATACCCGATATACCTTTAGGAAACAATTTTATCTCATCTTGCAATGCCAACAAATTTTTAGGAATTCAAGTAGACACTAAACTAAACTTCCAAAATCATGTTTTTGAACTTAGCAAAAAGTTATCTTCTAGTTGCTTTGCCTTGCGTATGGTCTCGAATGAATTGGACATGGCAACTGCCAAAATTGTTTACTATGCATTATTCGAGTCACATGCCAGGTATGGCATATCTTTCTGGGGAACATGCAACAAACAGCACTTCAACATGATTTTCACCCTTCAGAAGCGAGCTGTTCGTTATCTTTGCAAAGTTGGTCCCAGAGTATCTTGCAGAGGGTTATTCAAGAAACATAAGATCCTCACTCTCCCATCTTTGTACATTTTTGAAACAGTATGTTTGATACATAAAAATAAATCAACATATGATACCATTGTTGGATCCACCCGTCAAAATAGCAATTTGAGGCTTCCTATTCCTTCTTCAAATTTGATAAAAAACTCATTAATATATAATGCTGTTAAGCTTTATAATCATCTTCCGTCCAGTGTTAAGGACATAGGATCAGTTGATTTTTTCAGACGTTCGGTGAAGTTGATTCTTGTAGAAGAGGCATTTTATGATATTCAGGAATATCTAAATCAAACTAGTAGATAGTAGTACTTCTCGTTCTTGATGACATATGTAATGTGTCTTGTCTATATATAGTTCGTTTCAGCTTGTTAGTTTATTCATATGTATATATTTGATTTTATGTGTACCTACTTTATATTTTTATATATGTAAAAATTTTTACGACTTTGTCAATGAGATATAAATCTTCGGACAATAAAGCATATTTTGATTGATTGATTGATTGATGATCAAAATTTTCCAGTTCCAAAGTTACCCTCGATCGAGACCGTCGAAAACTGTATGAAATTGTGCCCGATGATAGTCCAAGGCCTCTGGGAGTTCAAATCCCCCCTGCTTCAACTGCCCTACATCAACGACGACAACTTGAAGTACTTCATGTCCAAGAAGCGGCAGATCAAGACGCCCCAGCAGTATGCCCAACTCAAAGGAGAAGAAAGAAGAAATATTTTGAGGAATCTCACCGACGAAGAGTACGAGAACGTGGCCAAAGTGCTCGGAAGATTGCCGTACATAGATTTTCAGACTCAAGTTGAAGGTGAGACGGAAAAATGCGGGGGCTGCTGATAGAAGTGAACACTAAGTAACTTGTGAATTGTATCAAATCTCCCAATTTTGACGAATAATTATTCATAATCTTCAACCCCGAAAACCCCTGATACAAATTTTCAATAGAATCGGATCATAATTACAAAACTTGTGCGCCATATTGGATCCGCCATCTTGAATTTCCAAATTTTGACGAAAAAATCATAATTTCCTGCTCCGAAAACCCCGAGTTACAAATTTTGAATTGAATCGGATCATAATTACAAAACTTGTGCGCCATATTGGATCCGCCATCTTGTATCCCCGAAATTTTGACGAAAAAATCATAATTACCTGGCTCAAAAACCCCCAGACACAACTTTTGGATAGAATCGGATCATAATTACAAAACTTGTGCGCCATATTGGATCCGCCATCTTGAATTTCCAATTTATGAGATGAAAAAAATCATAATTTCCTGCCCCTAAAACCCCCAGACACACATTTTGGATAGAATCGGATTATAATTACAAAACTTGTGCGTCATATTGAATCCGCCATCTTGAATTTCCAAATTTTGATGAAAAAATCATAATTTCCTGCCCCAAAAACCCCCAGACACAAATTTTGAATAGAATCGGAACATAATTACAAAACTTGTGCGCCATATTGGATCCGCCATCTTAAATTTACAAATTCTGATGAAAAAATCGTAAATACAAATTTTGAATAGAATCGGATCATAATTACAAAACTTGTGAGCCATATTGGATCCGCCATCTTAAATTTACAGATTCTGATGAAAAAATCGTAAATACAAATTTTGAATAGAATCGGATCATAATTACAAAACTTGTGAGCCATATTGGATCCGCCATCTTGAATTTCCAAATTTTGATGAAAAAATCATAATTTCCTGCCCCAAAAAATTTTCAAATTTTGATGAAAAAATCATAATCTCCGACCCCGAAAACCCCCAGATACTAATTTTGAATAGAATCGGATCATAATTACAAAACTTGTGCGCCATATTGGATCCGCCATCTTGAATTTTCAAATTTTGATGAAAAAAATCATAATCTCCGAACCATCGACTGTTCTTCCAGTTATGGACGATGACAATCCGAAAGACGTGACCGCCGGCGCCATCGTCACCGTGACCGTGACGTTGGTGAGGCGGGACATGAGCACCCTGTTCGGGGACGAGACCGTCCAAGAGGCCACCCTCATCGCCGAGAACGGGGCGGAAGACGCCCCCAAGGAGGGCGAGGCGGTGGAGAGTGCTGCCAAGAGGCCCGCCTGGCTAAAGCAGAAGAAAGGTAGGCGAAGAATTTCGATTCGATTTCATCGCACTGAAATATGGTCCAGTCATTATATCCAAATAACGGACCTTACCCGTGAATAATTTTTTAGTTTTTTTTCCATAGGTGTCTCGGAGGGGGGGTCACTGGGAGTGTAAATCCAAAATGGCGACCAAATCAAGCTCTTGCGTATGTTTTTTTTTGTTAAAAAACGGTATAACTCGACCATTTTTGATTCTACAGAAAAAGTTTGGGGACAAAAGTTGTAGTAAATTTGGTTCTCTACAAGTTTGGTCCTAACAATTTTTCTGATAGGATCGATATTTTGTAAATTAAACCTGAAAAAAGCGACAAATTCGAAATATCGTTTATTTTCAACTTTACGGCATAAATGAACAGAAACAAACTTGTAGAGAATCAAATTTTGGACAAATTTTGTCTCGACCTGTTTTTCCGAAAATCGATATTTTCGGAATTAAACCTAAAAAAAAAACGACTCATTCGAAATATCATCATTATCTCGTTTATTCTCAACTTTACACCATAAATAAGATGGAACAAACTTGTAGAGAATCAAACTTTCGACAAATTTGGTCTTTACCTGTTTTTCCGAAAATTGATACTTTCGGAATTTAACCAGAAAATATGTACCCATTCAGGAATATTCGCAATATCTCCTCTTTTTCAATTCTGCAGGTGCAACGAATAGGGCGAAAGTTGTATACAATAAAATGATAATGATAATGAAAATATTTCGAATTTGTCGCTTTTTTCAGGTTTAATTTACAAAATATCAATCCTATCAGACAAATTGTAAGGACCAAACTTGTAGAGAACCAAATTTACTACAATTTTTGTCCCCAAACTTTTTCTGTAGAATCAAAAATGGCCGAGTTATTCAAGAAAAACCGTTTTTTAACAAAAAAAAACAGTTTTCGCAAAAGCTTGATTTGGTCGCCATTTTGAATTTACACTCCCAGTGACCATGCCATTATTGCGGAATCTGCGGTCGAGGGTTTTGGGAGGAACAAAACACTGTCTGTGATTACACCATATTCTATCCACCTTGACTTAGACTAACCAACAGTGAATAGATTCTGCAATTCTTCATAAATCATAAAAAAGAAAACGCCAACAATTCTACACGCCAAACACGGATAAATGAATAAAATCGTGAATGGTGGTGATAATTAATTATCATCTATTAAATCGGGGTTTCCATAAAGGCATTGATAAATTAGTTCTCACTTGTTGGAACACAATTAATATACGTCATTTTTTAAAGCCTTAGTGGGTGCTGAACCATATTTATTCACAAAATAGTCTGTTTTAGATTTATATTACTAAATAAATCATTACTAAAACACCGAATATCGATCACACAAAAGCCCTTAGTAACAACAAAAACGGTCGTATGAAAATTTGCTGCCTTGTTTGTATTGAATTAATTCCTATTCCTCATTATGTTATGAACATACCTCACAATAGCTAAGTTATTGATTATTAGACTGAGTTTCAGACACTTAAGAGTACATTATCATGATATAAAAAAAGTTCATTGAAGTTTTTGCGATTTCAATGGAAAAAAAATGTCTCGAATAAATCTTGTATACTTTTTAGTGCAAGGATGAAAGTGGGTCAAATTTTATGAATATTTGAATAGGGATCGACCGATTCCGATATTTGTATCAGTATATCGGCCATATCGACCTTCTTTCAAAGAAATTTAATCACAAATACTACATAAAAAGTTTATTCTCGTTCAAAATTCAACAAAAAAGTCATTGAACATGTAAAAGTACTGTACTAAGGTCAAAAAATGAATATTTAATTCAAGCTTTCTGCTCTTTCCGGAGTCAGACGATTTCTTGCGCTTTTATACATTCCCAGCTCCCAGAAAATACTTGGCGGGGCAGCTAAATGAATTATCGCAACTTCTTCATTGAAAAAAAAAATTTTTTGCGCCCACAAAGATAGATTTTATTTATCATAACAGTGCTTTCTTTATGTGATAATTTTTTTGCTTTCATACCGGGGAAATTCTTCGAAAGTACTTCAAAACCGAGCCGGGGACATTTTCCCGAATCTCTTATGGTTTGTTCACCTTGTTTGATTCTTTAGCAATTTTCTCTGAAGGTCGTCGGATTCGTCGTCAACTTCAGACTCTTCGAAGCCTTTAATCCTGTCCATCAATTTTCAGGATTTCAAATCAAAAAAAGATATCTTGAACCGTGGGTATACAATTGGTTTTACCTCATTTATACAGCAACAAATTTGCAGATAAATTGTATGGCCGATAAATCGGTATCGGTCGATCCCTATTCGTTATGCCAAATTTCTTGGGCATTCTTTGAGAAAATGTCCCCATTGTAGGTGGTAAGAAGACGAAAAAATCCAGCAAACCGGCCAACAAGGTGGCGGCCACAACAAAACCGAAAGTGGAAGAGTCTCCGACACCTAATTCCGATAGGAAGCGGGAAAAACCCAAACCGAAAGAGATCGTTGGAGATGGAGAAGAAGACGATACAGACGAGTCTGACGAAAACGATTCAGACGTCGAAAATAACGACAAATCGTCGGCGGATGACGAAGTCAGCAAGTCAAATGAGGATGACGATCAGGTAAAACATAACGAAAAATGTTACTTTATGAGATAGCAGACCTCGCAAACGTTGTTTTGCTTTATAAATTATTTCAACAATATATTTTTCCAGTTGAATATTCATCAAGACACTATTATTATTTTATTTTCTACTTCTTTTTAATTTTTGCTATATATGAGCGTTTTTCTTCAGTTTTTCCACTACCATTCATTTCAACTTCTTATTAGTTCACTTGAATTTCCCAATTTTGATGAAAGAATTATAATATCCGAAAATTTTGAATAGAATTGGAACATAATTACAAAACTCGTTCGCAATATTGGATCTACCATCTTGAATTCCCTAATTTTGACGAAGGAATCATAATTTTTGATCCCGAAAACGCCCACTTACAAATTTTGAATAGAATCGGTATATAATTACAAAATTCGTTCGGTATATTGGTTCTACCGTTTTGAATTTCCAAATCCCGCCCTTTCCAAATTTTGACAACAGAATCATAATGTCCGACCCCGAAAACACCCAGATAAGAATTTTGAAGAGAATCGGATCATAATTACAATACTTTTCCGCCATATTGGGTCCGCCATCTTGAATTCCCTAATTTTCATGAAAGAATCATAATCTCCGACCCCGAGAACCACCAGATACCAAATTTGAATAAAATCTGATCCTAATTACAAAATCCGCCATCTTGAATTTCTTAATTTTGACGAAGGAATCATAATCCTCGATCACGAAAACCCCTAGGTACCAATTTTGAAAAGAATCGGATTATAATTACGAAACTCGTCCGCCATATTGGTTCCGCCATCTTGAATTCCCAAATTCCGCCCGAATTTTCAAACTCTGACGAAAGAATCATAATCTCCGACCCCGAAAACTCCCAGATACCAATTTTGAATAGAATCGGACCATAATTACAAAACTCGTCCGATATATCATCCGCCATCTTGAATTTCTAATGGTACCGGGTTAAAAAGTATCCTATAACCTTCTTTCAGCCAAATAGAGGCTCTATTTGGCTGAAAATTGGTGGGGAGGTAGCTTAGAACCAGGAGAAGGTTATAGGATACTTTTTAACCCGGTACCATTAGGAAATTCAAGATGGCGGATCTAATATATCGGACGAGTTTTGTAATTATGATCCGATTCTATTCAAAATTGGTATCTGGGGGTTTTCGGGGTCGGAGATTATGATTCTTTCGTCAGAATTTGAAAATTCGGGCGGATTTTGTGAATTCAAGATGGTGGAACCAGTATGTCGGACGAGTTTTGTAATTATAATCCGATTCTTTTCAAAATTGGTACCTAGGGGTTTTCGTGGGCGGGGATTATGATTCCTTCGTCAAAATTAAGAAATTCAAGATGGTAGATCCAATATTGCGGACGAGTTGTGTGATTATTTCATTATTCAGTATTCAATACAAACAAACAAACAATCAAATCTTTCCTCTTTATAATATTAGTATAGACTAGGGAATTTACCTGATTTCCTACTGCTACTCTACCTCATTAGAACAAAAAGTTTACGCCTCTGAACTAGCAGTTCAAAGTACGACAGGTAAAAAAAATAATTATTTACCTAACACGTGCGTAAAGTAGTACTTTTCCACACGCGACGGCTGTTGCATGAACGACAAGGCGAAAAAAAAACAACAACAAATTGAGTAGAAAGTCCATGGAAGAATCCAAACTTTTTCGTGAGCAGAAATAGCTCAATTTTGATTTCATCAATGCTTATTTGGGGTTTATTAACCACCTATTTTATTTCGTTTCACATCTCAGAAAAATTTCGCTTTACCCCGGAAGTCCTCCATTTTCTAATTAAAACTGTCAAAACAAATATAAACTGGAGACGCTTCCTGAGGTCAAAATTCTTAATTTTTTCGCAAAACAAATCTTGTCTGACACCTTTTTGAACACCTGTGAACGATTTTTCTGTTTTTTTTAGGAATGGGAAAAGTTCCAGAAAATCCACGACCGAGATAAATCCCTAGAGGGCAAATCGAAAACTTCTCGGCCGGTGCATTGTCCCCTATACCCTCTCAATAAACAGGAATATTGGTGGACATATATATGCGATAGGAAGTCGAAGACTCTACTAACTGCCCCCTATCACGTGACTAGTCTCGTAGAAAAAGAAATTGTTCATTTGAAGGTACTATATATCTGACTGTTTCGGCACAACAGCCCTCATCAGTCACCCTCGGCGTATATCGCGATAATTTTCATGGTTTTTTTTTTCAGTTTACTGCGCCTATTCGACCAGGCGTTTACTCGTTCACCGTCTGTTTGCGTTCAGACTCGTATATCGGCTTCGACCAGCAAAAAGACATCAAATTGGACGTCAAAGAAGCTCCTGCAGAAATCACGGAGCACCCGCAATGGGAGTTCGAGGTATACATTATTTCTTCAAAAAACAAAAGCAGCACATTTAATTATTTTCATACCCTGTGCTTAGGTCAATGACTTACCAGTTGCCAACCATATAAAACCTTCAAGAATATTCTATTCAAAAATAAAAAAGCAATTCGAGAATTTCATCCTACCATCAGAATCAACAATTAAAATTATAGAACCTCAACCTATTTTGGATCATCAACAAAAAAAAATAGCTTCAATTCTACCTAAACAAGCCTAAACAAGCATATAAACTGATTGGAAAGTGTGTTTCTGCTATTAACACATGTTTCTAAAAAAAAAAAATGGGATCTATGTCGTTTGCACGTTGAAATATTCAAAATTTGTTTGAGTTGGGAACAAATAACACTTGGGAAAGTAATAAAAAATGATAAAGACAAGACTTCTGTACTCAAAAAACCACAAGTATACAAACTGAACCATGGATGGATCTTGTCTTAAGGCATATATTGGTCAGACCGGTAAATTTCTTAACTACCGTATTAACGAACATATCACTTAAAAGTACGAGATTTCGAGACATTGAACCTCCACTGCGATGTTCTGTTCACACATGAATAGAACAGCCAATGTCCGCCGCAGGCGGCAATTATCGAGATGTCCTTGATATGTCACAAAACTACCTTCTCCCTAGTTCTTTTTAAAGCCTTTTCATGGACACAATAGAACATTTTCAACGCGTCTTGCGCACATTAAATCGCTGTAAAAAAACCATTTTCGAGGTACTTTTCTGAAGCCTTTTGTCAAAATGAACTTTTGCATTAGGATTCCATTTCCCTTGAATGAAAAAATGCATTAAAAATAGATTGAACATAAAAATATTTTCTTGATATGAAATTACCTTCTTAATCGGTTTCTGAGTAGTGCTTACTACACACACACATATAATTGGAAATAGGTTTCTCAATTTTTGAAATGTTCTCCACAATGCATAATTTTGCAACTGCGGAGAAGCTGTGTATTGATAAATTCGTACTTTTATATATTGATTACACTGTGGCACCGAACAACACATCTTGCATCTGATGGTCATTATTACAAACTAAATAAGTCTTCTAACACAATAAACTTCACCAAATTCCTTTCTGTTCGTTAGCAGCGTGATGTAAGCGTGACACGCTGCAAACGCGAATGCCAATTGCGAACAAGAAGAACAAAATCGAAAACAAATCAGAATTCATCGTATTGTGACGTAAGCATGAGACGTTGTGTTGGGGCAAACAAAGAAAGGGCACAAAAGAACAAAAACAATACTTTCAATATCCTTCTAAGACCTATTTGGGAAGTGCATATTACGCCTCAAAAAAACATCCTCATGCCTACATTTCTAAAACATCCCAAAACATCCCAGGGATACCTCTCAGTAGGCAAACAAAGAAATGCCACAGAAGAACAAAAACAATACCTACTTCAATATCCTTCAAAGACCTCTTTGGTCAGTGCATATTACGTCTCAAAATAACATCTTCATGCCAACATTTTCAAAACATCCCAGGGATGTTTGTGCTCGCTGGGTATGGAAATGGTGATAGTTGGCCAAGATTAAAGCTTAAAAATTGAGTCAACCACATGTTGAATGTGCATTTACTTGTATATGAAGATTCTACTGGGATGGTCCAGAATGAATAGAAATGAAAATAAAAAATACAGGAACCAAATATTTGAATTTTTTATGATTATCGTCTTTTTTTTCTAGGATTCTGAGGAGGAAGATCAGGCTGAGAATAACGATAGGGAATCGGAGTATGCGACTGATGAAGATTTGCCTGATGATGACTAGGTTATTCTGTTGTTGAGTATTTGCGCTGAAGTTGAGGTATTTTACATAGAGAAAAATGGGGGATAGGTAAAAAGGGTGAGATGAAGAGATTTTCATCATGTTTTTTTCGTGGTCCATTCTGGGTTGGGAATAAGGAATATTTTGATATTTTATTGTGTGTGAGTCTGGACAAAAATTAAGAAAGACATTTTCACTAGTGATGGGCCCCCTTTTTTCATTATGAAAATAGCATCTTTTAGTGTTGTAAAATACAGATTTTGATATACAAAATCACGACTGTTGAAAGTTATTCTGTATATATTTTCGAGATGTTTCTATTCTGAATATGAACTGTTTTTTTTTTTTTCTTTGGACTAGAAGTACAAACATTTATATTTATACTATAATTCTATAATTTATTATTAATAAAGGGTGCAATTTTAGAGTGTTGGATTCAATGTGTTTCCTTTTCAATGGTAGACAGAGGTATATTTTTTCAAATATAATACGAAAACTTATAATATATACGGAATACAGATATAGCACAGACTTGAAATTTTTGGTGTACTACTTATATTGATGTATATTATTTATATTTGTATTAAAACATCAGATCAAACCCTTTGTGTTTCATTGTTCCAGTTGAGGCTTCATTTTTTCCACATCATAAAACAATAAATGCCATTCTTTTTCAACGAAAAAAAAAAAAAAAAGAAAAAAAAAATTCGCCCCCGGGTGGGCTCGAACCACCAACCTTTCGGTTAACAGCCGAACGCGCTAGCCAATTGCGCCACGGAGGCTTGGATGTTTTGAAACTTTTGCTTCGTCATTAGTTTAAATTGCTTCATTGTCATTGAAGATAAGAAAATCATTAGAAATCATAACGATGTGACTAATAGCACGGTTGGACAGATGGTCAGCAACATTCAACTCATATAAGATAAGTTCCAATAATCGATATAGGTCTTATGAATGAACTTGTCGCTTCGTGATTTAGTTTGAATTGAAAAATTCAAACCAGAACTCAGAACCTCCATATCGATCTATATCGTTTATTCGTTCTTCTATCATACTATGTTGACGCCTGTGTGGAGTAGTATACATAATGTAGGATGTGTTGCTATTTTGGCGCCTGTCTGCTGGTGCCTCGCCCCCATAAATGTTTAGAGGCCTCGAAATTTATTGTTTGACTCATCCAATCCAATCGATAAAAAATAGCATAAATAAGTCTACGATTCGCTACTAACTGCTCTCGACCTCGACAAGTTTTTTCAGAAGGTAGTGGCACAGTAACTGTGGTAGAGAGCTTAGTGTATTATGAGTGGTTTACTGTGACTAGTGCAATCATTTTTACCGGTGAAAATTTTATTGGGTACGTGGATTGATAAATTAATTGATTCAAATATCGTCATTATATTTATTTAAGATATGGGTAGATATCTTTTGGCGTAATAGTTATTCATAGAAATAAAAAGTTGATATTATATGCATAGGTACATCAAAAGTCAAGGTTAGGTAAGCAGCTATATATATGTATATCATCTTTCCTATTAGGCTGTATCTTTTTGTATTTTCCTAAGAATATATACATTCCTAATAATTTATATAGATACCTATCACGTAATATGGGTCTATACTGTGATGCCTATACATATATATACAGGGGTGCTCCTAAAATAAGGTCTGTACAAAATCTTAGCACATAATATAGTCCTGAGGTCAAAATAAGACGATTTAAAGCTCCGTTTATTCCGAGATACAGGTGGGTGGTAAATTTATAAAATTAAAATCGACAAGTATATAAACTCCAAAAAGAAGTATGCTCGTTACCGACCAAATTACTTCCATGAAGATACAGCAAACATGTTTCATTCAAAATAATATAAATAATGATTCTGACGCGGCATCGAATACTAAAAATTTCAGAAAGTGTCCATTTTTGCGAGAAAATATTCAGAAAATAATTTTCTCAACAAGAAAATATATGAAAAACTACACTGAGAAAAATGTTATGGCCATTCTAAACCATTTGTAAGCGCCCTCTCTAATGGGCACAGTGAAAGGTGTCCATATTAGGTTTATATCGCATACTAAAAAGCCGCGGCTACAAAGTGATACGTTTAAAAATGTTTAAATAGGCTTATTATTTTGACCTCGGTGTAATGTGTGCTGAGATTTTGTAAAGACTTTTTTGGGACACCCTGTACATATACTATGCAAGGTGTCCCAGAACAAAGTACCATCAATTCTACAGGGTGAACTAGGGACCAAAATAGGCCGATTAAAATCATTTCACTTATATTTTAGAATGATGTGAGATAATTGATTCGTCATTTTTTGAAGTATCGAAATGTGGTCAGTGCCGCGTACTCCAAAAAAGTTACATTACATTTTGATTTAATCAAGGAGAATGCGAAATACCTGACTTCCTGTATATTGATTGAAGTGGTACATGTTTTCCAGGCACATTCACTATAGTGAATTGCCCTACGAATTTCAGAGCAGTACATTTCAAGGATTAATTATTTCGAAATATTGTAGAAAATTTGTAAATGAAATTGTTCCTCATCTTCCTCTCACGGCTTATACAATCATGTCCAATGATTTTTTAAAGGAAATATCCCATGTCCTTATAGATCATGGACATTGAACAATCTCTCCTCAGATTCCCACTCCACTCGTTTCACCCTTATTTCATGCCCTTAATCTATCCCTAACACCATGCTCTAACTCGCCGTCCTACCCTACCCTAGGCCCCACCCTTACCTACCCCAACTGATGGTTAGCACCGTTGGCAGCAAAATTGGCACGAAATTTGACACATTGACAGTATGTCAATTCAAAATTTCAAATATTCACCGCGCCAACTCTCCGGAACCAAAATTTCCATGAATTTTGATGAACCCATTCGAATTTTCAGCCTTTTTTCTTCTACTACTATCACCACCAACCTCACCAACAATGTCTCAAGAAACTGAAAAACCCCACCTCGAAGCCGTGATACGAGGAAACGCCGAATTCACCAAAAATCTATACAGTATCCTCGCCAAGAATGACGGCAACATATTCTTCTCCCCAATAAGCATTCACGCCATTCTAGCCCTGGCAGCACAAGGCTCAGGAACCACCACCCGAGAAGCCTTGTGCAAAGCCCTGAATGTGCCCGACATCAAAGCCGCAGCTGAGGGTTACAAAGACATCATGAGTCGCTTGAACAGCGTGAAAGATGTTACCCTACACATGGCGAATAAAGTGTACATGAAGCAAAGTTACAACTTGCAGGAGAGTTTCAAGGGCATCGTGACTAGCCACTTCTCTTCGGAAGTACAGCAGCTGGATTTTGCTCAGCAAGCAGCTGCTGCAAAGACCATCAACACTTGGGTAGAGGAGAAAACCAAAGACAAAATCAAGGATTTGATCAAAGCTAGCGATCTGGATCCCCTTACTCGTCTAGTACTAGTAAACGCGATCTACTTCAAAGGTACTTGGGCGGAAAAATTTGACGCAGCAAACACCAAAACGGAAAAGTTCTACAAGAACGAAACCGAGACTGTAGATGTCCAAATGATGCACCTCACCAAAAAATTCTACTTCAAGAACGACGAGACCCTCAACGCCAAAGTTTTGGAACTTCAGTACACCAACAAGGACCTCAGCATGATCATTATTCTTCCGAACGAACGTAACGGCATCGCAGATTTAGAAGCTAAGCTAGCCAACACCGATCTGAGCAGGATTACAGAGAATATGTACAGACCTGAGGTCATTGTAGCCCTTCCCAAGTTCAAGATTGAGCAGACGATCGAATTGAATGACCCCTTGAAAGAGGTAGGGAATAATCTCTTCAAATACCACTCGTCCAAGATTTAAATTTCGATTTGTTGTAGTTGGGGCTTGGAATAATGTTTGATGAGGATAAAGCTGATTTTAAGTCGATGCTGGACAGTCCAGAGCAATTGTATGTCAGTAAGGTGGTACAAAAGGCTTTTATTGAGGTCAATGAAGAAGGTGCAGAAGCTGCAGCTGCCACTGGTAAGTGTCTTCAGCTTGATGCAGATCTTGAAGTACAGATTTGCAGATTGTATATACTTATATTTATAGAGGAAGTTGCCACAGTTTGTTTTTCAAACTTTTTTGTCCTAATTCATTTGTGGCAAGATAAAATCCTCAGTAGGTATATATTTTTTTGTCAAATCTTTCTTCAAGTAGATAATTTTAATTCATTCAAAAATCTAAATTATTGATGAGCAAACTGTTTTCAAAAATGAATTATCTTTGAATGGTTAAAATTATCTGATTGTGTTTTTGTTGGATTTGCTTTTCTGCACCCCATTGCTTTTTGTTCCCCCAGCTTGAATGATTGATTCCTTATAATGGAATTATTGTATAACTTATTTTTATATATATTCCGAACAGATGTTATTTTTGAATTACATCTCTATCAATTTACTTGCAAGTGAATTTTCTAGTTTATTCACAAATTCAAAACATAGCTTTCTATAAAAAGAAATTTCATATCGGCAACTTATTTCTGATGCTTGTTCTGTTTATATCGATCTAGAATTTCAATGCTTGGAATGTTTTCCAATAAAAATGCAAAAGTGTATATCTGTTCTAAATATAATACAATCCATATATTTATTTTATCAGACATATCACTTGTTTTCGTGGAGAATTATCGCATTTAATAAAAATGGTAATTGATTCTGAATAAATCATATATAGGGTCGCGCATTTTGAAATTTACACCACAGCAAAATTTTTTCAATACAGAAATATTAACAAAGTTAAAGGATAATTTGCATCTTGTTTTCAAAATGGAATATCTTGAACAAATTAATGAAATTTCTCGGGTAATTTAAATTTGTCTATTATACTTTTGAACTATATATAGAACCTCATGTATATGTACCTGAAGTAGGTATAGGTAATATTTCTATACTCTTTGATTGAAAACAATTTCTGTAATGTACATTGAAGGTATTTTATGTATACAAAACTTCTAATTAACGAGAAATTTCATCCCAAAAATTGAACAAAAACAAACAAAAACTCCGCGTGGTCTAACCTCAAATTCTATTTTGATTCCGAATTTTTTTTTATCAGTGACAACACGACGAGCTTTATCATTGTTTGAAATACTTGCACTTATTTATTCAATGCCACCCTGTATTTGAATTTATTAACCAAATTGGTGAGGAGGAAAATTTTATACTAGAAAAACAGGTAAGGTTGCCACATGAAAGAAATGTAACTGGACTATTAATTATTATACTGGAAATAATATCAGATAATATAAATTATTTAATCAAAAATCGAAGGAATGACGGATTAGTTAAAAAATGTGAGATAATCATTGATAAGAAGGATGATAAAAGGTAAGTAGTATACTATTTATTGTTTGACTATATATACCTACAGAGTGTGCGTGATAGAGCCTTTCAATAATCAATTTGTCGTGTAAATTGCTATGTAGGTAGGTGCAGAGTTATAAGCCTAGAGTAAATCCTAGTAAAATCACATCACCCATTTATGTTGTTACTAACATGATGTTGTCACTATAGAAGACCTGGTTTACACGATCGACTGCTTCTGGTGTATCAAAGCCCTATGTGTCCCCTAAATTATTCAAAAGTTTTTCAGCAGTTGAAGATATATATTTTATTTCAAAAGCAGATAGGAGAATTTGTTTTATTTCAGGGGTTATGATGGTTCCATATTCCTTGTTATTCGTTCCAACACCACCGGTGACTTTCATTGCTGATCATCCTTTTCTGATGATGATTCAGCACAAGGACGAAACTCCTAAATACCACATTTTATTTCAAGGACGCATTTCCATGTCACAACATAATTAAAAATCAAGGGAAATTTATAATAGAGAATTTTTGGTGCTGAAAAGTTTTTTTATTGATTCAAACCCTAATTAGTGTCAAGAAAGTCCCTTAATTCTTGTAAGCCTGGTTTACACGTTCATGTAAATTGGGTTTATCATCAACTTATCAGGAGCCTTCAAGCTTCATTTTGACTTGCCAATAAACTTTTCGATAATTTCCGGTGATGAATCATTTTGTTTCAGCTGTGTTCATGAGAATGGGTTATTGCGCAATCATTCCAAGGCCACCTGAGACTTTCATTGCTGATCACCCTTTTCTGATGATGATTCAGCACAAGGACGAAACTACTAACTGCCAAATTCTATTTCAAGGACGCGTTTCCATGTCACAACATAATTAAAAATCGAGGAGAATATACAGAGTAGTGCATTAAAAACGGCTAGTGCTGTAACTTCTGAATTATTCAAGATCGGATTTTCAAAATGGTGGGTAGAAAGTATACCAAAATATACTCATTAATTGACAAAACAATTTTTGTTCTATCACTTCCGGTTTCACTGGATACTACCCCAAATTTTGATTTTTAAATGGGACACCCTGTATTTTATTCCATAATCGGTTAGGGATTATCATAACGAATTTATCGATACCCAGTTTTATTCCAAACGATCACGAAGATTTTTGCGTTGGAAATTTCCATATGCTCAAAGAGTTCTTCTTCTTTCTTTCCAATGAATAGAATAGAATAGATTTATTTAACCAATTTACACTTAGTGTTTGGCTAGTCATGTACAATACAATTACATTGATACAACGAAATTTGAGTTTATAAATATATAAAAACTGAAACAATAAATAAGTAGAACACAAATATATCTCACATGGATGAACAAATATCAATCACACGCACACACAATCAAGTTCAATTAAAATTAGTAAGAGTGAGACAGTAAATAATCTCTTGAAGTGTAAAAGCAGTGTATCAAAATATAATTTTTTATAACTGACTTGAATCTGGAGGGACTCAACGATTTTATATTCTGAGGAAGAACATTATAAAAATTCAGATCTATAGAATTTTTTGCCGATTTTGTAAATTTAAAGCGGGGTAATCTGAGATTATCTGCTTTTCTAGTCTGGTAACTGTGAACACATGAATCTCCAAAAGGGACAAATAGATATACAATGAAGGAAGAGGCATAATTTTGAGTCGTCTAAATAAAGGTTGGCAGTAATCCCTGAATTCAGCTCCAGCTACAATTCTGACTGCCCGTTTCTGAAGTTTGAAAATTTTGTGAGAACTACAAGAGTTACCCCACAATAAAGTACCATAACTGACATGCGAGTGAAAAAGAGCAAAGTAGCATGTTCTAATAATATCAGACGACAATAGTTGTACAAGAATCAATTAACGTTGTATCATCAGCAAATGCTATGCATGACTTTTAAAACATAGAATGAAACAGGTCATTGACGTAAACAATAAAAAGAAGGGGCCCTAGAACAGAGCCTTGTGGTACTCCATGTGACACTGAGATAAAATCAGAAGACATTTCATTTACATAAACACTTTGTTTGCGACCTGATAGGTATGATCTGAAAAATAAGACAATGGTAAACCAGTATGTAAACCTATTTTATTTTTTCAATCCAAAACCGTTTGTCTAAAGAAAAAAAGTCAAGAGATTCTTCTTGTTAGCAACTAATAAGAGATTACAAAACTGATTTTTATTTTGATAAAAAACAGTGGCGTGCTATTTTTTAATGTAATGAAATTATATTTTGGTCAATATCAACGGTTCAAAAAAAGGTAAATGATGAATTATTTTCATCAAATTATAGAGAAATTTATCCTCTTTCAAAACATATAAAAATTAATATACCATTACATTTGTTTTTTTTTTAACTCAAAAATTTGCTTACATTTCAGTTAACGCCATCTAACGGCGACAGCAAAAGTCAAAAATTCAAAACCAAATGAGCGTGATGTAGGGCAGATTATGCTCTTTCATATGAGCCTAAGTTTGCTAAAATCGGTCGAAATAAACGGGAGAAATTTTGGTTTGTTTAAAAAAACAATTGAACTTCCCCCACCGCTTTATTTTGATAGATAGAAAATTGCTACCCAACAATTTTTGAAATCCGATCTCGAATGATTCAGAAGATACATCCCTGACCGTTTTTTCTTCAATACTCTGTATAACAGAGAATTTTTGGTGCTGAAGATTTTTCATTGATTTAAACCCAAATTCCTTGATTCTTGTAAACCTGGTTTACACGTTCATCTAAATCGAGTTTATCATCAACTCATGATCCTTTCAAGCACCATTTTGACTTTTGACTTGCCAATAGACGTTTAGATGGTTTCTGGTAATGACATTCTCTTGTCATTTTGTTTCAGGGATGTTGATGCCAACGCCTTATTGCCTAATAATTCCAAATCCACCCGAGACTTTCATTGCTGATCATCCTTTCCTGATGATGATTCAGCATAGGGCAGAAACTTCGGACTGCAATATTTTGTTTCGAGGGCATTATATTCATTGAATAAAATCCTAGTTTAGTAAATATACAGGGTGGCATGGCGAGGGAATGGGTGACCAGCAAATGAATTATTTCAGAGATTTGTATTTTTGAAATGTTATTTGATGGTGAATGTTTTGTTTCAGCGATGGTTATGGTAGCTTGTTGTGCCATGAGCTTTCCAAGACAACCCGAAACTTTCATTGCTGATCATCCTTTCCTGGTTTTGCTTCAACATAGGAATGAAACATTGAATAATACTTTTATGTTTAAAGGTCGTGTTTCAATACCATAACTTTGAAAATTATGATGATCTGATAAACCCTTGAATATGCTCGTGTAAACCAGTTCGGCTTGTGGTAGAATTTAAAAAAAAAAACTAAAAATCTCATGAATTTTGTAGAAGTACGTATGGTAATGAAAAGATCCATCGGATATGTTCAACGTGAAGAATTTTTGGCCACCCACCCCTTCTTGGTATTGTTAGCAGGAAAAGGAAACATCACAATACAGGATGTACGAACAAAGGAGTGTCGCTCTATTTTGTTTTATGGAAAAGTTGAGAGTCCATTGTATCCCAGAATCGAACACGATGAGCTTTGAATCATATTGTAAATGTACAGAGTGAGCGAGAAGAATTCGATGACATCATTAATTTGGATAAAAATGGACTTTACTCACTCTTTCCAGATTTTGTTCATCGTTTTTCCTTTCCCCTGTACATCAGGGTGACTGGCAAAAAAACTCCCTTTGCCATATAGAGCCGTTATTTATTGTCCATCTAATGAAACCCCCTGTATACACAATAATGTATTCAAAAAGAGCTTCTTACTTTTCTTGTATATGAGTTGAATGACATTTTCTTCATCACAAAGATAAATATATGTTTCTATTTCGGTTAAGTTGAAGCTGAAAATAAAATTTGTATTTCACCAAAATTTGATGATAAATAATGGCGATGTAGCTTTTGGCTTTTTTTGTCGCCCTGTATTTGTTCTATAGGTAGTACTTAGTGCTTCCGATTCATTCCTATTATTCCACTTATTATTATTATCAACGAACGAAGCAGTTCTAGCATTTGATGAATTTTCTTTGGCTTCGAACGTAATATGTGAAATAAAAATATTTCCCGTATTTTTTTTTTCAACTAATTTTGAAGTTGAAATATTGTTCAAAAGTAGCTTTTCAAAATACGGTTTTTGGCATTGCAAAATCGGAGAATTGATCTCGAATTGTGAATTTTTCAATCAATAAAAATTGTTGGATTTGTTACTTGCTGCTATTTTTAATAAACAAAACAAACAGTACCTATTTAAATATTTTTGATAGATCTTTTTTTTTTCAATCTCATATAAAATATTTCTTTGTCTGTTGTGTACTCAAATATTAGTTTAGATGTCATACTACTGTCATGTTTCTACTTAAAAATTTCTATTTTTTATATATCCATATATACCGTCGCTTCTCCTTATAAGTGCTTATATGTATTTCAATAAGAAATAGAGATAATTTGAAATAAAAACGTTTTTCTTCAACTCCGTGCCTATTTTTTTTTTCTATAGGCATCATGCAGAAAGTAATGGATGAATTAAAATTCAAATAAATTTAGTAATAATTGAAGTGTTACCTATAAAACTTGAATTGTATCATCATTACTGCTTCTATGGGAATGGAATGAAAATTACTGATATATAAAAATTGTTAAGTAGATTTTATTTTCTTGGCGTAGGTATGCATTATTTCCAATTGGAGTGCTTGACATTTCCGAAAGAATTCTACGCAGATCATAGCTTCATGATAGCCCTTATCGATAGGGCAACGGATAACAGCGGCAGCGTTTTGTTCACCGGAAAAATATCAACAGCTGCTTATTGAATGTGAAGCTCTATATTTTGTAATTTTTAAAATATTTCAAGATGGGTAAAAAATAAATAATTTAAAATTACTATCTTTTGGTTGTTATTCGTTGAGAAAATACAGAAAAACTATGTGCCATTGATGAGACCGAACGAATATTTGAACTACTCTACCATTTCAATTGATAACGAAGTGGAGAATAATACGTTTTTTATCACAATAAGGTAGGGAAGATACTTCTAGGTTTTTCTCAAAGTTTAAGACTTATGAATACCATATTGATATTTTATGTTTCTATTTCTTTGATTTGGCAAATAACTTTCCATTTTGATTTTAACAGATGAGTGTTTTATGGTTTTATTTTCACGAATTAACTGAAAATTATTATAAACAGATGATGTTTTTTCATTTCAGCGAAAAAGGCTATTACGAAGAGGAAAATGATATTTCCAAAAAAATTCATAGCTGATCACCCATTCACAGTGATTCTTGCCAAAAACGAAGAGGGATCTACTGGCGAAAACAAAAATTTGTGCATTCTATTTACAGGGCGTATAGGGAATCCTTGCGTTTAAGCAATAAATAACCCTATCACTTTTAACAAATAGTCAATAAAATGAGTTAGAAAACTGAATTTGTTTATCTTTCAACAGTTTGTTTTGGTGTTGAATCAACTAAATTCTGTTTAATATCTATCTAAATGGTAAAATTGTATTAATGATACTAATAGCATGTTCTAATTGCTATAAAAATCTAATTTTGATTTTTCACTGTTCCTAATTTTTCCAGGCATGAACATAAGAAGAAAATTTTGTTCCTGGACAAATAAAGAGCCAGAGGAATTTAGAGGAGACCACCCTTTCTTGTTTATTCTAGCTAAAAAACTAAATACTTCAAGTGAAGAAAAGCGTGTTCTGATTGTTTTCAATGGGTATATCAATGATCCTCTCAACAAAAATTGAAAATGTAAAACATACACCCTTTTAGAGTAGGTTATGTTCCACTTTTAACAAATAGTCAATAAAATGAGTTCGAGTTTTGGTGTTGAATCAACTATTAAATTCTGTCTAATATCTATCTAAATAGTAAAATTGTATTAATGATACTAATAGCATGTTCTTATCGCAATAAAAATTTAATTTTGATTTTTCACTATTCCTATTCCTAATTTTTCCAGTCATGGTCGGAAAAATGCTGGGTATGCTGCCACTGCTGCCGCCGCCACCGCCTCCTGAGGAATTCACTGCTGATCACTCTTTCCTAGTTTTGCTTCGAGAGAAAGAAAAAACCACCGGAAATATATTATTCGCGAGTCGCGTCTCGATTCCTCAATGTCAATAAAGCTATAGTAGATGATGCGCCAACTGAGTCACCCCCCACTACCACCATAGCCACGCCTATCATGTCCTTGGAGGCGTGACCAAACAAAAAAAATAAACTGTTCAATGCATTTGTGTGTTTATTTCCGTACCACCCCCTACCACTGAAGCCACGCCTAGCCAAATGTGCTTCAGGGGCGCGGCCAGAGAAGTAAAATGTTTCAACTCGCTCTTTCGTTGCAGGGATGGAAATTATGCTATGTTGTATGCCACCGCCTCCTGAGAATTTCACTGCTGATCATTCTTTCCTAGTTTTGCTTCAAGAAAAAGAAAAAACCACCGGAAATATATTATTCGCAAGTCGCGTCTCGAATCCTCAAAGCCAATAAAGCTATAGTAGATGATGCGCCAGCTAGATCACCCCCACTACCACCATAGCCACGCCTATCATGTCCTTGGGGCGTGACCAAACAATAAAAATAAACTTTTCTATGCATTTGTGTGTTTATTTTCGTACCATCTACCGAAATAGGTAATGCGCTAGTAAGATCACCCCCTACCACTGAAGCCACGCCCAGCCAAATGTGCTTTAAGGGCGCGGCCAGAGAAGTAAAATGTTTCAACTCGCCCTTTCGTTGCAGGGATGAGAATGATGCGGTGTAGCATGCCACCGCCTCCTGAGAATTTCACTGCTGATCACTCTTTCCTAGTTTTGCTTCAAGAAAAAGAAAAAAACACCGGAAATATATTATTCGCAAGTCGCGTCTCGAATCCTCAAAGCCAATAAAGCTATAGTAGATGATGCGCCAGCTGGGTCACCCCCCACTACCACCATAGCCACGCCTATCATGTCCTTGGAGGCGTGACCAAACAATAAAAATAAACTTTTCAATGCATTTGTGTGTTCATTTCCGTACCACCCCCTACAAATCGCCCTTTCGTTGCAGGGATGGAAATTATGGAACGTTGTTTACCCCCACCCCCAAGAAACTTCACTGCAGATCACCCTTTCATAGTCTTGCTCCAAGAGAGGGGAGAAAATCTTAGTAACGTTTTATTCAAAGGGCGTTTTTCTCAACCAAAATATTGAAATTCTCTGGATAGAATTGCTTGCTTGTAAGTTCAGAAGTGATTCAGGCATGACATGTTGTTGATACTGCTGATAATAATGAATGATGGGTGGAAAACAATCAAAGTTATGTAATATTACTTGAAAGCTTTGTTGTTTTTGTCAGCTTTGCAATTAAATTTTATTTTACCGACTGAGTATTTATACAGAGTGATTTTTTACAGGTATGATCATGATGATGAGATGTGCTATGATACCGCAATCGCCTGAAGAGTTTATTGCGGACCATCCTTTCCTGATTTTGCTTCGAAACAAGCACCAATTGTCATCTAACATTTTGTTCAAAGGAAGGGTAGCTCAACCCAAATAAAGTGCCTTTGCAGTTGCATTAGATTTTTTTTATTTGGGGGTGGGAGGCAATAATCGATTGAGTTCTACTATAGAATTTGCGTTTGTTTGCTTTTTGCAGCTGTTCAAGTTGTCAAGCAAAGCATGAGGGTATCTCTTCATGCTGAGCTAATTGCTGATCATCCTTTTCTGATTCTGATCAAAATGAAGGGTGACAAATCGAATGTTTTGTTTGAAGGTAGAATTGATCAACCAAAATGTTGAAATTTACTAACTATAGGTGCTTTTGATATAAAATTATGATATTTGTTAATAAAATTATATTATAATTACCTAATTAGATGGTTTGGAAGTTTGGAGGGTTATCAAAAAGGGGAAGATTCTTTAAATACCTTCGTATCATACTCCTGTTCACTGTCAAGATGAACCCAAATGGTCTGCTTTTTGTATCTATATAATATGACGTATGCAATACTTTTGCAGCGTTGCCAAGTTAATTAGAATTATTTCAAAAAAATATATGCCTGCTGATTTTTGTTTTCATTTCAATCCAAAATTGTGCATGAACTTTGGATACTTAGACTATTGCTGCAATGATGTCATAATTGACAGTTGACTTATAGGATATATCAACATAATTATGGATAAAGGAGAGGAATAAAAATGATAAAACCTCACCAATTAATCAGGACACATTTTTAATTACAAAACTGTGATTTTCTTAAACCATCAAAATGTACAATTTTCATTCTCATCTAACAACTCAAGAAACGTTTGCCCTGAATACAAACCACTCAAAAATACAATACAAACTATTTCTCAGCCTTTTCTTGCTTCCTACATCTAGCCAGATGACTCAGCAACCTGTGCCCAGTGAAGAACGTGAAACCACCAATGGGTATCAACCAAGCACAAGTCACGAACATATTCAATTTCAACCAGAAAAGCGTAAACAGCCCCAAAATACCCCCCAAACCGATATGGAAAGGTAGCGCTATCGGCGTAAAATTGCCAAAATTGATGCCGATTCTACCCCACAAAATCAAAAGGATCAACAAGGGGAAAGCAGTTAGAGCAGTGAAAAATAGAGAAACTGCTTGAGCAGGCCTCTTTTCAGCTGACCTAAATAAGTGCTTGATCTCAGGTTTGGGCCCGCGAGTAACACCGACAGTTTGAGCCGCTTCACCACCCAAATTCACTTCAATACCACCCAAGACCCAGCGAATTGGGTTAGTCATGATGGCATCACCCAAAATCAACTCCATTTCAAAATTGCCCGACTGTGACAGCTCCTTAGCTAGGTTAACCTCGATTTTGTACTCTTTATTGTTGTCCTGCTCTGCCACAAACACTATTTCTTTATCAGCAGAGTACAAACGCAGGAAAGCTTGATGAACTCTATGAGAAATGGTAAATTTCACCACCAAAAGCTGGCTAGAATCAGCTTGAAGATTAGAACTCAACTTATTTGGATGACTCAGTTGAGTTAACTTCAAGGCTGAAGTGCCATCACCATCACTCAAGCCAATACCCAATGACTTAACAGTCACTGGCCCCAAAACTCGAGAATTGAAAGTTGTACTGTGACTGCCAGCATTCAAAACCACCCTGTAAAACCCTGGCTCCACATTCAGTTTCAAAATGAACTCAGTGGGGCTAGCCCCCCCAGCTAGGGCCTGTTTAGACAAAACAACACTACCATCTTCCACTCTGGTCACAGATTCTGCTACTACAGGCCCAGGTACAGGTTTCAAGGCTGATCCCAAAATGTTACTTATCTGAATGTGTAACTGAGGCTTATCCACAGGTACCTGGGCAGAACCAACAACTACAATACTTACAGGAGACACATTGCTGGCTGATAGGGCCACAGCAGCCTCCAGGAGTGCTAGGACTCCTCTTGGGGTTTGCACAGTCTTTCTGGTCAACAGATAGCTGCCCAGCTTTTCAGCTTGAGTTGGGTTGAAGGGTGTGGCCCCAGGCAAGCGTGATAAACCAGTGATTATCAATGAGGTGACAGTCAGCCCACCTTCCCACTGCAATATTTTACCATCAATTTCATCTGCTTGGACTATGACATCCTCTATACGGTCCTGTATGAATTTGCCTGCATTTCCTAGGAGAGCAGCTGAGTGGAATGCTTGACCAATGTTTTGGACACTATCATCTTCTCTGAGCTTGTTTTGCACAAGTTCTGACACTTTCTTGGGGTTTGGGATAGGTTGCTTCAGCAAAGAAAGTATCTCTAAGGCATATCTGATGTCCGAGAGCGTCGATTTCTCTGATATAACCGATTCAATCTCCTGAAATCATTCATGATTGTGTCCATCAAAAGTCAAGTTACCAAGATTTAAACAACATACCTTTAGCAGGACTGGTTCATGCAGAATTCCTTGGCATCCCAATAGGGACCAAGAACTGAAGGCATTGAATTTTGCTTCCCAATTAGCTGCATTCAAGTTCTTTTTCAAGTGGGGGCAGATGTTTTTAGCTTGTGAAGCATCTAGAGGTTCATTCAACAGTTTGTAGCCTCTGATGGCATAGTAAGGACTTGATACATCGTCTCCTTCAAGTTGCAATGATTTACCTAGAATCTGGAGAAATTTTTTGTTATCTGATTGACTAATGTAACCTCCAATGCTGGCATGGCTTCTGGCTACGAGGGTGATTAGAAGGAAAGCTGAAACAAATAATAGAGGGTTTATAGTCAACAGGAAGGGATTCTGAACAATTTTGACGAACCTAGAGAAGAAAAGCGCAGAAAGTCCTTCATTTTATTGTGGTCTATTTTACAAGAAATTTCACCGGCATATCACAACTTGACACGTAAAATCAAAATCATGCGCGTACGGCTTCTGAGTACTGACTGAAAAAAATGTTGTTTGACGATTTGACGTGTGCATGACAAATGTTTTTTCTTCTTCTTCTAATTTTGTGGCCTCTTGTCAAAGGACATACAGCCAGTTATGGTATCTTTGCTTATTGCAATCTTCCCTGAAAGGTGCACACTTCTGTGTCCATGCCCTTCATGAGTAGGATGGAGGATGGGGGGTTTACAAAGGTAATAAGACTCTTCTCGCTCTGTGAATGACAAATGTTTAATTTTCGTCACACTACGCATCTTGCTATTATGTTATTCTTCTTTGTTTTGAGACCAACAAACGTGGTGGTCCATTTACCAATTCACCATTGTTCTTTGTCTTCTTCTCATTCCTCGTTATCAGTTTTGACAACTGAAAATTTTTCAGGTTATATTATAATCTCGAAAAAATTCGGAATATTTTATCAAATCTCTTTAATACAGATGTTTTTAGTATTATAAAACTATCTGATATAAGTAAGTTAGGGCTAGTAGGGAAATAAAGAAGAAGAAGAATAAGATCAGGATAGAAAAGAGAAGAAGAGGAAGAAAAGAACCTAGGATAGTGAGTAGGGAAGCGATGGAAAAACCGGGAAAAGTGTGAACTCTCGTACCCTGTACATTTTTAATTCAATATACTTGTTCATAGTTTTAATGAAGAGTATTATTGCCCACAAATAATAAACCTGATATAGGGGTTTATAACATCTCAGAAGTGGGATGACACGAGAGTTAGTTTCAACGGTTTAACGAAACGAAATCGGTAGTGAGAAGGTGCAAGTACAAAAGACAAACCACTCTTGTGAAATCGGCGGAGCGACAGTCATCGGTAGACGGAGTCTTATCAGTTTTCGGGACAGTGTAGAGTCGGTTTAGACTAAACTGTGCGAAATGGGTAGCGACGACGAAAGTGGAGGAGGGGCTGGTGCAGCTCAGGGTGCAAACAAGGGGCCTGGAGCAGGAAGTGGAGGTTTGGGTACTGTTGATCTCATAGCCATGATGACACAACTAATGCAGACTATTGAAAGCAATAGAGTAGCTAGTGAAGAACGACTGCTAAACGTAATTGATGGAAGAAATCAAGGAAGGGAATTTCATGTCATGCCAGATTTGACGAAGAGCATTGACACCTTTGATGGTGAATATGATGTGGCAAGTGACTGGCTAGAAAAGCTGGCAAGTACAGCGGCCCTGCACAAATGGCCAGAAGAGTTCATCTTGGAAACAGCGAAAACAAGTTTAATTGGTGCAGCCAAAAACTGGTATATTGCCAATATGAAAGACATTACATCATGGGCAGAGTTCCAAACCAGATTTTTGAAAACATTCCGAGTTACAGAAAGTTTAACTGATAAATGGAATCACATGCAAAACCGAATCCAGAGGCCAAGTGAAACTGTGTCTTCCTACTTTCATGATAAGCTGAGACTCTGTAAGAAGTTGAACCTGAAAATGTCTGAAATCAAGGAACAAGTCATCCTGGGACTATACAACAAAAGCATCGTTCAAGGTTTGTTAGCCAAAACTTACTTTGATAGTGATGATTTATTACATGATCTAGTTGATTTCACTAGAATAGCAGATAGCTTGAAAAGCACAGCAAAGTCTAGTGGCCAACATGAAAATAAACTTTCAACTTCTCCAAGTGTAAAGCTTCAAAGAGGTGCAGTCAAGAAAGGGCCTACTTGTTTCAAATGTGGTGAAAAAGGACACCTCAGGACTGAGTGCAAAAATGAAAAGGCTAGATATTGTTTTGCATGTCAATCCAAAGACCATATAATAAGAGACTGTCCAGTGAAAAAGGAAAATACACAAGGTGCAGGTACATCAAAAGTAATGACACCTAGTACATCATCTGTTAAAACAGAAACAAAACCATCAGTGATGAACATCAACTCTAATGTTCAGAACCAGTGTATAGATCCAACTTCAAGAAGCAACACCAAGGAAGATGCTGAAAAATATCTTCGAGCAGTGGAGGTGAATGACATCGAGCTACATGGAATGATAGATCCTGGGAGTTCAGTGTGTATCATCAAGGCAACAGTGGTGCGCAACAAAGGATGGTCAATTATGCTGGATGAGGTAAACCTGTATGGATTTGGGGGTGGAGAATCTATCAAAAGTATAGGAATTCTACAAGCCAAGGTAAGCGTTGATAGTATTTTTGTCAACCCTGTGAAAATCTGCGTTGTACCAGACAGTGCATTAACAGTAGACATTATTGTTGGACGGTCATTTACTGATCATCAGACAATTGCTTACTTTCGTGTTGATGATGAACTAACTTTTACGTGGCGTGAGAATTTTCCAGACTTTCCATTCAAAGACTGTGATGTTCCAAGTGAAAATTCGAATATTTCAATTCAGTCTGACGGGACAAACTTTGTGAAGGCTGAAAGTGTGATGCTCATAAGTGCATGCGCGGACAATAATAAAATCATGGTTCCAGTCATGAACACATCATCAACAGAAATGAAGTTGAATGATGGACAGATCATTGGAAAAATCAAAAGAAAGTTTGATAAACGTGAAAATAAGCCTGATACAATGATATCAGAATGTGTTAAAATTCCAATTACACCTGAAATGATTATTGTTGATGTGGACACTCCGTCCTATATTGTGCATAAATTGACATTATTATTCAATAATTTTAGAGACTGTTTTGCATTTAACTTAGCAGAGTTAGGTTGTACTAATGTTTTACAAATGGACATCAAAGATACAAATTGTCCGGTTGTATCAAAACCATATAGGTCAAGTATTCGTGAAAGAGAAATAATTTCAGAAATTGTTCAAGATTGGAAAAAGCATGGTATTGTCAGTGAAACAAATAGCCAATATGCAAGTCCAGTGCTATTAGTTCAAAAGAAAACGGGAGAACCGCGATTGGTTATCGATTATCGCAAGTTAAATAAACAAACCGAGAAAATACCATACCCTATTCCAACTGTAGATGAACTTTTCGAGAATTTGAGTGGTTCAAAGATATTTTCAACTTTAGATTTAGCTCATGGATACTTGCAAATACCTTTAACGGATGAGGCAAAGGAGAAAACAGCTTTCATCACACCAGATGAAACTGGTCAATTTGAACGGTTAGTCTTTGGTTTGACAAACGGACCCTATGAATTTTGCCGACTTATGCAAACTGTGCTTGGACCAATAAAGAACAAAGTGTGCATGTGTTATATTGATGACTTGTTGGTGGGCGCGAAAGACTGGGGGGACATGTTAGACAAGTTATGTTTAGTTCTTGAGAGACTAAGGGACGCTAAATTGACTTTAAAATTAAAGAAATGTGTATTCGGCTTGAAACAAGTAGAATTTTTAGGTTATAGTTTATCTGAAAATGCAATCAAGCCAGGTAGTGCAAAGACTCTCGCAATAGCAAATTATCCGGAACCAAAGACTGTGCATGATGTTCGCAGGTTCTTAGGACTTACATCCTATTTTAGGAGATTTGTTCCGCGGTATTCTATTCGTGCTCGACCCTTGTCAGAATTGACAAAGAAAAGTGTACCTTTTGAATGGACAGTATCGCAAAAACAAGCATTTTCTGATTTGAGAGATGCTCTTTGTTCAGAACCCATATTGCAATTGTATAACCCGAAAGCTACTCAAACAGAGTTACACACGGACGCGAGTGCAGCAGGACTAGCGGGAATCCTTTTGCAAAAGAATTCTGAAGGGGAACTCCACCCTGTTTATTTTGTGTCCAAAAAGACCACCGACGTGGAGGCACGGTATCATTCAAGTAAACTCGAATTGATGGCGGTAGTTTGGTGTGTGGAAAGACTTCGAAACTTTTTGATTGGACTGAAATTTACCGTGTTTACAGACTGTCAATCTATTGTTTATTTAAATTCGGTAAAAACGCAGAATGCCCAGATATCTCGTTGGTTTAACTTGTTACAGGAGTTTGACCTGGAAATTAAACATCGAGCAGGTGAGAAAATGGCACATGTAGATGCACTCTCGCGAGCTGCTGTGGATGAACCATGTGACACTCTGGAAGAAATTCATAGTCGATTGGAAGTTTTGCAGACGATGGATGAATCAGACTACATATTAATGATCCAACATAGTGATAAAAATCTGAGAGAAATGATACAGATTTTGCAGAAAGATGAAGCAGACAGAAATCAGTTGGAACAACAAAAGGTGGAAACCTATGTATTGAATAATTCAAGGCTATTCAAAAGAACAATGGTAAATGGCAAAGAAAAGTTATTGTATGTCATACCAAAATCAGTAAGAAAAAGTATCGTGGTGAGGTACCATAACCTTTTAGGACATTTTAGTATTGAAAGAACAATGGCTAAAATAAAAGAACGTTATTGGTTCCCAAGAATGAAAAGGTACGTTCGTAGACACATCAGTGCATGTGCAGAATGCTTGATAAGCAAAGAACCAGGAGGTAAGAGACCCGGGGAATTACACCCTCCTAGTGTTCCCAAGAGACCATTTGAAAGAATCAACATTGACCATGTTGGACCACTGGTCAAAAGCGAAGAAGGAAATCTTTACATTTTGGTCATTATAGATGCATTGACAAAATTCGTAAAGTTGTATGCTGTTCAAAGTACTAGAACTGCAGAAAACATTAGAGCTATACAGAAATTCATTAATAGTTATGGAATACCAAGACACCTAGTGTCAGACAGAGGAACTTGTTTCACCTCTGTTGACTTTGCAACGTTTTGCAATAGCCTGGGTATCAAACATACTCTGACCTCCAGTAGATGGGCTCAAGCCAATGGCCAGGTTGAAAGAGTCATGCGCACTCTTATACCCACCATAATGACTTTGATGGAAAATGAAGAAAACTGGGATCAAGCTATACATGAGGTGGAAAGAAACTTGAATGTGGCAGTCAATAAAACCACAAACAAGACACCATTTGAAGCACTACATGGTTACCTGCCTGAATTTGGTAATGGAATACTGAGTGCAATGGTCACAGATGATGATGAATGGAGACCACCAGAAGAAGTTCAACAAGAAATACGGGAAACGATCGCCAGCGAGCAACAAAAATACAAATCTAGATTTGATAAAAAGAGATATCAGGGACTGAAGTATGAAGTCGGGGATCTTGTGGTACTGAAGAGTCAGCCGACAAGTACAGGTCAATCTACAAAGTTGCAGCCAAAATATCGTGGACCGCTTATTGTAACAGAGGTATTACCATGTGACACATATCGTATATCTTCAATAGAAGGCGATGAAGGACGATATTTCACTACGACAGCCAATGTGGCACAAATGAAACTCTACAGAAATCATGACGAGTCAGAGAGCGACAGTCAAGAGGAAGAGTTAAGCGAAAGACAAGAGATTACCACTCAAGAGGAAGAGTCATATGAAATGCAAGAGACTACCCCTCAAGAGGAAGACCAAGAAACAACCACTGAAACAGAAGAGAACACTATAAGGACAAGAAGAGTTAAGAGAAAACCTGCTTATCTTCAAGACTACATAGTTGATGAGAGCGATTAGCTGTTCTTTTAGTTTGTTTTGTTTGAATGTATTATCATCTTTTGAATGTTAGGTGTAACGTTTTCTAGTTTTTTTTGTGTTATAAATGTTTGTTTTATATAGGGATTGGCGAGGGCGCCTTTTAGTCAGGATAGGACGAATGATATAAGTAAGTTAGGGCTAGTAGGGAAATAAAGAAGAAGAAGAATAAGATCAGAATAGAAAAGAGAAGAAGAGGAAGAAAAGAACCTAGGATAGTGAGTAGGGAAGCGATGGAAAAACCGGGAAAAGTGTGAACTCTCGTACCCTGTACATTTTTAATTCAATATACTTGTTCATAGTTTTAATGAAGAGTATTATTGCCCACAAATAATAAACCTGATATAGGGGTTTATAACATATCTGATAAAAAAAATCGGGAAAAATTTTTACAATAGGTTCTGAACTAAACGTCTCTTTGACATTTTCAAAGTTTTAAACACTCATGTTTTTGATATAATTTTTCTCAAATCAATTGGATATCAGAGTATTTTCTTCCAAATTCAGCAATGTCCAGCAAAAATTCGCCAAATAAAATAGACTATGATGATCCTGCATTTCGCATAAGTCCTGTTCAACAGGCAGCAGCATCTTGCACTGGAGCTGTGATTACCTCATTTTTCGGTAAGAGGGTTGAAAATATTGAAACATTTTGTTATGGAAATATCTGTTATAGTCACGCCTCTGGATGTGGTGAAGATCAGGCTGCAAGCACAGCAAGCATCAGCTAAAACCCAAACAAAATGTTTTCTCTACTGCAATGGCCTCATGGACCATTTCTGCAGTTGTTGTCCTGATGATCCTAACAGCAGATGGCTACAAAGACCGGGACATTTCAATGGCACAATTGTAAGAACTACTTCATGTCTAAAGCCTTGCTGACTCTTATTATTCATTCAGGATGCTTTTCTCAAAATTAGCAGAACAGAGGGGGTTTCTTCCTTATGGAGTGGTTTGAGCCCCACCCTTGTTCTAGCCATTCCTGCCACTATAGTATACTTTGTCATCTATGAACAATTACGCTTGAAGTTGAAAGATGTTTACAACAAAAATACAGATGGTAATAGAAGGAAACAGCCTTTTTGGATACCTCTAGTGTCAGGTGCAACTGCTAGAGTATTCTCAGCATCAATAGTAAGCCCTTTAGAACTGATAAGGACCAAAATGCAGGCTCAAAGACAAAGCTACCTAGGTGAGTACAAAGATCAATGGGGTAACTTGTTTGACAGCAATTTTTCTCAAAGAAATTGGAGAGGCATTGAAGTTACTTGTGAAGCAAGATGGAGTTAGAGGACTGTGGAAAGGAATATTCCCAACTTTGTACCGTGATGTACCATTCTCAGCCATATACTGGATGAACTATGAAACCATGAAGACATTTTTGGGTGGCCCTGATAGCCCCCCAAGTTTTTGGATCAGTTTCATCTCTGGAGCTTCTTCTGGAACTGTAAGTGAAATCAACTTGACTTGTTCTTATGCTCAGTCCAGGAATTTTATAGCTTGCAGCTACTTTCACAACACCTTTTGATGTAGTTAAAACCCATCAACAAATTGAATTTGGTGAAAGCACCCTGTATGGTGGTAAGTACAATTGAATAGAATGGCGACCATTGAATATGATTTCTGGTGTTGAGTTGGTGGGAATTCGGTGGAAATTTTTAAATTGTCCACGTTTCGAAACTTTATTGTTTCATCTTCAGGACACTGAAGTAAAACCAAGAACATACATATTAAAATGATATTTTAAAATGAGGGGTTTTGATAAAAGCAAAATAAGTTATGTAAAATAACAATCGTTGAAAATAAAACACTTATCACACTTTACAGAAAACAACATTGATAGATACTTACATTTAGGGTGGCTTTCCGGGTTTAAAAATAGTGAAATAAATAAAATCGACATAAAGTATAAATATGTACACACACAGACAGGAACATGAAGGAATGAACAAACTGAACTGTCATTGAATCGTTTCTTTATATTGCAAAAAAGGCTCCTGAAAGAGATAATAATCGGGATTGGAAAAAGTCACCTGCTGATGATTCGGAATTATTGTTTGATTTTTTCTATTAAATTGAAATATGAGGTGTGTAAATTCTCAATATAGTCCAATAAATGAAGGAGGAAGTAGCTTTTGGTACCTCATTGAACATGAGACAAAGTTTGACTGGAAAACGCGTGCGATGGCGGAGAAAATGGCCCCAAAAGACCAGGAAAATAGGTTTTCAGCCAATATCTCCTAAAATATGGCAGTTAGAGATTTTCGGTTCAGATAAAAATTGAAGTTCAGTTAATTTTCGACAAAAATGGTCCTTATCATTTTTCTCGAAAATGTTCCCGGTTTCGAGAAAAACGGCACGAAACGCACCTCGAATAATGAGCTTCTGTTGTATGCCGGAGAGCACAGTCCGTGTATTTACACATCGGCGGGGGGACAAATTATTCAATAACTTTTTTAAAAATGCATATTTTCTCATGATTCAAAGTTCATGTGAAAGAGGAATTCTGCTGCTATCATACCCTGCATGGCCGCATGGTTTGTAGCAGACGACCCGAGCGCCACGTAGCGCACACGCGCGGCGAACGACGGAGGAACGAAAGTAATAAATTATAGCGTGTACATTTAGATATACTGGTTTTTTCCCGGCATATCAAAGGTATGACTTATATACATCGATGGAAAGGTGGGAATTCCCCCGTTACACTAGTTAAGGTGTTAAAATGTTAGAAATAAAGAGCACGGAGAAAAAAAACACCGAAAAAAAAGTCCTTGACCCCGCTTTTTCTAATTTTATTGAAAAATGGACGACTTCGTCTAAAAAAGTAATTGCACAATCGAAAAGTAGACCTTCTTAGCTTTCGAATGATGTAACATAGAAACCAATCGGATCATGTATAAATTTTTAATTAATGGTTGTTCACAAATTTTCCCCGCGCTCCAAAAACAGCAAAAAATTGGGATTCAATAAACAGAGATTAAATGAAAATTTAAAAAAATTAGGGTATACAAATTTCAGGGATGACAAAGGACCTTATGAGGACCCATAATCAAGAAAATTTTGAGTAAATTAGTGCAATACAAAAAAAATAGGAACAAATTCCTGGCGAGGTCAAAATTGACCGGGAGCAGAAAGTTTGACCCATGTTCCGATATGGCCAAAAGAGTCAAGCGTGACTCAATTCACAGGGTATGATAGCAGCAGAATTCCTCTTTCACATGAACTTAGACTGAGAAAATATGCATTTTTAACAAAGTTATTGAATAATTTGTCCCCCCGCCGATGTGTAAATACACGGACTGTGCTATCCGGCATACAACAGAAGCTCATTATTCGAGGTGCGCTTCGTGCCGTTTTTCTCGAAACCGGGCAAATTTTCGAGAAAAATGATAAGGACCATTTTTGTAGAAAATTAACTGAACTTCAATTTTTATCTGTACTGAAAATCTCTAACTGCCATATTTCAGGAGATATTGGCTGAAATGCTATTTTTCTGGTCTTTTGGGGCCATTTTCTCCGCCATCGCACGCGTTTTCCAGTCAAACTTTGTCTCATGTTTAATGAGGTACCAAAAGCTACTTCCAACCGGAAGATGAAAATAGTGCGTAATTAATGTTAACTTTTTCCCTTTATTTATTGAACTAATATCCGATCTTTTGTTAACACATTTTTACAGTTCAGTTTGTTCATTCCTTCATGTTCGTGTCTGTGTTAAGGTCTTTCATGAACCTGTGTGTACGTATTTATACTTTATGACGATTTTATTTATTTCACTATTTTTAAACCCGGAAAGCCACCTTAAATGTAAGTATCTATCAATGTTGTTTTCTGTAAAGTGTGATAAGTGTTTTATTTTCAACGATTGTTATTTTACATAACTTATTTTGCTTTTATCTCAACCCCTCATTTCAAAATATCATTTTAACATGTATGTTCTTGTTTTTACTTCAGTGTCCTGAAGATGAAACAATAAAGTTTCGAAACGTCGACAATTTAAAAATTGGTTTTCTTCAACATTTTGACCGAATTCCCGCCAACTCAACACCAGAAATGTAAGTAGTGGTAATAAGTGTAGAGTGGTAACCCCAGATGATTCTTTTTGTAGACAAACCTCATAAGAGTAGGACAACTGTGGAAGTGATCAGGCAAATTCACAGAGAACATGGCATCCGTGGGCTCTTTGCTGGAGTGACACCCAGAGTCATAAAAGTGGCCCCAGCTTGTGCTATAATGATATCTTCGTTTGAGTATGGGAAAGTTTTCTTCAACAGGTTGGCTAATAAAAATTTTCCCTCACTAGAGTCGGAAGTGACCAGTTTGAGTTTAACAAATCAACATAGGGCTGTTGATAGGAAGGGTATTATAACAAGTGAAACTAGTAGGGAACTGTTATGATGTTTGTAGGAAGTTTATAGGAAATTCAAAGTAAACAGGGGCATTCTGGGGATTTATAAGTTGATATTGTTTTCATTCCAAAATATAAGTATTATTTTGTTCCAGTATTTTATATCCAAAGTTATTCCAATGACAGAGGAATTCGGATTTCCATGGCCTTTTCTTATGAAATGGCTTCAAAATGATAGATAAATCAACAAAAAATTGTGTGTCTTAGTTTGAATGTTCTATTTTTTCACATTTTTTCAGAGATGTCCCAAGCTAAAAACATGTTTATGAAGAACAAGTTGTTTCATATCAGAATGTTAGAATTTGTAGTTTCCAAGTTCACACTTTTGATGAAATGCATCATCCATATTTTTTGTTTAGTGTACAATTTGTTATTGTAAATAGTTGAAAGGCTTATTTTAAATGAAATATATGATGAGAATTAGATATTTCTATCATTTATTCACCTAGTTTGTTTTCAAAAGATGTATTTTCATTAAGTATGATTTTTTTTAGGGATTTGAAGATTTACTAATCGTCAACTTTTGTATTTATTCGTGGAATAATGATTTTCAGATGTCCTCAAGAGAAAGCAGGAAAAACAGAATATAAACGAAGTTACTGTTTTGATAGTCTTCTAGCTTTTACACCTGTATGAATTACAAAATCTCCAGAGATGAACTGAAAAATCAAGATATTTTGGAAATTATGAACTGTGGAAGATTATAAATCAATCTCTGCTTCTGAAGGAACCAAGAATTTGTCAAAATAATTAGGAATCATGATATTCAAAGTGTAAATAATAAATAATAGAATGAGTAAAGTATTGCTAAGATTCAAATCATATTAATAAAGTTGTCCACACACTATTTCAAATAAATATAATAATCGTCCCTAACCTATCAAATATCGATATCACAAAACGCATCATCCCAACCGTCATCCAACGAATTTTCTATCTCTTCGCTCCTCTCCATCAACATATCATCCAACCCGTCATCAGGAAACTCCTCCGACTCCAATTTCCTCTTCCTACCGGGCGTCATGAAACTCCTGATGTCCATCCTACCTGAAGGAATAAAATTAATCGTTTATTACGTTCCAAAAAACATAAGGCTCCGAAACTACTGGATCGATTTGGCTGAAAATTGGTGAGAAGATAGCTTAGAACCAGAGGAAGGTTATAGGATACTTTTTATCCCGGTACCATTAGGAAATTCAAGATGGCGGATCTAATATATCGGACGAGTTTTGTAATTATGGTTCGATTCTATTCAAAATTGGTATCTGGGGGTTTTCGGGGTCGGAGATTATGATTCTTTCGTCAGAATTTGAAAATTCGGGCGGATTTTGTGAATTCAAGATGGCGGAACCAATATGTCGGACGAGTTTTGTAATTATAATCCGATTCTTTTCAAAATTGGTACCTAGGGGTTTTCGTGAACGGGGATTATGATTCCTTCGTCAAAATTAAGAAATTCAAGATGGTAGATCCAATATTGCGGACGAGTTTTGTAATTATGTGCCGATTCTATTCAAAATTTTCATTTGTGGTTTTAGGAGTCGGATATTATGATTCTTTCGTCAAAATTGGGAAATTCAAATAAACTGAAAGGGATGGTTATTCGGTCAAAGTTCTTGACCTACGACCTACTTGACAGAAGGATTCTTCTCAATATCGCGGAATGTAGGTCACATTTTACCCGTTAGATGGCGAAACCTCAACCAAACTTAAAGGTTGGTAGAACTGATGATAATTAAAATTCACCAAAATTACAGTTTCGTACTTTCAAATTTAATCTCATTTGATTTGAGGTTATGTTATGAATGTTATGCTATCATTATGGTGCAAGCCGTGTGTAAGCGCCATTCTTTGTTTTCCGCCATGAAATAAATAGGTGAGAAGTGTCACCATCTTGCGGACAACTGAGAACTATGCGATTTTTGCGGAATCTGCGGTCAAGCGTTTTGGGAGAAACAAAACACTGTCGGTGATTACACCATATTCTATCCACCTTGCTCCTGACAAAATTTTGACTTATTTGTACCTATAATGAGAGACATATATAGTGTATTCAATACATCGGATGTTTTTTTTGACACATATAGGTTTATGAAGACTTGTTATGAGAGTTAGTCCATGAAATTTAAGCCAAAAGACGATACTTTTTCCAATCACTCTTTATATCTGTAATTTTGATATTAATTCTACCTTTCGAATCCTTCCCGTGACCTTCTGCTTTGGTCCTTTGGACTTCCACGTCCCTGAAGGAGTCCAAGCATAGACCGGCGCCCCTCAGGGTGGTCTGCTTGTCCATGAGCAGCGACCAGATGGAGTCGTCGGCCGTGTGGGGCGCCAGAAGGTAGCGGACCACCACCGGGTGCTCTTGGCCTATCCGGTGGGCCCTCGCCTCTGCTTGGCTCAGAATCTGAAATCGAATTGGCTCAGAACGAGGTAGTGCTCGGAACCGTTCTCGGGAAAGATATGCATCATCACTAGCCCTAGAAGTTATGGTAGGGGAGCCAGCTTTAAATGTCGACCGTCATCGGATAATGAAATGATATTATATGTCCCAAAGGCATGTAAAAATATAGTTATTTATTATACATCAAGAGAAAAAAGTACTAGATTTTAGCTCGAGACGTGCAATAAAAGACGGTGAGCTAAAATCCAATATTTTTCGCGTGTATTTCTTTCTGTGATATAGGAATAACGACGATTAAATATTGAGAGAATATTACATTATAATAAAAATCAGAAAATTCATGTGAAATTTGAAGTTTTAACAGGTTTACTACTTGTGTTGCAGGCATCTTTATTGTTACTTGTTGCTATGGAACAATGTCTGTCCTTGTCTTCAGTGTTCATGTTGGCAACACTGGAAATGAGAATAAATGATCGACCCTGGAGGCACAACACTGAAACACAACCTCACTTTTCTTATTTTTTTAAGTGTTAAGTGATTGAAATGGTTTTTCACTATTATTTTGGCATACGATTCGTATTTTTTGGTTATCCATTAATTCGCTCATGCCATCACATTGTGCTGTTGTACAATGCATAAAAACTGCAGCGGAAGACAAAGGAAATCCAGTTGGTACATTATGATTTAAAAGTAAGTACCTACTATAGTCACTCACATATAGTTTTTATGTTTGAAATTTGGTAATTTCTCTTCTGCAATAGGAGCTACTAGAAATACTCGTGAAATTTCTAAAACAATGCTAGACGATTGGATCCATGCAATCAAACGGGAGGACTGGTCTGACATGCTAACGAAATATGATCGTGTGTGTGTAGAAATTTTCAATCCATTAGCAGTATTAGCTTGTATTGCAGAAGTGGCAGAAAGAATTTTAATAAGGAATGACAACATTTCATAATGAAAACTATGTGAGATTACTATTTACCTGAAAAATCATATTCCTTCGTCTCTCGCTGCATTTTTTGTGCATTTTACAACAGCACAATGCGAAGGCATGCTTGAATTAATGAATAGCGCAAAAAACACGATAACAAATAAAACAAGTGAGGTTGTCTTTCAATAATTCACAAAAAAGTGAGGTTGTTTCAATATTTTACCTCCAGGGTCGGTCATCGTGCACGCGACCTATTTTTTTCCCATTTTCAATGTTACCAACATAAAATTTACATTATTTTACGTTGGAAGACTGAAGAGCACATATGTATATCTCTATATATGGTGCATCGCCTATATGATATCTCAACAAAAATGGGACCAAAATGAAATGTACTTTTTGAATCTATAAGGACGGAAAGTGAAGGACAGAAACATCCATATTGCAAAGAATAGTAGGATGGGTTCGTATTATTTTTTCCCTACGTCGGCATCAACGCCTATTGCTCGATTTCGTTACCTATAGAGACAGAAGTTGGTCTCCTGCTTTGAGGACAGTTACGATTCATATATGAGGAGTAGATATATGCTAAAGAGTAATAGACCAGGACCATCGGTTCGATAATGTGGTTTGGACTATCTGGTTTTTTTTTATTTTTGCACAAAAACTCTAAAACCCTTAATTCTGAAGAAAAAAATACATAAAGGTCGTGACTCATGAGAAATGTTGAGGAATAGAGAATGAAAAATAAGAAATGCAGGTCTACTATTGGTCAATTCTAACCTTGAACGCGATTTGAACCAATCATAGTGCTATTATTCCCACGGCTATTCCTTATTATCATTCCTTATTCAAAGTTTTGCTTAGATTGAATACAAAAATTGTTAAGGATGTAGCAGCAAATTTCATCAAAATCACTTTTCTTCAACTTATTACAACATTTTTTGCTGTACAATTATACAAAAATCAAAAAAAATCTTTCTGGTTATCCTTGCCATGTCTTCAGGACAACGGATTTGTTTCTATTTTGTTCCAGCTTTTGGATTATATGTGAACCGATTAAAAATCCTTCAATAGGAATGGGAGAGCTTATTCAATAGTATTTGATGTATCATGTTAAAAGTGAAAAATGCTCACACTGGGATTCCAATGCAGTTCGGCGAAAAGCACCAGCTGGGCTGATGTCAAAGTTATCCCTGCATTTGCAGCTGTTATCGACAAAATGGCGCACAAATACTGGTCATCCAACTGGAACTTGTTGATGAAGTACCTGTTGATTCAAACAATTTGTCAATTCCGATAATTAAGCATATTATATAGAACGATTTACGTTGGTTTTATTTATTTATTTATTATTATTTAACTTTGAATTACCACAGTACCTCCTTTGATCGGACGATGTTTTACCATCTATCCGGATGTACTTGACATTTTTTTCTTTGGCCACATTTTCTATGGCATCCAGCATCACTTGATGGTGAGCAAATACCAAAAATTTCACTTTGGTTTCCAGCAGTTGAAGAATGTATAAACTACAAATTTAAATTGTATTCATATGAAGAAATTAACAATGTTATGATTTTTTTTTTAATGTTATGATTTATTTAATGATTTTTATTTATTTATTTTATTTATTTATTTATTGAAAATGTTACTTCCAGTCAGAATCAAGTTCTGGTATAAGGAAGTATAGTTAACAATAATACCTAAAACTATACAATTATGATAAACTAATTTGTTTGTTCTAAAATTTGTTCTATCCGTCATTCGGTTGCCCCCTTACGAGCAACCCTCAAAAGTTTTCGAAAGTCTTGTGCGAGCAAGGAATGACGGGGGCCTTACCTTTTAACGTGTGATCCCAAACACTTTCTTGGGCCATCAGAAAAATTTCTGCAGTCGACGGGGATCGAACCCACGACCGGCGAGCGAATGCGAATTAGAATATAGACACTCTGTCCGCACGGCTACCTGGCCACCCATTTGAAAACATTAAGTATTAAATTTTGAATCATTTCATATTGGTGAGCAAAAATCAATTTGAATATGAATCAAAAGTTGAAAGAAAAAAATCATCTATTTGCTAATAAGTTGGTATTTGAGTTTTATTGTATTTCTGCAATTCTTTATATTATCTGGTAATTTGTTATATTCCAAGAGAGCAGCATGGGTGAATCTTTTTTAGCCTATAGAAGAATTAGCCATATCAAGATGAAATAAGTTCTTTAATTAATCCAAAAATTTGATTCATTATTTTTAATAAGAATGTGTACTTACCACACAGAAGGAACTTTGATTTTGGCAGTCTCTGAAAAGAAAGTCAAAAGCAGAGAATGCTTTTTAGACCCATGTTGTGAAATATAATCCTGTCCCAGCTTTTCCAATACTGCTCTATCCTCAGCAGGAAACTGACTGAGATTTGTGTTTAGCATGTGTATTTCTCTTTCTTTTTTAGGAAGCCCTTTTAGCACTTGTTCTTTTGTCCTTCTAATCATGAACTTTTTACCTAGGATTACTTCCAGTTCTTGTAAATTTGAACTACCATTAGCATCCCAACCAAACTGAGTGGTTTTGCCATCACAATAACTGAAATAAATAGTTTGATTAATGCTAAAACTCATCAATATCTTGAACATACCGTTTGCTGAAATTGAAAAAATTCTGAAAATATTGGGGATCAATCAGGCTGAGTTGTGTGAAAAGCTCACTGGGCCTGGAAAGTGCTGGTGTTCCACTCAACAATATAACTCTCCTTGCTTTCCTGGCGAGCAAAGTAGCAGCTTGACAACACTTTGACTTGAAACTTTTCAGAATGTGTGACTCATCAATAATGATGCTGAGGAAATCTCTGTCTAGCAATTTTTGTATTGATCTTGTCATCATATCATGTGTGACTATCAGAATTCTAGCATCTCCAATGTAGTCTTTTCCAGAATCCATGTACTGAATACCCATAAGTGGAACTGATGGCAGATAGTTTGCAATAGTCTCTTCCCAGACAGATCTGCAATATTGAGAATTATTGAGATTGGATTGCTTAAATGTCACTAATCACTCACTTGATAGTAGATTTAGTTACTATAAGTAGTGGCCAGTCTTCTTTGTAATAATGCATTATTGCCATGGCCTGAAAGGTTTTACCCAGCCCCATATCATCTGCTATCATACATCTTCCATTTTTACTAAGACCAAACCTAAGAGACAATAATACAAGCTCTAATTCAAATCTTGGTACACAGTTTAGATTAATACCTCAAACCCTCTACTTGGAATGGCATAAGAGTACTACTAAGAATTGGATCAATTTTGTCAAAATCAATTTCCACCTCCTTTGGTTTAGTACGTACAGCTTTCAGTACATAATTGGGCAGCTCTTCTGTGTGTAACTTGGCCCTCAATGGAATCAGTTTACTTTTCACCAGGTCATGATCTTGTATATGAAAATTCCAATTATGCGTTTTTGGATCTGTAAGTGAAAGAAAACTGGAACTGTTTGTTTTTCATGTTGCTCTAGTTAAATTACCATAAGCTCTGGATGGAATGTTTTTGAAAATGTCGATTGCTTCTTTGCAAAAACCATTTATTTCTACTACGAATCTTTCCTCGGATATCAAGGAACATTTTGCTATCAGTTTTTCAGGATTTGAGCCATAAAATTGGTTTGCTTTTGCCATGATAATTTCAAAGCTGAATAATATTGGTTATCATCATTTTCCAATATGAAATTCACCATTCATCAGTTTTGAATTTTGATAGTTGTAAGTAAATAAATTGGCCCATCTAAAATATTGAAAATTTATAAATGCTACAAGGACGAAAGTAGAAGCAGTCTATTATTTGTTTTGATACTTTTGAGTTGAAATGACAATAATGACATAATAACAGCTGTTCCAAAGTTTCCAGAATATATCCTCTTCCTCTTCTCATTCTCTTGGCTTTACTTTTGGGCTCTTTGTATCATAAAACCCTGACAACCACAAGCAGTTTAGGAATGAACTTTAATTTATTAATGATTTTATTATTTATTCTGAATTTAGTTATTTTATATATTATTCACATCAATGTCATCAAATCACATCTGAAAAGCAAGGGGGTAGAAGTAGAACAAAGTGGATATTAAGATAATCTATGAAATATACATTTTACATTCTTCATGTAGTCAGACAACACTTCTTACTAAAATTTGTTTTATTGGTTGCATAACATCTCTACAATAGAAATAAACCCAACCATTATTAGCAACCGTCCAGTTAGTCGTTGTTTCTTGCTGAATGTTGCAGGTTGTACAAAATATGTAGTGAAAGCCAATTTTTTACTGTGAAATTAAATAATATAAGTACAGATACAGCTAGTCATTCATTTGCTTCCAGAAGAAAGCTACCATACTTCAGTCTTGAAGTTTCACATCTGCAACCCGAATTTTCAGTTCATTAGCACTCCCACCAATTTCTTTGGTCAATTTATCCACGTCTTTGATCAAGTCTTTCAGATTTTCATACACATCCTCCAAGTTATTGGTCCCCTTCAAGAACTCCTCCATCTGACTGAATCTATTCTCCTGTGGGGGCTTTTCATCTATACAGAAAAATAACTTGTTTCGTTGTTCTTCGTCCTGACACACTGCTTCGATATCTTCAAGGATTTGGGATTTTGAGAAACATACAGGTTTTCTTTCTGGTAATGCACTCTTGAACATTTTTGTCAAATTTTATTTGTTTAGAACATGAACCATCTTCTTCTTCTTCTTGTTTATTAAAAACCTATTTTCTTCTGTCATCTTCCTTTCTGTTTTTCATAGCCATGAGAGGTTTATGCTATCCAACCTGCTACCGGCTATCGGCCACTTTTGCTCTCGTCCTCTTATCTTCTTATACTTCTTCTCTTTATGGAAAACATTTCTTGTTGTCAAATTCCAAACATTCCAAAAATCCAAATAAAACTGTCACGAGTGCACGTCATCAGTAAAAAGAAGTTGGTTTGAGATTTTATAATGGACAAATTTCAAATTTCTTTCAGCATTTTATTCGATAATTAATATGTGACTTGAATTAAAAGTAATATGGATATGGTGAGAAATAGGAAGAATCAAAACTCAAAGAAATCTAATGAGTTCATAGAGAATATGCCCAATGGAGAAGAGAAATCTTACATAGAAAGTATCTCTAGGGTGGATAATTTAAAATCTGATGAAGAACCCTTCATAGAATCTCATAAAACCACAAAAGAATATGAATATGTAGTACCCATAAAGGGTACAAGTTCTGACAAATTATTTCGAATAAGTTTTGAACTGGACATTCTTTCCATAAATTTATTCATCATTGGCTTGTTCACAAGAATGTACAAACTAGAAGAACCTAGAAATATAGTGTAAGTCTTCTACTCTAGTTCTAGTATCAGGATTATCATTGTTTTTTTATTGTTTTAGATTTGATGAGCTACATTATGGGAAATATGTATCTCTATACATGCAAAATACATTTTTCTTTGATTCACACCCACCTCTGGGCAAACAGATCATATCCTTGGCAGCGCATATAGCAGGATTCGATGGAAAATTCAAATTTGACAAAATAGGAAGCCCCTATTCAGATTCTGTACCCTTGTTTGCCTTAAGATTTGTACCTTCATTTTTCGGCAGTCTTCTAGTACCCACTGTCTATCATTTAATGTTGGAAATGGGGCTATCACAGTGGACCTCTCTTCTTGCCGCCCTACTGTTTCTATTTGACAATGCATTCCTAACTCAGAGTAGGTTTATGCTGATGGAATCCATTTTAGTGTTCTTCTCATTGTTTGGAATATTGTGTCTTCTGAAATTCAGAAAATACTCTGAGGAGCCTTACTCATTCTTCTGGTTTTTCTGGCTCATCATGGCTTCACTATCACTAACTTGTGCTATGAGCATAAAATATGTTGGCTTCTATTCATGCTGTCTAGGAGCTGTGATTCTTTTGAAGGACTTCTGGAGGCTCCTTGCTGTAGCAAAACATTCTGATAAGGCTCTGTTCCTCAGGTTCCTCACACAACTTACATCAGCTCTAGGTGTAGCTACTTTTGTGTACCTCAGCGTGTTCTACATTCATTTGAATGTGCTACACAAAGCTGGTCCCCATGATAGCATCATGACAAGTGCTTTTCAAGCATCTCTAGAAGGAGGGCTGGCTAGCATCACTAAGGGCCAGCCCATGCTAGTTGCACATGGGTCCCAAATAACATTGAGGTCAGTATTTTATAACTTGTTTGGAACTGTGGCTATATTTTTTTGTGATTGAATAGGCATACTCATGGTAGAACTTGTTGGTTACATTCACATAATGCAGTGTACCCCATCAGATATCCTGACAAGAGGGGCTCCAGTCATCAACAACAAGTGACTTGCTATAGTTTTAAGGATGTGAATAATTGGTGGATTGTGAAGAGGCCTATGAAAGATGATTTGATAGTTGAACAGCCTGTAGATGCTATCAAACATGGGGAAATTATACAGTTGGTTCATGGTTAGTTGTTTTATCTATCTCCAAATTGTCATTGGACATTTTTTTGTGATTTTCCTTTTTGACTTGGTATATCTATGAAGTGAAGTTTGAATACATATGCATACAGATGCCATCAGATGCACTATACCTCAAATTTTTGAGAAACCAGTGTTGAAAAAGTATTTTATTCTTTTTTATTTAATCAATGATGATTTTTCAACCTTCATTTTCAAATAGTAACCTATATTTTTTATTTTTTTTCTGAGGGAATGACTATTTTCCGAGATATTTTCCAAAGTTTTTCCTAAATTCTCTCAACTTGTGGGAGGTTTTTGAAATATGACTCAATTTTTTTTTCACAATGATTCCACCCTCATCAATTCTTTACAATAGTCAACTTGTCATTATTGAATTCAGGATACATTGTCCATCTCCTTGTCCATCAGAAAAAAATAGAATTATACCAGGTGACACAGAGGGTATCAAGCCACCCCTGTAACTTCTGCATTTGTGAGCAGGTTTTTCTGAAATTTGGTACATTTATAAACAACCATCTGGGATTTGATCACATTACAATCCAATATGGCGGACTTCCGGTTTTTCCGGAAATGCCCCTGTATATATGTCTACATAATCAAGTTCAACAGGTCAAAACAAGTGCAATCTTTATGTCAAATGTAATTTTTTCTAAAATGTTGAAATTCGAATTGTTATTTTGTTTTACCTCCTGGATAAATGGGATATGGACAAAGCTATTATTCACATTTCACAATGAGTCCCAGATACTAGAGAAACAGATTTTTTTCTGAAAAAATATGTTGTTTTGTCACTTATGGATGAATCATTTCAGTCACATCACATTTTGATGGAAAATTTAATTTTTTCAAATGGAACCCCTATGGGCTACCTACATGTATGTCTTTCTAGAACATCAAGTAAAAAAATGACATATTATTTTTGTTTTTCGGTGCAATAACAAATTGTATTCATTCAAAAATCAACAAGTTATAGTTTAATGAATTTTCTTACAGTCTGAATAATTTTTCAAGTAAGCTGTGGAAAATAACATTTCCTCATCTTGTCATAAGATTGCATTTGTTTTGACCTGTTGATTTGAATATGTAAAAGTATACAGTGTTCAATTTGAAAAATTTGCTGGTATTTCCGGAAAAATCGGAAGTCCGTCATATTGGATTGTTATGTGATCAAATCCGGAATAATTGCTTATATAACTGTACGAAATTTCAGGAATATCCGTTTACAAATGCAGAAGTTACAAGGGTTGCTGATATACCCTGTGTCACCCGGTATATATATGTCCTAATATGAGAAAAACATTCAAAGAGAGGTTAATAAAAATTTGAACAAATGCTTTCTCTTTTCAATAACTTCATTGCTCTTCAGTCTTTGGAAATCGGACAATAAATAAACGCTATGAGAAAATTTGCTCAGTTTTCAGATTTTCAGCTAAACATTACTATAAACCATAGTTATATTGTTTCTTGTTTAGGAATAACCAGCAGAGCCCTAAACTCCCATGATGTGGCAGCGCCAGTATCGCCACAGTGTCAAGAAGTTTCTTGTTATGTAGACTACAATATATCCATGCCTGCTCAAAATAAATGGCGGGTTGAAATTCTCAATAGGTAATTTAATTTTGTTCATTTCCACCTTCAAATACTTGCTGAAATAGGCTTTCATCTCACATCATAAACAGATATTTGAAATATTATTCTATAGGGATCAGTTCGGGGATTCTTGGCGGACGATTCAGTCCATGGTGAGATTGATCCACATAGACACAAATACGGCTTTGAAATTCACTGGGAGACAGCTGCCTGACTGGGGGTACCATCAACATGAAGTGGCAGCCGATAGACATTTAGTTCAAGATGATACAGTGTGGAATGTTGAAGAACATCGTTATACAAAAAGTAGGGCTGAAAATAAAAAAAAATACTGAATAGGGAATTCCTTAATTTTGATCGTTATTTTTGTCTCAGCTGATGATCAGAAAGAGCGTGAAAGGGATTTGGTGACAGCGGAAATGATACCGACCACAGCAACTAAGCTGTCCTTTTGGCAGAAATTCTTTGAGCTGCACTATAAAATGCTCTTTTCCAATACGGAGTCGATTCAGAATCACATGTTCAGTTCTGAACCTCTGGAATGGCCGCTGATGTCTCGTGGGATCGCATACTGGGTGTCCTCAACAAGCAATGTAAGTAAAAATCAGTAGATAGGAAGATCAGTAGTAGTCCAATCAATCTATACCGACATTCATGGATGCAAAAGGTCCGATAGTTCTGATTTTTTGGTATGTTATTGCTATATTGAGAAGCCCAAGTTTTTGACCTCGCCAATGCCCTGGAAGCGCTGAAAAATTGCGAAATTCCCGACTTTGCCCTGTTTTTTTTCGTAATTTCAGCATGAGAGGCCAGTTTGAATGAAAAAACACAACAGTCCTTTTTTGAAGAACAGTAAATAGATGAAGAAACTCAAAATGAAATGTTCAATAGGCCTTTTCATCTAGATATATTTTTAAGACGCATGCGCTCGTTTTTAGATCCAAAAATTTATTGGGTAATGTGAAGGTGAAGTCTCATTGGCCATAGTTCAAACACAAAATGCTGATTGGCCATTTCGAATATGACGGGTATTATTGACGTTCTGTCAAATGTCAACAGTGTCAACCACCATGGACATTCGTCATTGAGAAGCAACAATAACAACATAGTATTCTTGTTTTTATATCCCTGGTGTTTATTAATTATATTATAATAATTTAATTCCAAAAAAACTTACTGACTCGTTACTGAGGAGTGTACTGTCGTTAGATGCGATATGTAAATAGAGATAGTCATTTGTCATCTGAATGAAAAGGCCTATTCAGATAGATGATCCATTTACTCATTATTGAAGTTTTAATTTCAACTATTAAAGTATGTGATATCAAGATATATATTGGATAGTCAGTAAGACAATAAGACAAAAAAACATATCCGAACATGAAGCAGGATATTTTCCTGATAGATTAGATTTTTCAGTGGATGAATTTTTATCAAATTTGTTTTACACTGACTAACCGGCAAAAAATCGGCTGGATTTAAATGTAGCCACTTCATAACTTAATTAATTCTTGTCTAATTTTGGTGAAATTTCCACCAAATCGTGAATTTATGTTTCGCAAAGTTAGCCTGAATCTTAGTTCCCGAAAAAGCAGATGGCCTTGATCATTATACAGGGAAAGACGAAATTTACTCTTTCATACTTAACTTCTTAACGTCCTGTGGCAAACTTGACACAATGATTTTTGATTCTCCTGTATAATGATCAAGCCATCAGTTTTTCTTGAAACTAAAATTCAGGATAACATTCTGGGACATAAATATGCGGTTACAGGTTGTAATTTCACCAGAATCCATCAAGAATTCAAGAAGTTGAAAGGCGATCGCTTTGGTTGAGTTTTCTCCTGGCAGGTTGATTGTAGTATGAATATAAGTACGATTTTGCTGAACTGGAAACAATAGGAAAAATCTGAAGAAGAAAGGTTCGGTTATAACTGGTTTCAGGTAAAAATATGGGGGTGGTGTTAGATTTCATTCCCTGTCTTGGGAAGGGAAACACTAACAATAATGAAGATACTGGGCTCCAGAGGTGGCAAACTATCGATAGTATTGACTATCGATAGTCTCGATAGTTCAAAAAAACTATTGATACTATCAATAACTATCGATCCAATCCGGAAATTTTGACATTTGACGTAGAACATATAATTTCAGTAAATTGACCACAGAAATTTGATTTTTGGAGATGGATTTAACACCCCTGCCAACGAAGGAGTCCAAGGACATTGACAACTGACAATGCAATTGACTTTGACAGCAGACAGACGACTCGATCTCAAAAAGTTAGGAATCAAAATAAAAATACTTACTATATTTGTGATTTGATTAAAAATGATTGAATTTAAGGCGCAGACATTGACATCAAGGCTCAGCTGCAGCTCAGAGTTCAGACATATACGTATTAATAATCAATACGGATAATCTCTGTTTCCATAGCGAAACATGAAGCCGATTTTAGAACAATTTAAAATTGAAAGGCTAGTAAACGTCATTGTCCACCGAAACGCATGTCTTTGATGACTACTATAATAGCGCATGGCGCATGCGTATCATGCCACCAAATCCTTATGGATATTCATTTGTTTCATATTTTTGGCTTCATCCTGGCACCCGTTATGATCCGTATATTGTTTATTAATACGTATATGAGTTCAGAGATGAAGAAATTTAACAACATTGACAAATGTGTCGCCTTGTCTCCTGTCAGGTAGTCACTGAGAATCTTTTTTTGTATAGAATTTTATTAAATCTTCTTTCACAATACAGAGACCCATAACGACCATAACGACGATTTTTCAAGTACATTGGTCCATCGCTCCGCTATAGATAGTTATTTCCTTAGATCATACATGATGTATGTATGATCTAAGGTTATTTCTAGAAAACTATCGATACTATCGATAGTACCATCGATAATTTGCCATCTCTACTGGGCTCCGAAATTTTTCCTTTCAACTCTTAAAATTCTAGGGAATTTTATGTGATTGTTAGGAGACAAAACAATATTGTTTATCATTTTTTCTCAATAGGCCCAAATCCACTTACTCGGCAACATCGTGATATGGTATTCGGCCACCCTAGGGCTTCTACTCTACTCCGCCTTCTTAATCGTCTACCTTCTAAGGCGCCGGAGGCTCTGCTACGATCTGGACCCCATCGCTTGGCACCAGTTCCAACTCACCGGGGAAATTTGTCTGGGGGGCTACTTGATCCACTATTTGCCCTTCTTTTTCGTCGATAGAACGCTTTTTTTGCACCACTATTTGTCGGCGTTCGCGTTCAAAGTTCTGCTGCTCGCTGCCACATTGGAACATGTTCATTTCGTTTTGAAGGTGGTTTTCAGGAGGCGATTGTTGGCGAAGTTTTTCGTTGTGGGGGTTCTGGTTTGGCTCGTTTGGGCGGTGTACGTGTTTAGGGAGTTTTCTGCGCTGAGTTATGGCAACGTCGCACTGTCTACCAGCGATATTTTAAAGTTGAAATGGAAAGAAACTTGGGATTTTATCGTTCATAAGAGCTAGGGAAGTATGGAAGAACCGATATTTTGTTTGATCGGATTGTTTAGTTTCAAGCATTGATACTTTACGAAAGGGATGATTATTAAGAAAATCTCATATTATAGCGGCCAACTATATTAAAAACTGTTCCAGATTCAGTATAGGTTCTACCAATACAGGGTGTCCCATAACTCATATAGATCAAAAAAAGTGGAGTGATAGGGGAGTTCACCTCCAATCAACCTAACCATTGTGGGGAAGACCACTGAGGGAAGAAATCCGTGCAAACCTCTTTCAATCGACGCATCATGATTTACGTTTTATGTACAATCAATATTATGAGTTGAAGTTGAAGGGAATCGAATCTATATCGTTTTGAAATCAGCATATTTCATTCGATATTCCAAAAAGCCAAATATGATGGTGGAGCCGTGACGTATTAGTCCCGAACTGTAGCTATCTCTCTCTGATACCTTGCCATTCTGCGGTGTTGCAGTGTGATTGGTCAGTTCAAGGACAATAGGCGTGTTGAGACTAAGACGTCGCACCAGTCACACCAATGAATTGATAAAATTTCAAATGGCGCAGGAATTGTGTGTTTTGAAATGGACATATACTAATTTATTTTTTTCATCGTCTCAGCATGAATGAAAAAATTCAGAATTAATTCACTGGTAGTTTTTCAGTATAGAGTTCACGATAATGTCGTTTTAAAAAATCAGTGGTCTTCCCCGTTGATGGCACACAAGTTAGTCAATTCTTTTTTATTTTGGATTTTCTAAACAATCAATTACTGTACAGTGTGTCCAGTTTTCGATGCTTTTGCCTGATATCTCAGTTATCTTTGGAGATAGAACCTTGCGGTTTTCGCGGTCCTGTGCCACTTTTTTGTGAAACTCAAGATGGCCTAATCAGATTTTGCAGGACTGTTTCCTTTTATGAGATATAGGGCGATTTTGAAAATTTATACTTTTTGGACCCCCTTTATATCTACGAAGTTTATCAGCGAAAATGTCAAATTAAAATCTTAACTCATAGAGAATTTTATGCAGAATCCAGTGGCGCATCCAGTGGTTTTGAAGATACGACTCAAACTTATGATTTTTTAAATTCAACAGCCTGTATTTTATAAGCTCATTAAATTCCTTATTCTTTTCCCTTCGAAATGATATACGATGTATGAATATAACATTTTCAAAAATGTTCAAAAATCACTAAGACATTGAATTTTAATAGTGGGCTATGGGTTTTTCGAGGGATTTTCATATAAAGAAATTTACAATTGAAGGAATATTTCCTTTGATTGTTCCATGAGGGGGGAAATAACAATTTCAACACTAATTAACTTGCAATACAGTTTGTCAACTGTATGTTAGGGAAAATGGATATCAATTTGAACATGTCAATGAATAAGTTACTGAATAATTCCGGAATTCAATTGTTTTAGTAAATATTTAATCAGGTGCTTATTCTACATTATGCACTTTTTATTACTATTTATTTGTTGCTATCAGGTACCCAAGTTTAGTGTTTCGTTAATTAATACGTGTTGATATTGGTTTTGACTCTCCATGGAAAAATTTAAAGAAATATTTCTTCAATTGGAACGTTCTTTATAAGAAAAATCCATAACCAACTATCAAAATTCAATATTTCAAATTTTATATTCATTCGTTGTATATCATTTTGAAGACAAAAAAATAAGGAATTTAATGAGCTTATGAAATACAGGGTGTTCCATTAAAAAAATCATAATTTTGAGTCGTATCTCCAAAACCATACCCCGAAAAAAAATTTAAGTGCGCCACTGGATTATGCGTGAAATTTTCATGCGATGAGATTTTGGTTTGACATTTTTGTTAAGAAACTTCGTGAATACAGAGGGGGTCCAAAAAGTATAAATTTTCAAAATCGCCCTCTGTATCTCCTAAACGGAAACAGTCTTGCAAAATCTGATTAGGCCATCTTGAGTTTCACAAAAAAGTGGCACTGGACCGCGAAAACCGCAAGGTTCTATCTCCAAGGATGACTGAGATATCAAGCAAAAGCATTGAAAACTGGACACACTGTACACTAAACTCACATTTGTGATTTTTCTTTTACAAATTTAATACACATGGATGCAATTTTCCAAAAAAATAATATCGACCAGTGTTTCTCCATATCAATTAAGAAAAAATGTTGTTTTCCTTGAGACTTGTTGAATGAAATGATTCAGTTGATTTTTCAATGCCACTGACTGATTTAAAAACTACCCCACAAAGATGACTAACTATATCAAAAAGTTGCTCATTTAATACAGATTCAGAAATGGTATAACATACGGGGCTATGCAAAACAGCCTCCTTATTATTATGTTTTTTCAAATGGGTCGCGTTTTTCATAAACATTGAATACATTTTGAACCATCAACAATTGAATAACCACATACACCGTTAATTTGATTGAAACTGCCCCCCCCTTCTCTTATGACTTGTGGGACACCCTGTATTTACCTGTGTTGATTGGAAGGATGTTTATTTCATGAACATGTTTTACATCCCATACTTATCATCATTAATATTTAAAGTTAGACCACCCTATTGTATAATGTTGGAATCTCTTTTTTGTCTGTCAAAGTGTATTTATATTGTGAGCTATGTTTTTTTTATTAGAATATTTACTGAGAAATGAGATTATAAATTTTCGTCTTCCTGAAATATAGTGAGATTCATTATTGACTTATTGAAAATATTATACTCTTTAATTAATATATTTTGACAAATTATTATTATTATTCAGAGATACTAGTGTTTTTAAGTCACATTAATCAATTTTGTATAAGAGTTTTTTATTGACTTTATTATTTATGTTTATATTGTTACAAGAAGAAGAATCATATGTGAAATTATTTTGTATTTTTATAATAAAGTTCATACCAAGAATTACAATTTATTCATTAAATAAATATGAGTTCCTAAGCAATTTCCATTCTCTCTGGTTCAATTCTCTGAACAGCAACTTCTTCAATATCCACAACTCTGGTTGACAGAACACTAGTGGCACCTCTAGGATATCTAAAATAAATACAAATCTCTAGTAACAATCACAATCTTTCACATAAAATCAAAAACTTCCCAGCAAAATAATACCTGTAAGAAGCCTGCTTAACCCCCTTCTTGTTAGCCTCATCAAAGGTCCTCTTATAATCCACAGACCCTTTACGAATGACACACAAATCTATGTTTGACCCAGAACCCAAATCATTGAAAATACCAGCAGCAATAGCATCACGCACAAGCTGCACTCCTTCTTGTTCCTCCAAATCAGGTCTCCAGCGAGACTCAAACACTGCAATAGCAGCAAGAGACCCAGAACCCATGGTGCCTGAAAAGCACTAATCAAGTTTCCAAACAGATAAAGTACCCTACAAACACCTACCATATGGGAGTTTATCACTGGACCCATGAGGGTAGATCATGTAGAGATGGGGACCTTCAACATCAACACCTCCTAGGATCAGAGCAGCCCCAACATAGCCTTGGTAGCGGAAAAGATACTGCTTCAGCAGCTGATTGGCTGTGCATACTCTAGCTACTCTATTGGTGTAGAGTTTGTGGAGTTCCAGTTGAGAAGAAATCATTTGTGTGGTCATTTCAGTATCAGCGGCTGTACCGGCACCACAGCAACTTGAAAAAACTATGAGTATCCACTAAAGTACACTTGTACAATCTACTTACTACATGTTGGGTGCCAGATAATGAATTTTTTCAGAGTTTTTGTCAGCAACTGTTGTGTCTTCTGTAGCCCTAGTATCAGCACCAAGTATGACTCCATCTTTATAAGTAATGCCTACAATGGTTGTTCCAGTTTTGACTGCTTTGGGCAGAGCAAAACCCTTGGTTTCCAAAACGGCGTTTCTGAAATATCAAGAGGTTATGTATGACAATGCAGTTTTATGGATTTTTCAGTCTATAATGTAGGGACTGTATAATACCTCTTGCAGTTTTCGAAAGAGAAGCCTGGAGTTGGAATTTCTGGGCACAAGACCGACATTTTTCACCTTATTAATAAGAAACAATGATCAAATAAAATAGTCTTCAAACTCAGTCAACTCAGAAATGACAAGCAAAAATCACAACAGCTGTGATTGTGAAGCTGATGACATTTGACATTGACAAACTAGATGTGTCTGAATTTGAAATATATTTCCACTATTTCCGACAGCTGGCGCTGCACTATCTGTTTGATTTTGGGAATGGCTATTAGACCACTTGTTCGGAGTTCTTATTTTGAATAGATGGTTGCACAAACTTAAAAAGTACATGGATGTGAATAGTGCCTATTCGTATACGTAGCAGAAATGAGGTTAAGTTGCAGTTATGGATTTTAATAAGGTTCTGTGTGCTATGTTATACTTTCAAGTTGAAAGAATAAAGCATCGTTGTGGAAGTAAAATATTTTATTAGGAATTATATTGATAACAATGACAAAAATTTAGGTAATTTTTGAATTGAATAGTGGGTTTAGCTAGAGGATATAAATTGTAATTCGAGGCGACTATGGCGCAATTCAACAAAACTTACTAGATTTCTCATGATATGGAAGTTTTCAAATGGCGAACCAAACGTCTCACACTTATTTCGAATAATAATAATAGTCAAAACAAAAATTGCAATATACCTTTGTAACAATATAGCAACAAATGATTTATGTAACGTATTTTAATATTTGTAAAACGTGTTACTAGAAGTTTATTATTTTATAAATTTCACGTTATTAACAGAAAATATACAAATTTATCATTTCGTAAGCAATATACAAGTGAAATGTCTTAAACATTAGGTATTGGTCTCACTGGTTGGTTGGTATATGATTTTTAAATACACGTCATATCAACAAATTGCCTTTGCATGCAAAAGTTTTCTTAAGGAATATCTTCGTTAAATTCAGACTCTGGTTTACATATATGTGGGTATTGCAATATTGCAAAACCAACTTGTTGGGATACCAATTAAATAATAAAAAACAAATACAGCCATCTATATACTTTTGCGCGGACCGTAGACAAGCGAAAATTCACAAACAAATATTTCTAATAGTAGAGCAGCCTAAAAAAGCGTTAGAAATAAAGAAGATAATTTTCAAAAATAAGTATGGCAGTTATAATATACATTTTCGAAAGATATTTATTTGTACATGATAAACTTTCTTGATGCTCCTTTTATTACTCTCGAAATGACGGAAGTTTACATTTGGCATATAATTTATATTCAGTAATTTTATTTTTCATTCCAATAGAGCATAACGTTTCACCAAATATTTGAAGGCATTATTAACTATATGAGTAAAGGTAATGAAAAGGTGTCAGCATCAAAAAGTATTCTGAGAATTGTATCTGTTTATAGTTAGGTTTTACAATCAGGTCGAGAAACTCAAATTCAAAATCAATCTGTTGAATAGGTAGTCGAATTGAGATACAGCGGCGGACAATTTTAAATGAAAATGTACAATTATTATCGAAATTTCCAGTGTATGAATAACAAAAAGTTGTATTTCTCTTGCTTCCGTATTGATATTTCTATGGGGGTCCTCCTTTTGTATCAATTCACAACTACCTAGCTGTACCTTCTATATAGAAGAAAAACAATATAGTATTGAATCCACAAGGATCGAAATTTGGTGCGCATACGGATTTTCATAATCCGAAAATATCTCATTTATATGCCAGAATAAAGAAATAGACAAAAACCGATCGACAAATTGTTAAACTATTCTATTTATTGTAGTATAAAATTTAGAATTTTAGATGTCGTATTTTTTGCCTACTTCTTACCAAGAAAATTCAGTAGTCTGTTACAAAAAAAGTAAGTATACAGAGTGTCCCGAAATAACTTTTGTATATTATGAGATTATTATTGAATCCAAAAGTTCCATACTTATAGTATTTTTTCACATTTTTCAGCAGTAGTATCGCCCTTGAAACGAGAGCGAACTTTATTTTGGGAAATTCCTTGTAATAAATGAATTTAGAAAAACGGCCCTTGAATATTGGTGGATGTAGATACTGAAATATATAATCTTTTGAAAAAATATAAAATGAGTGATAGATGAGATTTTTCGTTTAGGAAAAGAGGTATTTTTATATACATTTCGCAATTATTACCTAACATATTGATTCGAATATCAATCGAAGCACCATAACAAATATAACATATATTTTTTCACTCACTTTTGGGTCGGTGTATTTACTAATAATACACTTCTAAAAATTTCTAAGGATAAAAATTGTTATTTTATAATTACATATTTACAAATAGTATATTTATTTCATTATTTTAGGCCAAATCGGGTATATTTATTATAAGGCATTTGTGATAATCGTATTTTACAGAAATTAGATAATCCAAATGTCCAAAATACTCATCAAATAATTGAAGGATATACATATACAATTATTTCTACAGGGTTACAAAATATACACCCTGTATTCAATTTCAATTTTTTGTTTAACTACTCAATGGTGCACTAGCAATGAATGAAAAAAGTAACAATGAATTCAGAATGCCACTTTATATTCTGCTTCGATGGAGACTCTCCCATTTATTTTTATGCAGGCAGACTGATACGGAATTTTGTCTGCGAGCTTATTTCCTTCTCCATATTTTACTGCTGGGAACTAAGTCTCCTAAGACATTTACTTCTACTAACCTTATGATTTTTGGTTCAGATTTTATGTGTAAGTGAAAACATTTTTTAATACTTTGGTTAATTGTATGTCAGGTTGTATGATTATACATATCCGAAAGCTTGAAAAAGCACAGAACATCTGAGCACAAAACATAAACACGGTTTAGTTCAGTGCGCCAAATATAAATTTATGCAATGACAGCCATCGAATCGCTTCATCCACAACAGTAAAATCCCTCTTTCCATATTTGAAATAGCTTATATTATTATTCAAATCGATCAATTTTTATCCTCAGTATAAGTCCTATCTAAGGTACATTACATAAAATTTGGCAGTCAATGGTGAACGGTTCACTATTTAGAGTTCTTTCAGTTCCAAAAACGTCAAAAGTTCACTAGATATTCAAATTGGTCTTTGAAAAACAATAAAATCGCCGCCCTTACACAATATATTGAACAAAAGTCTGCAGTATTTGGTAAGGCAGCGCCACCTGTTGTTAAATGATGCTCTCCCTGTTGCGCTCATCGTTGTCTTCGTCACCCAGGCTACTCGACGTTCTTGAGCCGCATATGCGCATCTCGATTTCGGCTAGTCTGTTCTCCATCTCCCATTGTTGCTGGCTCAGTTTGACGCTCATAGCGGCGTTTTCCGATTCCACAGTTTGTAGACGCTCGCGCAGGCGCTTTATCTCGCTTTCCAACACTTCATGGGAACCCAATAGAGGTGTAGTCACGCCCGACATCAACTGTGTCATACTGTCGCATTGCATCGTTCCTGTGAAAAATAACAACGACCGTTTCAAGACAGCATCAGTACGTAGCATTCGCCGTTTTGCTGCTGAATATGCACAAGGAATCATTTAAAATAAGGAGAGGAAATTATCCTTTGAATAATAAAAAATCAAGACTATCCTTTCTAAACAACCTACCCTAACAGGTAATCTAACCTCCGAAAATCCAACACCTACCTCCTCTCCTTATCCTCCCTAGGTACGCACGATGTTTCACGGACATTATAGGAATTTCCTTTCGTGCGCTCCAAGAGATTGAAAAAAATGTATTCGATTATTTTTTATGTGAATCGATCACTATATCGATTAAAAGTTCTGTGGTACATGATCCTGAATATCAATGTATATAAGCTGAATAAGTTAACATCTCATAAATTTTATAGCGGGCATGTTTCGGGGGATTTTGCCCGATCCGTACTTCAATACGGAGTTTTGTTTTCGATTGAGTAGCGAAGCTTTGAACCAGCGAATCCTTGATTAAACATTCAACAGTCAATCTCTGGCTGTTTGCCGCCAGCTCTGATAGCGATTCCTGGCGATTCTACTGGAAAAAAGCTAATAAGAGAGGATTTTGTTATTTTTCTTTTCGGACAACAGGATAAATCCCTGTGTTTCCTGTGGTTTAGGCAACACAATTGAAAAACAAACCTCGATTCTCTCCGGGTTTCACTAAATAATCGAAGCAAATGCCGAAATGAGTTTACTGTTGTTAGAATATGTGAAGTTCTGTAGGTTATTAGGTATGACTTGAAAGAATTCGAACAACCATGATTTTCAGTACGGATGTATTTTTATTATGACTCTATTTTTGGGCTCCCTTTTTCAATATGCAGGAATATGGTTAACGAACTGACCTACTTTTAAAAAAAATTAAGGTCGATAATTATCGATAGCTAGAATCGTTCTGATTGGTCTTAATTACATTCCCACCGGAAGTCATGGTTGTTTGAATTCTTCAAATCATTGATTCTGACAGCTTTCATTTCAAAATGTTTTGTTTTCTTGGAAGAGATAAATTACTACGTGCTTGAAAACGGTTCAAACACCAAAGTCAATCATGGACACGGTTTAAAATCAATCTTGAACACGGTTCAACAAAAAAAACAAACAAACAAATACTGTCTGTAGAAAAAACAACCTTATACTTATGAGAGCTGATGACACTTACCTGATCTCTGGTGCGATCCTGTTGTTCCATGCTGGTTTCCACTTCTTCCACTTCTTCCACTTCTTCCGCTTCTTCCGCTACTCGTAGAGACTGGACTGTCTGGTGTCTGTTGTCTCGTAGAAGGCGGTGAACCTATGAGTGACCTAGGGTAGGCGGGAGTGAGGCCCAGTAACGAAGGTGGCACCCACATATCCTCCAGAGTGACCTTCCCACGAGACTCCACCAATCCCGGGGTGGACTGGCTACGTCCCATTGCGGCTGAAAACAACGAAACTAATACATTCCTGTTCTGAATATTCGAAACCACTGACATAAACTACTATCTCTGGACCGCTAACGCCCCTAGGATAGATTGTAATCCACTATCTTACTTCCATCAATCTCTAGGAAATATTACTCGCTGCCATTTTCGTAAGGGTGTATTCTGTGTTGCCATGCACGACAATTTGAGAGTTTCTGTAAATAGCAGGCCTACCATTTTCTGGTTCCTGCTCGTTGAGCAGAAGCAGAAGCGTTTTCTGGTGAGAGATTTGAATTTTCGGGTAGCGGTCTAGATAGTAGCTATGTCACTGTTCAAGTCTAAAGGGCTGGCAACACTGGCTGGATAATGCATGTTCTGTGGTATGAGTTCTGCTTTTTTATGTTCTGTGCCTGAAACCGTTCTTGTGTGGTGTCCTGTGAATTAAAATCGAAAATTCAGGTATTATTTATCTTTTTTGAAAACGTTTCATATGTTATAATACATTTCCTGGATTCACATAATTATCTGGATGATATTTAAATCCATTCATCTACATTATTGATCATGATACCTGTGAATCAAAAATAAGTAAAGACGTTTTACAAAAATGGGAAACATATCAACATTTGACGATCTTCATACGTTTGTTCAATTGTTTCCAAAGTGTTTCAGATGTCAGTTTCTTAACGATTTTGTTTGGATTTTTACTCCTTGAGTCAATGTAGTATCTCTTCAATCTTGAATAAATTATATTTTCTAGTCAAGTTGAACAAAACAGCAGCATCATGCCAAGAAGAAAGTGATGAGACAAGATGAGAATTGCAGTCCTCAAATCAACATTTTTTGTGACGAAGAAGTGGAAGTGAAAAAATCATCAACTCCTTGAAAAGGTATGTGGAGCATATCTTTGAAGGCATAGTATTTTTTGTAGTATTCTTCCTTTTCTGTATTCATCACAAATTTTTTTTCATCACAGTGATTTGAATTTACCGCCATGCTAAAAATCGTTTTTATTGGTCTACATAGGTATCGTGTGATATCGCGTATACACAAATACGGTGAAAGTGAAATCATGTATTTTCTGTGGGTACACTTTTGTGTTCTGTGCAATAAACCACCTTTTTTGTGGCTGACATGTCATGTTCCTTTGAGTGTTGCGTTCTGCGAATTTGAATTGAAAAATTCAGGTATATTTCCCCTTTTTTCAAAATTTCCTTATCTCGTAATGAATTCCTTAGTTTCACATACTCATTTTGATTATATTTTCATTCGTCCAGCTATATTATTGATCGAACAATCTATATCTTAATGCGGCCCGAATCACAAATATAATGAGAAACAACTGACGATCGTTGATGGTTTCTCATTTATTCATTTGTTTGTAAGGATATCAGATATTTTAACTTGTATTCAGTTCTCAGGTAGCGTTAGCGTCCTCAACTTTTTGTGAATCATATTTTCTGGACAAATCGGTTTTGGTGTCTATATTTTGTTATTTTTATTCCAGCAGTAATTCAAGAAGATCCACAATGCAATGTGACAAGATGAGAGTTGCAGTTTTAAAATCAACATAGGTAGTTGGTGATATGCTGCTATTTTTGGAATGGACATGAAAAACCTTGAAAAGGTAAGGTGAATTCGCCAGTAAGCTGGACATTACCAATAGTCGGACAAAACACACTCAAATGAAAATAACTTGAAAAGGAAATAACATCATAATATTGATCTCAAATAGAAAGAACTCTTTTGCGCCATGTTTCCACACCATTTTAGACATTTTTCGATTCAGCAGTTGGTACTACTGAAATTATAATAATGCGCCAATAAAGTTATGCCCATGGGTGTCTTTAACATAGTGCATTAAATACAGGGTGATCCACAGTGGATGGCCTATTAGAAGTATCTGGAAAACGGAGAAACAGAACATTCTGAAAATTGGGATGCTTTGATAATTGAACATTCTCTATCCGACAAAAATATTTTCATCGATACAGTGTTGCCTCTTCTATCAGAAACAACTAGCGACTTTGTTATTTCAAATGGAGCACCCTGTATTTTATTGCATTTTTGAATTCTTCCCGAAAAGCTGATTACATCATTGCATCACACTTGGGGTCTAACAGGAATGATTACAGAGATACAGGGTGTGCAAAATCGAGATTTTTCAATTTTAGGATTTTTTTTGTGTCGAAACTATTCATTATCAATCAAAACGGCTTACATATCCCTATCTAAACTTTTGATTCACTATCTACTGGAATTTAATTGGAAAAAATACAGGGTGCTTCAAGATTCAGAATTCTGATCACCCTGTATCTGTTCCAATTGAATGTCAGTAGATAGTGAATCGAAACTTAAGATAGGGACATGTAAGCCTTTTTGATCGATAATGAATAGTTTCAACACAAAAAGATCCTAAAATTGAAAAATATCGATTTTGAACACGCTATATCTCTGTAATCATTCCTGCTAGACCCCAAGTATGATACATTGTTGAAATCAGCTCTCTAGGAAGAATCTAAAAATGCAATAAAATACAGGGTGCTTCATTTAAAATAACGAAGTTGCTAGTTGTTTCTGATAGAAGTGGCAACACTGTATCGATGAAAATATTTCAGACAGATAGAGAAAGTTCAATTATCAAGCATCCCAATTTTCAGAATGTTCTGTCTTTTCGTTCTCTAAATACTTCTAATAGGCCATCCACCGTGGATCACCCTGTATAATATGCAAAGGATGTTTCAAAGGTGAGTAAAAATTATTATTTTTCAATCCATGAATTTATGTTAATTTTATATGTGTCATAATTTCATAAATAGTCTCAGTTTGCGTTAAGATCATTTGAAACTGATGTTTACTGAATTTTTGAAGTGGAAAGTCAGTGGCCGGTTACTGGATGCTTATTTTGGTGAAATTCTAGTAGTCAGACAAGTGTCAAAAAGTTATCGGGACAGTGAGACTAGATCCAGTTTCAACCAAGTTAGATTTTAATTGTACTTTCTGATTAGTTGTACAGGGTGATTCATCATAAATGTCCCCCCCTCTAGCTCAGTTATTTTTGAACGGATTTTAAAATGTTAAAAATCATCTAAAAGGTTTTTCCAAAATTTTTTTCCCGTTGCATCAGAAAATACAGGGTGCTCGGAACAAACGATCTACAGAGTACTACTTGATTTTTTCAAATGGAACACCCTGGTAGTTCATTGTATTTTTAGATTCGCCCTGAAGAACTGATTTCATCAATGCATCACACTTGGGGTCTAGCGGGAATGATTACAGTGATATAGGGTGTTCAAAATCGAGATTTTTCAACTTTAGGATTTTTTTGTGTCGAAACTGTTCATGATTGGTCAAAACGACTAAACTGTTCCTATCTCAACTTTTGATTTACTATCTACTGATATTTAATTGGAACATATACAGTGTGGTTCAAGATTCAGAATTCTGATCACCCTGTATCTGTTCCAATAATTAAATGTCAGTAAATAGTAAATCAAAAGTTGAGATACGAACATAAAAGCCATGTTGACTGATAATGAATAGTTTCGTCACAGAAAAATCCTTAAGTTGAGAAATCTCGATTTTGAACACCCTATATCTCTGTAATCATTTTCGCTAGACCCCAAGTGTGATGCATTGACGAAATCAGCTCTTCACGGAGAATCTGAAGATACAATGAAAAATAGGGTGTTCCATTTAAAAAAATCAAATGTACCCTGTAGATCGTTTGTTCCGAGCACCTTGTATTCTCTGATGTAGCGGAAAAAAACTCTATCGAAAATCATTTTATATGATATTCAGAATTTTGCAAACGGGTCAAAAATAACTGAGCTAGAGGGGGGGGGGGGGCATTTATGGTGAATCACCCTGTACCTATATCATTATTTCACTATTTTCATTTAGTAATTCTCAGGGTGACATTGAAATAAGTGCAAATGAGTAAGGTCGACGACGTATACTATCGAGTGGTATAAATAAAAAAAATATAGGGATCAAAATAAAATTCGAGGTTAGAACCCTTTTTCCATCCAAAGTTCCACACTGTAGCCATTCTGACGTCACCTCTGTAAAAATTTACGTACGGAAGGCACAATCACGCGGTTTTCAATCATTCAAATTGTATTGAAGTGGTGTACTTAATTTTTTTCTCGTTTTTTGTTCAATTTTCGGGATGAAATTTCTTGTTAATTAGAAGAATTAGGAAAAATTTGATGTCATGGGAATATTCGTTCAAATGTGTCATATCAATGTGCTGATTATATGTGCTTATTTCAAGAACACCTTGTATATTCTACTGTTGAAACCATTTCATTATTGTAAATCAAAAATGGAATGACTGTGTTCTATTTAATAAATCATTATCATATATCCTGGACTTAATGGATACCGAGATGGATACAGATTAATACAATACAATCTTAATTGAATGCGGGCCTGGACAACATCAACCAATCACAAGCTGTCGACGAAAATCTACTTTTTTTACGGCTATAACACAAAATTGCTATTTTTTACTGTGTTCAATACACCAATGAGGTACGTTGTATGTCATAAATCTCATTTCCGTATCTGATATCACATTGTGTTATTTCAAAAAAATCTCATCGCTCATGGAATGCCAATTTTCTAGCAAGGACTGCTCTGTCTAATAGATGTGAGCCTTACTTGAGAGGGAATCAGATGGCTACAAGACGAAGAAATGAAAAATTAAGCTGTTATCTGTTAAAGCCGTAGAAAAATTATAGTGTATAACTCGCACGGAATGCTAAATTTCCCACTCGAATGATTGCAGCATTCGCCTACGACTCATGCTGCAAACTCCATTCTCGTAGGAAATCACTATCATTCCGTGCACGTTAAACAATATACTATTTTTGTTCTTTAATTGCTGAAAAATCGTATGATATGACTAATATGGAATGCTCTTCAATAATATCAGACCGAAGGTACTTAATCAGTGAAAATCGAACTCCTCTCCCCCCACTCACCTTTCTCCAGCGGCGCCCTCTTGTACTTTTCGAGCCGCTTGACGGCTATCGCCTCGAGGCGCACCCTGGCGGCCGGGTACTCCTTCAACACGTCCCACATGTCCTTCTTGCTCAGCACGAACAGATCGCTGTACCCCACCGATCTCACGCTGGCTGTACGGCGATTCCCTGTAACGTTATTCAAGGACAGGTACAATCGCCGTAGGCGTACTCCCCCGCCCGCACGCCCCTGGAGTTTCCCTCTGGCCACGCCTACTGGCCCCGCCTGCTAGCTCACGGCCTATCGGCGCGGGGCTGCCCCCACCACTGCTCCGTTGTCGGTTGGATTTAAGAGGAGTTGTGGTTCGCGGACGGTCAGTCGATCGCTGAGCGTTGGATGTTATGGGCGTGGTGGGGGCAATTACTATACTGGATGTTGACGAGGATCACCATGGAAATGAGTTTGATTGATTGGCATTTTAGGCAAATGAATTTGTATTTATTTCAGTGTCACCGTTAGAGTCCACATCATATTGGAACTTTCTTCATCATAATGTTTTACGCGAATTTGAAGATTATGAATAGTTTTAACTCATGAAGTACTGCTAGATGACTCGATAACTTTGAATTAAAACCATCAATCTCCGATACTCGATCATTATTCATCAATCAAGTAGTTCTTGAGCTATGAGAACACGAGGATTAACTGATGGTGCAATAATTTTTTTTATCAAATCGAAAAATAGAAATGTTGAATGCTCATTTCCAAAACAAAAACGGTTCATGAAGCCTGAATTTGCAAAAATACTATAATTTGAAAAAAATGATGCAAATTTGAACTGTTATACTGTGTAAAAACGAATCATCTTATCTCCAAATAATTGTGGTGAATCAATTAGATGCAATCCAGTTAACATCCAGTATACAGATTCGCATTAACTCGTGGATTCGAACTACATTCACTGGGATAATCAATATTGGGTAGATTGAAAATTATTGAGAACATGCCAAAATAGCGTAATAAGGGATTCCATGTTTCACTCACTCAAAAAATATATTTCGCCGAATCAAATAAGTCATTATTTCTTTTGCAAAAATGTGATTTGAACTTTAGTATCGTTGATTGCTACAAAATTTTCAGTTGAGACGGCCGATATATTTTTTGTGAAATTCATGTAGTGGCATGCTATGTTTTTTTCGAATAGTTTTGGGGTATACTCAATACTGAACTCAGGTAGAGAATACAAATTTCGGTAAACAAAAATCGGGTGTGGTTACATGACAATACGGGACCATCAAATAAACTACTGCGTCAGTATTAAAAATCATCTGATTATTCAGAACGGGTTATATAATTAGTTATTGGGTAATAGGTGTTCTTAGTAATTAATTTAGTGGGAAAAATCTCGTAAATTTGTCACAAACATTGCGAAAAGAAATATTTAAGGTAAACAATTTTCACATAGATTTTTTGAACGTTGGGTGAGGATTTGCGAGATCTTTCTATACCTTATTATTCACTATCTATATAAGAATGTTAAAATTTAAATAGCCGGGGTTTGGACAAATACAAGCCAGGCAGGGAGTTCCAAGACCAAAAATCCAACATGCACAAATGTGTACAAAACGTGAAAATAGTAGATAAAATAGTAGTAATAATAGTAATAGTAATCGTGGAAACCCATCGTCCTCGGGCCTGCCTGCTGATATTTACCAAGGTGTTTACCTGCCGTGCCCATGTTCAAAATCGAAATTTCTCCGAAATAGCTGCCCGCTTTCAGGGTGGCCAGTACGGTCCTGCCGTTGTCGGCCACCACCTGCAGCCGGCCCCTGTTCACTATGTACATTTCCTTGCCAACTTCGCCTGGAGAAAAACGACAATGAAATCAATAATGTTTTTGGTAAGAATCCGCTTTGGTGGTGAAAAAATTTGCCGGAAATAATTTTTTCCATCGACTCCCTATGACTCTTTTATTTTTGACAGTAGAAAAAACAAATTAAAAATGATCTCTTTTGTTCTCGAATTCATTTATTTATTTATCTATTGAATTAAGTGAAATCTACGCATTTTCACTATCTGAAAAAAATATACAGGAAGCAGCAAAAAGTGAATGAAATTTGATTTCCTCACAATTGGGTAGACCTTCCGAAGAGCTTTAAAAAAATACCATAGTCAATGTAATAATCTTTTGTATTCCTAAATTTATGAGCGTTCAAAAGTAATAAAGTTTCATCGATTTTGAAAGATTTTCCAAAGTAGGCCTTGGCCCAGGAAGGTCTGTACAAAATGATACCATAGACTTCTGAGATCAAAGTGAGATGCATAATAGTTCTTTGGTGTGCCTACAAAGTTTGAGAAGGATATTCATAGACCATGTTACAATATACGGAAAATAGCAGAAGAAAGGACGAATCAATATTGAGAAGATATTACATTATTTCGAAATCTGAAAATTATCGACGTGAAATTTTAAGTTTTTAACAGTAAGGACACCTGCGTTGTAGGCATCTTTATCATTCTTTTGAAGTAATCAAATATCTGATGTCACTTCTGTCAGTCTAATTCTCTGATTTGATTTCAAAAAATTGTGAATTTAGTGGTTGTTTAGTAATATACGTAACCGCCAAGTCGAATGGAAGATAAAAGGACTTGCAGTTCTTTCTCGCAGACGGTATTATTGACTCATTTTTCGGAAATATAGCACAACAAAAGCCATCAACAGTGTATATATATATGTGATAGATATCCGGGAAAAAAGTACTCACTTTTTTCCACGGGATAAAAGTAATTTATGAAAAGTGACATTTTATAACCTGCCAACAGAGATGAAATGCCAAACTTTTTTCCCGTCACAGAAAAAATAATAATATTCAATTCCGACGCCCTGTAGCGGCTAAACGGAGCATTCTAGAATAGAGGCGAGTTTGGTTCAATCACCTCACTTTGATCTCAGGAGCCTATGGTATCATTTTGTACAGACCTTTTAGGGACACCCTATATTGCTGCACTATTGATGACATTTGTTAGGCCAGTTCCAAACAAAAAAGCCAATAACACCGTCCGAGAAGGAACTGAAAGTCTTTTTCATCTTCTATTCCACTAATTAATTACTAAACAAACACCAAGTTTGCATTTTTGAATCAAAACACAGAATTACATTGACACATATTCGAAAACTTCAAAAGATCTTCATAGCAACAACAAAGATGCCTGCAAAAAGATTCTTTTAGACACAGGTGTACTACCAGTTACAAACTTCAAATTCCACATCAATAATTTTTTGATTTCATCATAATGTAATATCTTCTCAATATCAAATCCTCGTTTTTCCTGTCACAGAAAAAATTGTGCATTATACGCAGAAAAATATTAGATTTTAGCTCTCGGATATTTGTATCTCTCCGCTAAGCGTCGGAAGACAACACAACCTCGATCTAAAATCTAATACTTTTTTCTCTAGTATAATAAAAAACTATTTGTGTTTCGAGAAGGAAAGAATCCTCTATGAGTCTGTTCTTTATGTTTCTTCTACTGTCCAAAATAGAGGAGTGTCAGGGGGTGGTACTTTATATAGCAGGTCACCCTGTACACGTAATTGATCGTTAATGACCCCCATCAACGATCAATATGTCTAGGCAACCAATGATACACCGCGTCATTTCACTGTTTTTTTTATATAAAAAAAAGGTAATTAGCCCCAATACCAAGTAGACATTTTCAAAGCATTCGGGGGGCAATGATCATGAATTAAAATCGAAGAACCTTCATGATTTGTGAAGAAAAATTAAATATTTTTCATTCTCAACCTTCCAAGTGCTAGAAAAACTTCTCCGTTGCTAAAATCTGTATAAGAAATTCGCATGTTCGGCAAAAACAAAAAAAAAGGTCCAGAAGTCTCTCACCTTTCCGGCAAATGTAGTCGCCTGGGGAGAACAGGACCGGCCTCAGCCTGAGCACGAGCTCGCACAAGAACCCCGCCTCGGTGTTTTGGAAGATCTCGACCCTCTTCAGCGTGTCGAGATGCACGTTGATCGCTATCTCGGCCTTGAGCTTGTCGGGCAGACACGAGACGGCCCTCTCCTCGTCCGAGCACTTTTGCGTGAGCCACAGGTAGTCGAACCACTTGATGACCTTGACCTGCAGGTGGTTGGGCACGCGACGCATGCGCATATAGGTCTTGACGCCGTCGAGTTTGGCTGGAACACAACAAGGCGATACAACCACCAAAATAATAACTCGGGCACAGTACTAATAAACAAGCGTCTAGCTACACCAGCGAATATTTCAAACTTTAAGGTTACCAGAAGTTTACTCGGTAATATGGGGAAGGAAAATATCTCTTCTGTATGAAAAAGATAAGTACTTTCAACCCGATTTGTCCTAAATGAAATTGATGGAGTGAAAAAAATTGAAAAAAATTGACGATTCGCAGGGTTTGAACCCAAGTCAGATACACAGCCCGCTATCGCTTTACTCTCAACAGAACTGTCTATCAACCACCAAAATAACTCGAGCACAGTACCACAGATTACCGTAATCTGTGATCATAGGGTCCCTTGATGTAAATTGACCTATTTGTCATCTTAATAGGTTACGGACAGATCCTCGTCTCCTTTCACTCTAAAGTGTTTGTGAAAAAGTTATATAGTTCCATCTTTATTCATTTCTGGGGATAAGCACTAGATTTCTGACATTTGTTGTTTTTTAGGTAATATTGAGGACGTTGGCGTATCATTCGTAATTTCCACATGTAATTTCTCATTCAACTCTACATATTATAACCAAATGATGATGATAATTTTCGAATTTTTGATTTTTCAACTCTAGCACAATCTTTGTGAGGCAGTGACCAAATTTTTCTGAAAGTTCAATACGTTTCACCAAATGGGACAGTTCTTAGGCAGTACCTATCAAAAAATGAATTTTGATTTCAGACTAAGCCTTATAGTTGAGAAATGGTGAAAAATTTTATGTAGGTATTCAAACTAATGTGCTCATATGTCATGTGTGCTGTATATATTCATATTAAGGATCTTTTTGGCAGTTTTTCACGAACAATTAATATTTCCTGAATGTATGTATAATTAAATGCCTCTTCTTTTCATCCTCCGTTTCAATCAAAACTGTTTCGACTAAAATGCATTCAGAAACTTGTGGAGTGGATAATTATAGGCACAATAAGCAAGTATGTGATTTTTTCATAAAAGTTGTGGTTCACATTTTTTGTTGATATATCGTTTTTATTTCTAGTGTTTTGTCTGTGGGTGTCACTATTTTTCGGCAAGCAACAAGATTTGTTTCATTTCTGAATAAATCGCGACACGAAGTTCGGGTAGATAGGTTGAATGAAAGATAAAAACCATAGCTATATACTTTGACAAACATTGTTATTGCTTCTTGCAAACGTTTCTGCTTCGTTGTCATGTTGGTGAACATATACAGGGTGTCCGCTAAAAGGAGGTCAATCCATTAACCATATATTCCTTGAACAAAAACAATATGAGTTTCTAAATGAAATTTTTCATTTTATCCCTTCATATTCGATATACAGGGTGTCATAGTTGGAAATTAAATTAAACGTGTTGAAATTCTATCAATTTTTTTTTATTTATTTCAATACATTCGCTCTGAGCATCCGGTATTTCCATATGTACCTTTTCGTACGTAAAAAGTTACGACCTCTTACCTCTTCCAATTTAGACGAAATAAGTAGGAGTATGTGAATATTATGAGATCACCGTTAGCAGCATAGGCATCAAACAAGAACCAGTACTTTTCGAATTATCTTAAAAACAAATAGTTTTATAGAAATTTTACAAGAGACAAAAAATACTCAAAAATGATTGAAAACTTGAAGAAAAATAGATAGGAAGTCATCAGCGCACGTACAAAAAAAATATGTGGGTAAGTGTGTACTTGACCCCCAGTATTTTGAATATTTGACAGTTATTTTCTGTTTTGTTTTTCTCACACGTTGTAACTCTTTGTGCTGACGTAATGTACCAATTTCGAGAATAATATCTCATTAAATACGCGAATAATTGAAGAACAACAGTTTTAAATTTCCAACTTTGACACCCTGTATATCGAATATGAAGTGCTAAAATGAAAAATGGTATCCAGAAACTCATATCGTTTTTGTTCAAGGAATATATGGTTAATGGATTGACCTCCTTTTAGCGGACACCCTGTATAACTACTCTAAGACGATCTTTGAGACGTCTCTAGTACAACATTCATAACGTGAATAGTTTTTGAAGCTTATGTGTATCTTCTCATGTTGTTGAAATAGTACCCTTTGAAAAAGCACTAACTTAAGTGTCACAGCTTGTCTTGAATTGTAACTCGACCCATCCTAGATATCATTATTCGTACTTCTTCTTTTCGTCAGTAGATGAGTTCGGTGGGTTCTGAATCAAAATTATGATAGAAGGCGTATTCTAAGTAGGCCAGATGACTGGCCTTGGAGTGGTTTCAAAGGGAAGACAAATATCAAGTAAATTTGAAGTAATATTGCGTTAAAAAGACTGCAAAATGCATTTGACAGATGATAAAAAGTTGTCAAACGTTCATCTGTCTCATTTAGTCCACGCGTTTCACCGTTTTTTCTAGAAAAGAGGCTGCCTATCTACTCTTGTTTGATGCTTCTCTGATCGGCATTGAAAGCACCCATACTTTATTTATGATGAATTATGCCTTTAATTTTGAGGTTATAATGTGTTCCTGTACATTCGGGAATCTCATATAGCAGTAACGTGTGACAAGAAGGGCATTTTCTCATTTTCCATAGTGGGATAACAGTGACCCGTATTCTGTCGTCGCGCTGATGGGAAATTCTTGATATATTTACTTTCCATCTTCTCGAGTACAAAAGCATATTGGCAAAGATCCAGCTGGATCTTTAGCATCTCGAATGCGGAAGCTCACAGAGCTGATGATTGCATTGTTCGCAAGAGCAGTGGGATAATCTAGATATTTCGAGCCTTATACAGGGTTTTTCGTTTCATTATATTCGAATGTGGCACGGACAACAGTGTAATGCCTAAGTTCCCAGTAATATGAAAGAAGAAGAAGACAGGCTACATTGTCAACCTAACTTCCTGACGTTAATATCGGCTGTCACCTCCATCGTCAAATCCTTGTTTCATCTAGCCATGATGTGGTCAAGATACAAATATTCGAAGATAATTCTCATATTATCTGATTCTTTAGTTGTGTGTTGTGTTCATGTGAATTCATTCCATATTCTGATTGAGATGATAATCAGAAATACGTACGCCGAATGTTTGAAATATCGTGAATTCTAATGAAAAAGTTACAGAGCTCTGAGGAAAAAACGGTTTGCATGCGAAAGTGAACTATTTAGGGTCAGTACCCATTATATTCGAATGTGCTGATGGATCATCCATGGCTGATTTGTTTGAACACTGAGCTCAAATATTGAAGTTGAATCAGTTTTTTGAGCAAATATTATATCCAATGGGTTTTATAGTAGCCGAGAAGGAGCGAGGAGGACACGAAACGCGTTAATTTTCCATTATCTGCTACCTTAGCGGAGATTTTTCGAGATGTCTAGGTCCATCAATCATTGTTAGGGCATTTCATTTAGTATTTTCGTCTTCTTCAATATTCATCCGTGCTCGACTATCGATTTTCAGATGATTGATATGTCTCAACAGGCAGTGTAAAATCTCAGGGTAATATCTGGAATAACAAGGATATATGAGATGATTTTCATACATTCAATCAAATTTTCTTATAGATTGATACTAAACTACTTTTTGACTAAGGTATAATCAGATCCATCTGATGAATGACTTCCTGAATACGTAATTTTTCAGTTTGAATGTTGATAGTTTGGAATGGAGTAATTCCATATAGAGGTTTTGATGGAATTCAAGCCGTTATGGAGATACTCTGAATCGATAAGATGGAGTGGGAAACTTGGAGAAAACTTTCCGTCAAATGAACATCGAACGGTCGGGTTCATCTTGATCGTCATCAGTGAAGAGGCGCTTCGAATCTACTCGAGTGCCAGAGAAACTGCAAATATTATTCCAATATCGACTCGTTACTCGCAGCTTTTTCAATTGCTCGCGAACCAGACTTGCTTCTTTAGTTGTAATTTTTCATGCGAGGAATATAGGCTGATGAACAAGCGTATAATACAACGCTGCAGAACTGACCTGCAAACATTTCGTCCAATTTCAATTATTGTTATTGAAAATTCTGATTTCTTGGCTTGAACTATCACGACTCCATGTGCCACATCTTCACTTTTAATTCACAAATGAAGGAGTTGAACAGAGAAGGTTCTGGTTTGCTCTGAATTTCGAGTATGATGCAAGATTTTGATTCCTTATGTGCCACATATTCATTTTTCATTCACAAATGAAAGAGTCGAATAGAGTAAGTTCTCGCTAGCTGTGGCTGAAACTTCGGTTTTTGAATCATCCACAGAGTGAATTTGCCATATTTTGTAACTAGAAGAGATGAAACCAAGAAAAAATGAGTTCAATTTTGATTCTGATGCGAGATTTTGATTTCTTCGTTAGAAATTGTCATGATATTTGCCATGATATGTGCCACATGTCCACTTCCCTTTCACACATAAAGAAGTTGAACAGAAAGAGTTCTGGCTTCCTGCGGTGGATGAGTTCAGTTTCTGGAGCTTTCCCAAAGCGAATTTACTATATTTTGCAACTAGAAGAGATGACACCAAGAGAAAATGTGTTCAATTTCGATTTTGATGTAAGATTTAGATTTCTTGACTGGAATTGCCGTTACTTAGTGTGCCAAATATCCACGTTAGGATCACAGAAAAAAAAAGTTGAACAACTTTTTGGTTCCTAAAGCGATCATCGACTGAACTAACACCGACTATTTCATTAGTGCGTAGGAGCTCGATTGCTCGAGTTCTATGATAGCTAGAAACTTGATTCGAGAACGAATGTGAATGAGACAACAAGGTCCTTAACTAGAAATTATTGCCGCATATGCAGAGCGCACCGAAAACAGTCTATAGAGAGTCGGGATCATTTTTTTAAATGGAATACCCTGTATATCAGCACAATTTTTGAAGCATTGCTGTGACCTCCATCCACCCCTATGATGTCGTTAATTATATTTCGATCATATTTAAGTTATGAATTTTTTGTCGAAAAAATGTCATCTGCAGATACATGGCGAAAAAATCACTGTCATCACAATTATGAAATTTCAGAGAAAATAATCTGAATCTAAAAATATGTGTGATATTTCTGAAGAATGCCCTCAAATTATACAGGGTGGTTGAAAATGATTTTTCAATTCGGAACTTATCGAAGTGATTTTTCTCGAGTTTTTCAAAAAGAACACCCCATATATTTTTTGTCAATTTGATGTTGAATAAAAACACGAACAAATTTCATCTCAACATCCATATTGATATTCATAACCATTTTTGAAATAATTGACTTTGAAAATTATAGGTTGGCCATTTTCATACATACATCAAAAGTCAAAACAAATAGAAAGAGTTCATATGTTAGTTATTCATTAAGTAAAAAAGGGCACTTCCATTTCTCAAGTATCTATCCTATAAATTCAAGGCACATTGAAAACTAGACCAGGATAATTGGGAAATGGAATTTTGTCCTTCTTTACTTCGTGAATAAGTAATAATTATAAACTATTCCTGTTTGCTCTGGTTCTGCTATCAATTCTTTGCATTTGTAGATGACATTATTCTCTGATATGATCGAGATATGGTCAACGATATTAAAGGGGTGGATGGAGGTCACAGAGATGCTTCGAAAAATGTGCTAATATACAGGGTATCCCGACCCTCTAGACTATTTTCGGTGCGCCCTGTATTAGTGGCAATAATTTTCAGTTATAGACCTTGTTGTATCATTCACGTTCGTTTTTGAATCAGGTTTCTAGCTATCATTTAACTCGAGTAATCGAGCTCCGACGCACTAATGTCCTACCCTGTATAAGCGTGATGCCGCCACACGATTGAGAAGCACTTCTCGTCGCCGAAGGGACACTTAGTACTTTAAAGCCGCCCTTACTACGAAGGGCGTTACTTAACCGGCCGCTTGTCGTGTCGTTTGCGATGGGAAATTGCGGTGGAAATCGATGACTTATTGTCGAAGGGGTAAGAGGTTCTAAATTTAGATGAGGGTGGCGGAGGTAGTTTTCTTTGGTTGGTGGTTGACACCCGAAACGGTTGAAAAGGATTTTGCGATCTCTAAGATGCGATAAATATATCTCCTTCGGACCTGAACAAAAATTTTACGATATATAATTTGAAATTTTATTATAATCTCATTCGGGTACTTTTTTGTTAATGTAAGTTGCAATAGAACGTTCAAATTTGAAACACATGTGTAAAATCAGAATAGAAACAACTTCTCTTCGTTTTGACATTCAAATGAATAAGCCTTCATGGACAAAATTGAATTCGATAATAAAATTGAACAACTCATAAACGATGGCAACTACACAAAATTGAATGAAGATCCTACAGCGAACATTGAGTGAAAGATACTTGACACTATTGAAAAACATCAACTAACAGTTGCAGAAAGGAAGAACATCTCCATATTTCTATTGACTTTCAAAAATTCATAAACCAAATATTCCATTAGGACCAATAGTGAGTGCAATTGGATCCCCATGTAAAAATTTAGCAAGATTTATTTTTGATATCGATCCTATTTAAGGTAAACGTGAGAGTTTCATTAGAAACACTCCTCATTTCTTAGAAAAACTTAACGATATCATATTGGATATAAATGACACTCTTGTGAGTTTTGATTCAGTGAGTGTATTCACAATTGTTCCTATAGATAAAACTCTACAAATAGTAAAACATGAATTAGAAGATGATAAAACTCTTACTGAGAGAACCAATATGAGTATCGAAGGAATTTTGGAATTTTTGAAATTATACCTAAAAACTACATATTTTCAATGAGATTATGATCTTTATCAACAAAGTTTTGGCATTGATATGAGCTCACCTCTATCTCCAATTTTGAGCAATATATTCATGGAGAATTTCGAAGAAAACATTAAACAACCAAAAAAATAGGGTTGATACGTAGATGAAATTTCCATAATTTGAACCACATAACCTGGAACTAGATAATTTTTTTCATCATGTGAATAATACCGAACCCACCATAAAGTTCACTTTGGAAATTGAAACTGACAATCAGTTACCGTTTTTAGATGTCCTTATTAAAAAATCAAACAATGTTTTCGTAACAAATTTATATCGTAAAAAGACTCTAACTCTAATACTAACAGATACCCCGATTTTCGATCAAATCATCAGAAAACTATGAAAGAAGGAATCAAATCACTTCATGATCGAGTCAAATCAATATCATTTAACCAACAAATTTTCAATAACGAAATCCACCACATTAAAAATAGTCTTCAACTCAACTCCTATCCAAATATAAATAACGATGATATAATACCGTTCATTCCCGGCATATCTGAAAAAATAAAACGTGTTGTTGATAAGTTTCAAGTGAAAACTGTGTTCAAAACTGAAAATACGATGATATGAAATCAAAGCTAACTGACCATATCCTTTCTAAAAATGGACAACATATGACAGATTGACAGAAGATAACAACCAAAAGAGAAAAATCGAGGAATCCGCTTGCATTCTTCTGAACGGAGACAATAGCATTGCTTCCTGTTCAGTTGATATAGATAGAACATGGTATTCACTATTGAGAAATGATATTTTTATTTTCTAAAAACGAGGAGAGACAATCCCACCTCGATTAATTTGAAGAAATGTATCTTTCGACTTGTAGCGGAAGTCACGTGACCCCGACCAAAAACAGAACTTAATGCCCAAGTCTAATTTCAAAATACGATGTTCCCATATTTATGATGCCAACTTTCTGAAAGACACTGTATACATTTATGGGAAAGTTAATCGCCTATCGAACGTTTCGCGCTAAATAAACCTATCAAGTGTGAATTCGATCGAAAAAAGGCGCTCCTCCTGCTCGTTTTAACTCTGCCCAACGACAAATCGCTATCCCGCAGGACTTTTAAAACTGCTGCTTAAACTCCTGCCGCCGTATTTCCTGCAGATCGACGTCGGCAGGGCAATTAGTCCGGCGGACCGTAAATAAGTCACATTCGATTGCGATCTGTGGGTTTCTTTTTCATCGGGATCCCGTGGATTTGGCCGATCGAGAAGTTTTTTCCAATTTCTTTCATTTGTCACATAGGGAGAACACCGAAAGGGTAACAGAGGAAATATCCTTGCTGAGCCCACAAAGTTAACTCTAACTATTGTATTAATATCTGATAGAAGTCCATATCAGCTCAAAGAGGAGTGGAATATTTCGAAGGGAAAAAGTAAAGCTGAAAGTCATCTCCACACATTATTACAGGGTGTTTAAAAAAAACTAACCCCCTTGCTAGTGTAGGTAGAACACTGCAAAATAAGTTGGGTTTGCTCAGTGAAAAAATGATTTTTTTACACATTGTTCACGATTATGTCGAAACTAATGGCAACATTGTAATGAAATTTTGTATGAATGTTTCTTGACATCTGTCACATCACATGAATTTGTTTTTATATCTGACTCTCATAGAGGGCGCTAGTTACAGGGTTCGTACCGAGTAGTTTAGAACATAACTTTTTTGAGGTTATATTGTTCAATCCAAATATGATATGAACTCGAACATCATTCAATTTTACACCAAAAAGGTACTCTTGGTGAAACTCGATACTATGTTCCGTTTTCGGAATATTTCGATTTGAAAATAATGGAGTAATTGCTGAAGCTGGTATAAAGTGAATTTCATTGAGTTCTATTACCAATTCATTCAGATTCAAAAACAATAAAATCATTCTTGTTCTGAAGTTATTGATGGAACAAAGGATCATGAGTAGAAAATTGAGAGATATTTGATTTGAAACATGAAATATTGAATCTGTTAGAGTAAATGTTCAAAATGTCCTACGTTTTGAAGAAAAAACGATTCTATATTCTTTTCTTAAAAATGTATTATTCTTCTTAACAGTTGAGGATCAGCTGTTAGGTCATTTTAGTGATGTTCAATTATGTCTTACAACTCTTGACGTGAATTTACCTATTTAGCATAGACTTTCTGCTCAAGATACAACAAAACTGTGTAATCCATGTTCTTAGTCAAATCTGTTTCGATGT